ACTGCAAACTAACTTATACATATCCCGTATATTTCCCCTTTTGGGGAGTCACCAAAATTGGGTACATTATTAGTGCAAGAGAGAGAGAGAGAGAGAGAGAGAGAGAGAGAGAGAAGAAAGGGGAGGGGAGAGAGGGGAGGGGAGAAATTGAGAAAACTACTGGAGTACTGGTGGGAGCAGTATAGGTGCTAAAGCCCATAAAAGCCCATGCACCACACCCTCCCTTTAACAGAAATGTACACTGAGAACTCATTACAATAAGATGATAGAACATTAAGACGGACAAAGTGCATTTATGAAACAGAGAGATGAATGTGATTAGTAATATTATGTCTATTTGCTTCCGAAGCTAGGTACGTGACCACGCCCTCCTTTCGGTATGAATAAAATGTAAGGATATAGCTCTATTTGAGCATGACCATGTAAGCATACACTATGCATTTGCTCATTTAAGTAAACATGCGATTAGTCGCTTTCATTTTGTGTATTTGCATTTGGTGCACATCATTATAACAAGCCCATTATCATGCCATACATGACTTGTTAACATTTTAGCTATTTTTTTTATTTTATCGAAAGTCAGTGCGAACTAAAAAAAGATGTGCCATCGCGGATTATGTTTTATGTACTAGGATACAATCGAACTTCAAGAAAAACCAGATAATGTAACGTATATTGTTCCAAAATGATGAAGACTTTTTGCAGTAACGTAGAAACAAGGATCATGGGTGTAGCCTGTAGGTGCCCCTCCCCCCTTTCACCACATCAAGTGGAGAAAAATAAAGAATAAACAAAAAAAACTGTTAGCAAAAAAAAGAGGAAGACGAAGGCAGAAGGTGTATACATTAGTATGGGGAAAGGTCTAGAAAAAAAGTTACCTGGACCACCTTCTACACCCCCCCCCCCCACTAATCAGGCCTTGTAAATTTGCATGTAATTTTCCGAGTAAACCCTGTACCCCCTCAATTATTGAGGGACTCGCGCAACGCCACTGTGTTGTTGAACCACCCTATCGTATACTATCGTATACAAGGGCAAACAAACCGCTTTGATATTGAGAATTGCTGTTGAAGTATCTTATTTGAATTTGCAATGATGCCAGGTGCAGGCACAATAATTTAGCGCGGACATAATGTCGAGAGTCGGGACTGTATATTGACGGTAAGTTTGATATTTTATCCTATTTTTCACCATGATCACAATTCTTAATGTTAAATTGCTTTTAATATTAATTACTCAAAGTTCCCATATAATTTTGTGGTATTCATACAACAAATACAATCTTAATAATGGAAAATGCTGTTCGTTCTTTAATACAAGTTATTACATAAGCCTACATGTTTATAATGAACACACTAATTATGTTACTCGCAGAGAATGGTTTTATCTGTTGCTTGGTCGGGCAAATCTCTGAAAATTATTCGTGTATACAATCTACAGAAATGCGATGGATATCTTCCAAATGCGGCTCTTTAGATTTACATGCAAAGTGTATATTATTGAAATTGTAATTTATATGTTTCAACCTAATGTCATGAATTGTGCTGTCTGAAAGATGGATTTTTCAAATGATTATGTTTTAGACCCGCAGCAAACGATTAATGTGATGTTATGACTAATTTCCCCGCATAAAACAGAATTTAGGAACCATTTGTAACTTATTCATGACCGTACAGAAATGGGGGTTTTGTGGTCATCAATAATGCTGTTCTATACACACCTTCGCAAACCTACAATAAGGCTATACAAAACTTGTTAATAATCATCCAGCATTAATATGATAATGATATTATCCCCGACACTCAGTAGTGAAGAGCATAGAACGTTAGCAATCATGAAATTAAATTACAATATATACGCGAGGCCAGGCGTTGCTATGGTAGGGTTATCCATTCGAGCTTGAAAAAAATCAAATTTGATATTTCATGACACTGGATTAAGTGGGTCAAATGATTTTGATAACGATAAAGACAACAACAACAAAAAAATTCTCCCCAATTGCCTTTTATCGATATTCACAAGTCATTGCGAAATATTTTACAGAAACTAGTTGAAAAAATAATAATAATAATAATAAAGATATCTGCTTTAGTATAAAATGAATTTTATGTAAAACACAAAAGAGATCCAGTGAACACTGGGGGTTAGAAGAACGAGATGAAATGCAGAAGATACATGCAGAGTTTATGTATTAGTAACCCTTTCTTTGCTTTTGTGAATTGTCAAATAACGTTCATACACAACAAAAGGCATGTTATAGTGTAGCAGGTGGTAATTTAAATACTTAAATTATTTGTCACTTGGGTAAAGTCCATACAAAAGTAAACACATTTCACGCATGATGACGGTGGCACAAAGCATTATCTTGATCAGTAAACATTTCTTACCAATGTAAATACCCAAATTTATTACTGTTTTTCTGACTGTGTGTTTTGGCGCGTAAATTTCAACGGAAGTAGGCCCACTTTGTAATTTGTCATTTTAATTAATCATTGAAATCACTGATAGATGATTGGTCCAACAATTTGGAGAAGAAAATGAAATTAATATTTTGATTTAGAAATGATAACTTTAGTAGATGAAGAAGAAGAAGAAGGAAGAGGAGAAGAATGAGAGAAGGAGGGAAAATGATGAGACGATGCTCAGCGCTGCATATATATGATGATGATGATGATGATAAGTGGCGTAGCTATGCCTAGAGAGCAAGGGACACGTAAACACCCCCATCTATAGTGGTGAAAAAGAAAAGAAGGGTAAGGAATGGAATGGCGAAACCCAGTGGCGTACCCGGCTTCATTGCCCCTGGGATTGGGTGGGGGGCACCAAGCATCAAAGAAATCTGAAAAAAAATAGTGGGGGTGGTTCTAAATTTAGCAGGGGGCAAATTTATGGGGGTGTACAAAATCATTGTATCAATTAGCGAGGGGTGAGGATGTGCCCCATGTGCACCCCTGGATCCGCCATGGTATACAATTCAGTACTATCCAATGTGTTCTTTTCAGGTTATATCTGTAAACACTCGAAATAATGGTGTTGATTACGTCGAGCGCAAGGTGTTTAAGTTAAACACAATGAAACAAATCCTAAATGCAAACTGAAACTGATTGATCTTTGGTTAAAATCCAGGCCTATAGGTACAGTTCAAATAGTTTTTATATTGAAAGGCTCTATTTCTATAAGGAGAGAGAGAGAGAGAGAGAGAGAGAGAGAGAGAGAGAGAACGAAATAGAGAGAGAGAGAGAGGAGAAGAAGAAGAAAGGGATTTGAAAGTTACAGATAATTGGGCTACATTTTATCTTGCAATTATATATTTGGATAACAGAACAACTTCCAAACTTCCACGATGCTCGTCACCCATTTTCCTCGGCAGAGTGATTTTGAGAGAACAATTACGATATCAAAATAATGATTAGGCGTATTTGATATACAATGTTAGTGCAAAGATATTAATTTCAACCGGCAACCTTTATACAGTGTGAGTCAAAAATAAGTTTACACCTAGAAAATTGCTAATTATTTTTAAAATCATCTATGAACCGTAAATTATTATACGTCTTATGAAAGAGTGTTTTATCCCAAATCAGTTGGTACCATTTTTGTGTGGAATGTGTTCACGCTTGGACGAACAGGTGGCATTGTTTGCGAGAGTGCAAAAATCGACTTGCGCCAAAGTGATGCCTACATTATGTATTATGTTGGGATTAGCGGAGTGAGAGAATGGATTGAATGTATCAAATGAAATGCATTGTATATGTTTTTTTGCAAAGGGCAAAGTCACACGCGCAAAAATGTTCGTTGATATTTTGACATTCCATATTTGATATTTGTGGCATGATTCATTTTGTTAGGGGTGTTATTTGGATCTGCAAAGACCGAATTAATACCCAAATCCCAATTGTTTTATTTAAACATCACATAGGCAACTTTGGCGCAAGTCGATTTTTGCACTCTCGCAAACAATGTCTCCTGTTCATCCAAGCGTGAACACATACCACACAAAAATGGTACCAAATAATTTGGGATAAAACACTCTTTCACGAAACATAAGACAGTTTAATGTTCATCGATGATTTTTTAAATAATTAGCACTTTTCTAGGTGTAAACTTTCTTTTGACTCACACTGTATAGTGACCATGAAAGTGTGAAACTTTCCTTGCGAGACCGACACGGTTTCATTCACATTTTGTAGAGACAATCGATTTGGCTAATTGTGGTTTTTCGGTCATTGAGAATTTTGAGTGTTGCCATATTAGGGCTTCGTATTGTACACTTCAGTGTGGGCGTTGCTATAGTTTTATTGCAAATGAAACTATTTGATTATTCTCTCTAGTATATACATTGTACCTAAGGTCAAGTGCAATACAATTCAATTCACATACCTTTGCTTTTGTTTATTCAGCACTTCATCTTTGCGTTTATCATTTTCCATGAATTCGAAAGGAGTGGTATTTACGAACAACGCATTTCATTCCTAGCATTGGTTTAGAGTAATTATTTTGTATAATTATTGTTAAAAATTGTATTTTCTGCTATTGCTGACACCAATTGGAGTGTAATCATTCTCATAAGCATTTCTATGTCTAGAACGTTTGTGTTCTGTCATGACAGTGTATGTCTATATGCCATCTGCCCTTCCATGTCTGACATTGAAATCTGTTAAACATATCAAACATATCTGACACGCTTCTTCGTTTTTCTTCAAGAGCACACGCTGAGAGCAGCTAGCTAGGGTACGACAGATAAGTGCAATTGTCTGTAGCGGAGGGAGGACCAATTGGGGAGTATAATAGTCTAGCTCCTTTGGCACGCTTGACCAAAGAGAGAGAATAGCAACACTTTCGGCGTGAAAAGATATAGCTAGGCTAAGTGACAATAGGCGCACCTTCACTGGCACTCGTGGATATAGTTGAGTAAGTTTTCACAGATGTAGACTTGTTGATTATTACCATTCAACGCTGTTTCTGCTACAGTGCCTATGAGTAAATATATAAGCGGTCTGAAAAGTTTGACAGATGGGTCGAGCAACATATTGCAAGTGGTTGTAAACAGTACAGCAGGGATGAGCTGAGGATGGAGGCCCATGTATATATATTTGACATTTGACACTGCGTATACGAAGGAAATCAATTTGTGTAACCTATTCTTCGTATGTATTCGACTCTGGTTGATGTTATTGGTTATTGTATACTATTCATGTAGGAATGCAGTAGTAATATAGGTGAGTCGCTCCCACCTTTTCTTTATGGTTTGTCAATACTCATCAAGCTGTATAATGTCTATCATACAGTACGTAGCCAATCGCTTATCAGAGGCACGTTTCTATGTACTGTCTGTCCGTCTGTCGATAGATAGGCTGACTAAATCTGTAAGAAACTCAGCTTGCATTATGTCTACAGTAGCCTGATAGTTGATACATGTAAGTTGTATTTAGGAAGAAAACCATTAAGGACAGCTAAACATACAGGAGTAAGAATAAGACAGGTTTGTATATAATATGTACAGGCGGTCTCCAATTATGGCACAGATCCTCAGTCACCTATCATAATTAACACAGTTTTCAATTGTAACATGTAAAATGGAACATCGATCGTTATTTAAATGACAGATTATTGAATCCTAACGAACCCTCATAATCGTAGGCCTGACGTCATAATGCCATTCTAAGTTGCTTTTTAGCCCCCGAACAGGGTTTCAATATGACAAGTAATTCCCGTAGCCTTGGTCATAAGTAGTCTATTATAACGATCGTTTCATTGTACAACGTGTACTGTTAAAGGCCGTCTGTACTAGTTTGGCCAGGAGGGATTAGACCACCCATGAAGGTCACTGACATGTGGCCAACTCTAGCTCTCAATTAACATAAGAAAAAGGGGATCATGGGGGAACAACGGTCACCGATTAGGCATTGTTTTCTATATAGAGTGAGCAAGTAGCTACAAGTAGTACAGTGCAGGGCCTTTAAATGGGAAAATATTGTCACGGTCTCTGGAGCGTTATATACTCTGTAAACAGGTGGTTAATCTAATCATGTCTGACTCGATCTATTCACATGCTTCTTGTACTTCCAGCGTTCATCATTGATGTAGAATAGTTCGAAGTCGACGTCGTTTACATCATTCGGACATCGTCATGAACCTCGGAGAGGCAGAAGCCATCGTCATCGACAACGGGTCCGGGATATGCAAGGCGGGATTCGCCGGGGATAATGGACCACGATCTGCCTTCCAATCCATTGTGGGAAGACCACGACATATGGTAGGCCTAAATTCTTATCATTCGGATTTTTCGTTTTTTTTTGTTTTTTTGTTTTTTTGGGGGGGGGTCTTTTTTTTTTTTTTTTTTTTTTTTTTTAATTGAAATTTCGCTTCAAATAGTCGTTTCGACTCTTGAAACAGAGACATACATCACAGTTATAAGATTTGTTTAAAACCCCTTTAGCTCCCTTCTCCGCCCCGCTGGCAAGACGTTTATCTAATTTTTCCACACTCCACCCAGGCGAAGTAAATGTGTACCCGGTAGGATTATTCCTTGAAATGCACTGTGCGCTGATAACGGCCTACCAGAGCTTAAGCTAGAGTAATACCAAGGAGATACTTTGGTAACACATTCCAAAGCTCTTTGGCAGCGCATAAAGGATGTTATATCATGTGGTATGCGCTTTACAAGAATGGATTATCATTATTAAAGTATTCCTTTAATATAGTTTACCGACACGATTAAACAAAAAAAAATTATCATGAATTGACTGACCAGCTATCCGAGTAGAAAAGTATATACCCTATCTGATCTTATTAATTATTCTCTCTCTCTCTCTCTCTCTCTCTCTCCCTCCCTCCCTCCCTCCCTCCCTCTCTCTTTCTCTCCCCCTCTCTCTTTCTCTCCCCTTTCTTTTTAATGATCCCAGAACGTGATGACGGGGACCGCGCTGAAGTCGTCGTACATCGGCGGCGCTGCGACGAACATGCGCGGTATCCTCTCGCTCCGCTACCCGATCGAGCACGGCATCATCATCCACTGGGACGACATGGAGAAGATCTGGTCCCACATGTACTACAATGACCTCAGGGCCGTGCCCGAGGATCATCCAGTCCTGATGACCGAGGCACCGCTTAACCCCAAGGCCAACAGGGAGATCATGCTGCAGGTGAGGTCAGAGGTCATCTTGAGCTTTAATGTCAGATCGTGATGACAAGTGTTTTGACATAAAATACCTTTGATGGGGTATATACTTCTCGGCGAAAGAATTGTTGTATAGGAATACATGACGTTCAGACATGAGTTTGATACTATCATTGACGTATCCAGTACAGGGTGAAGCAGTCTGAAGGGTCATGAAATGAATAACCAAACTTGTATTGTGTCTATACCAGGCCAGTTATTTATTCAACTTCCCCATCTTTATCACTGTCTGAATATGCCACTGCACAACGTCTTTGAAAGTTCACAGTGCAACGAAGATGATGGCATTATTCTAAAGTATAACCTATAATTCCACTTTACAGATAGGTTGAGTTGACAAGATATAGGATCTCGTCAGATCAACTCCTGTCGCGGATCCAGAGTGGTGGCAACATAGAGGCACACGACACGCCCATTTTACTTTGGGGACAACGCCCGTGTCTTACATGAGTGCCTACTGTACATTTTCAAACCTTGATTCGCGACTGTCTGTCAATGCATGTTTCTTTTATTGGAACGTTTCCATTAAAAGTAACGCAAGCATTTATGCTACAATTTGGCTCATACCAACAGATCGAATGTATACAAGTAGAACAAAATGTGAAAACACGCTATAAATTTAGCATTTAAAAGTCTGGGTCTTAAATTAATAACTTCATTATGTCCATATTCGTCACCTGCAGACATTATTCGAGAAGTTCAACGTTCCCGCCTTCTACGTCAGCATCCAGGCCGTGCTGTCTCTCTACGCATCCGGCAGGACCACGGGTGTGGTCTTTGATTCGGGTGACGGTGTCACGCACACGGTACCGGTATACGAAGGTTACTGTATGCCGCACGGTGTAGGCAGGTTTGAACTGGCGGGAAGGGACCTGTCACATTATCTGGCCAAGATTTTGACGGAGAGGGGGTACTTCTTGACCACTTCAGGTAAGGACAATCAAAACCACGTGGGATATCCTAGCTTTTGTCATATTCTAAGGGCTTATCAAAAGATCGTCGGTTGCCCGCAAGAATGTCGTTACTGCTATTAACAATACACGGTTCTTATGCCCGTCTCATTGACAGCCGACGAGATTGTCATGTCACAAGGAACGGTGCATGGGCGGGGCGAAGTTATTGATAACTAAAGTCCAAAGCTGCTTTCCAAGCTACACGTATAATTATGAATAAAAGAGCAGCTAACCGTTTTAATTTTTCCTTTTTTTTGGTAGAGCATAATTATGATGTTTCATTTCACTAAATCTTTGAAATAAATGATTAACTATTGAATCTGTTTCTCTTGCCTATAGCTGAACTCGAGATCGTCCGCGAGGTCAAGGAACGGCTGTGCTACGTCGCCGTCGACTTCGACAGCGAGATGGAGCGGGCACAGCGTGACCCTACTCAGCAGGCTCACTACGAACTCCCCGATGGCGAGAACATTACCATCGGCGAGGAGCGCTTCCGTTGCCCGGAGGCTCTCTTCCGACCCGACCTCGTCGGGATGGAGAAAGTCGGCATCCAGCACTACCTCTACGGCAGCGTGGCCGCGTGCGAAATCGATATCAGGCGAAACCTGTACGAGAACATCGTCATGTCGGGCGGCAGCACCATGTTCGCAGGCATGGGGAAGCGACTTGGTAAAGAGATGCAGCGACTTTCGCCAACCGATATGCCGGTGAAGATAGTGGAGACTGAGGATCGGAAGAACTCGGTCTGGGTCGGGGGCTCGGTACTGGCTTCGCTGAGTACCTTTGAAACAATGTGGATCACGAAAAAAGAATACAGTGAATGTGGAGCGAATATAGTCCATCGAAAATGTTTCTGACGAAATTAAACTCACTGCGGACGCCTTAGTGAAAGAACATCGGTGGTCTGGTCCTCTCTTGAGGAGTACCTTTGAAGCAATGGATATGGATCACGAAAAGAGAATATACAAAGAATGTGGACCGAGTACAGTCCATCGAAAATGTTTCTGTTGTGAACGCAATATGGACGCATTTAAGTTGGTGGAAATATTTATATGCAGCTATATATCTAGGGTCAATATTGCTTTATTTCGTATTGTAATGAATTCTGACCTAAAACATCTCAGACACATCTCAACACCAACTCTGAAGCGACCGATTCTTGGCCGTTTAGAATAACGAAAGTTTATGTTTGGTCTTTTGATGGTCTAGGGTCGGTCTCGTTGGTGTGATGGAGTAATAGCATCGAGCCCTTCCCATCTCATGAGTTATTCTTGTCACAAAACACTTTGCACAAAGAGGCTGGCTCTCCATAGAGAGAGCAAAGTATGACACTGTTCGTTATCATCAATATCATGATCGCCCAAGCAATCATTATAGACAAGGAATCTGTTTGCCCTGAGAAGCGTAACAAAGACGATGGAAGACGTTCAGAAACAGAATGTAATGGTATCTTATAACGTTGCATCGACAATATCGCATGTCATGTAATTCTTTACACTTTCAATAACCGAAATCGGCGACTGTCTGCTTTTGTATTGATAGCAAACTATAAACTATATTATAGCAGCTTCGGATTAACGACATTATTGTATGGTTTTTGGATAGGGTGATTTGTTAATCTTTCAACAGCATTACCGGTATTATATAGTCACCGTACACTGATCTAGAAACATCATCTATAGACTAATTAACATGTATTCATCTAACATTCTTGTGAAGGAGCATATCATGCATTTGGAGAAAATTTGTTGAAGAAATATATGAAGAAATATGAAGAATGAGTAGGCCTAATATTAGTTCGTGTATCAATGTTTCGGGTAATTAATTGAGATTAATCCTGTGGAAAAATAACAAATATCTTTCGGAAGCCTTTGTGGAAAACAATCAGAAAACAAAAATATTAATACTTCTTGGTGAATGTAGACCTAATAAATAGAGTAAAATATAGAAGGGAAGTATATACGATTGAGTTTATAGTACCAATACAAAAAAAGATGAATGAGCGGGTTGAAGTTATTTTCGTCGCTTTGACGCTATTTCAGGAGGATATGAAATGAATTTACAATACATCCTAAGTTATTTTCAAAACACTTTGTGGTCGAAAATTTTGCTTAGAGGCGTCGCTACACAATTTCGAATAGGGGAGGGTTCTGAATCTGTTTGTTTTTTTATTCGGGGGGAGGGGCAAAGTTTACCGAAAAGTTCTCACAATATAGGAGTGTATACTGGAAGTCAAATTTTACAGAATTGGTAATATGTATAATAAGAAAATTAGGTTGATAAAATAAAATTAACTATGTTTCATCGATGTCTTAGCAACGTTTTGAGTAAATGTAACCCTGGGTTTTGCAGCAAAAATGATTATTCTGTCTGTATAACTGTAATAAATGATTTTATAAAATTGAGGGGGGCGTTATCATGGTTATAGAGAGAAATTATGACGACAATAAATATCTATGAATAATAGCCAACCTGCTCGAGTACCAATTTTATGTGTGACTCCATTCTATCGCCCCCTCTCTAGTTCTATCCTCATCTTCCTCTCAAACCCCCTCTCTATATCCTCTCTATCACCTCCTCTCTACCTATCATCTTTATGACTACCTCAAAAATCACAGTGACATGTCAATATAATTTCATCTTCAGTTTTAATGGGATTTGAATACACCATTTCCTGGTATAGTATGTAGTAAGGGAGTAGTAATCAGAGAGAGAGAGAGAGGGGGGGGGGGGTGAGTGAGGGAGCGAAAAGGAGAGAGGGGAGGAGTTAATGAGTGAGAGAGAAAGAAAGAGAGAGAGGGAGGAGTGAGTGAGAGAGAGAGAGAGAGAGAGAGAGAGAGAGAGAGAGAGAGAGAAAGAAAGAGAGAGGGGGCAGGGGTAGTATTATGACAGATTATTTGACCATTTTACTAATAACAAACCTTGTGAAAAGGAGCAAATAAAATTGTATCTCACATTTTACCTTGCTCAAAATGAAATGGGCCTATATCTTAATGAGAAAAAAAGACAAAAACCTAAACAACAAATAAACAAATATACATACATCAACAAAAAACATTTCCAACTGGCAATGGTCCTAGACTTGTGTATGCAAGGTGTTAAGTCACTCCAAAAGCGCAGGCGCATAGAGAGCATAGACCACTTCATTATTATGTCGAGGCGATGTTTATTTTGATGCACGTAAATGCATCACAGGATGCCATAAAATAACAAATAAGTTAACAAAACATGTTCAGTCAATTCTAAATTATCAAAAGTGGCATGAGACAGAGGATTTCTTTCTCTTTTTCTTTAACAGGTGATTGACATGCATTGCATGCACCTGACAAACTTTGGAAACTTTTGTTGCGCGCGCATCTTTACCACTGTTGACGTAAAAGAAAGCGCGAATTTTAGTAAACAGTGCGCATGCGTGCACCTTTGGTAACCAATAGCGCTAGCACTCCTAATACAGTTTTTTTTATTTTTATGATAATCTCTTTATTCATATTTCTTGCGCACATAGCAATTCGAGAGTTATTGAGCGATTTTCGCACATTATTTCGGAATTCTTTTAGCAAATTTTCAAAATGGGCTCTGCTAAATCCAGAGCCAAATCTTCGTCTTTCGACGAGGAAGTTGAAGATCACTCTGAGACAAACAGCAAGACTTGCTGTTGGACAGGAATCAGAAAATTCTTCTCCAAAAGCAAGAGGGTAAGGGGAGATATGTTTGAGAGTCCTCGTCTTATTTAATGTTTTTCTTGATACACCACTGAACAGACATGTCCTTCATGCAGGTATCAAAAGTGTACGTATTGAGGGGAAAACACTATCCACACACTGGTATGGTCATCTTAATTATAATTTTTCCGAATCATTTCAAAGAATACAAAGTAGAAAAATGGATGCAACCAGCGATACAATACAAATACATTGCCTTCAAGTTGAGAGAATACACACTTTTGATTTAATAACAAGTCATAACATTGCATAACGAATTGTTGTGTTTATATCGTTAAGAGAAAAATTGTCATTATAGTGGAACGGGTGATAAGAGGGAGCGAGATAGAGATACAAGGAGAAAGAGAAAGAGAGAGAGAGAGAGAGAGAGAGAGAGAGAGAGAGAGAGAGAGAGAGAGAGAGAGAGAGAGGGGGAGAGAGAGAGAGAGAGAGAGAGAGAGAGGGGGGGGGGGGAGAAATTGGGAGGGGAATAGGTCCAAGTTAGTTTTTATTCCAGTGGCGTATGAAAAATTGACATGGGCGGAACTCCCCAGGAACATAAGGAGCCGGGTGGGGGAACGAAATTTACCGGGCTACTGCATAGGGGTGATTTAGTAAGGTTTTACAATGTTCTTATAATGTAGTATTAAGGTTTGAGAAAGCACAAAATAGACAGAAACATATATATTTATACATCAGTTGTTTAAGTTCAATTTATTCCCTCAATCTATAAGGATCGAACTACTATCAGTCTATCAAAACCAATACTATAATGTAAGGGCCTGATATATAATAAGATATTGTATGTATTGTATGTAATTTCCAAAGCTGATGGCGTTGCAGATGGTTGCGGATGATATCGACAGCGATGACGAAAACGTCAACGACTCCAGCAAGTCATCTGCTGCTTCGATCCAATCAGCCACTGTCATTGGGCCTAGGGCATTTCAAAAATCTTGGTCTGCCCCTGCTGTACTTGGCCAAGATTGCCACCAGACCTTGATGCCAGCACTGAGCAGCAAGGCCGAGAACGAGCTACCCTCTACGTCCTATCCGAAGGACGTGAGGGTTTCCGCCCAATGTTTCCTATCCTACCGTCAGTTGCAAGTGAAAGAAATTGCTCATTAACAAAACATGGCTTTGACCAAAAAAATATTAACATTTTTTTTCCTTACTAATATATAATTTAAACAAATAATATCGTTTATCTCGTTTTAACTCGTTTAAATAAAATTGACCATATGTGAATGTAAAAGAATGGAACAAACGTTTAGTTGAGCATATAGCGGATTTTCATTATGCATGCATTATATGGCATTATCTATTTTCGGTACAATATGAGACAAATCTACAATCAGAACAATAAATTAAGTGATGTTAAGTCTCGGGAAAAAAAATCAGATGGAGGAGAAGTTGAGAATAAGAGATATACAGTATAAATTACATACTGTAGACGCGATAAGTAATACCCAAAGTTTAAGAGTAGAAGGTAGATCCACATACATATTGGAAATCGATACGTTCAATTTTGCTCACGTTCCTCACGGTAGATCGGTTCATCAACGATGAGGAGAACGATGACGAGTCAGTTTCATCCGACATCGAGCATTGGGACGAGGACGTCGTTGATGCTGATGTCGAATCCAACGATGATGACGACTTGTCACCAGTCCCTGGCCTTGTGTATTCAGAGAGTGAATGTAAGTATTCTATGCACACCCCCCCCCCCCCAAAAAAAAAAACAACAACAACAAACAAACAAACAAACAACAACAACAACAACAAGCAAACAAAACAAACTGGAAGCGGTTTAAGAGAAGAAGAGTAAAACGGAAATAATAAGAGTATATTGAGCATTAAATGAGAGAAAAAAGAAAACTGCACTCAATTTAGGTATCGCTTTGAATTTAGTATTTGAAAGAAACAGTAATAGAGATACCAAAGATAAACACTAAGGAAGGAGAAAATATAGAAATAGATGGAGAGAAGAAGTAGATAGATAAAGAAAATATTACTTTGGTTCTTTGGAGTCTTCATGTATTATCATTTATCTTGATGAGATAATAAGTACATTATCTATTTTCGCATTACGTCATGGTCAGTAATGTGTGATTTTTGTTCTCTTTTTCCCATAACAAGACACCGACGGCGATTACACTGATGATCAGAAGACCGAAGATGAGATCAAGGATGCAATCGACGAGTCCGGTGAGGATGAGACTGACCAGACCGTGATGGTCAAGGAGTATGACCTTGTCCAGATCGCCAATGTGACGGTCAAGGATGAAACAGGTGGAAAACCTGTTATCATTATAAAATAATGGGAGCTTCATTTTTGAGATCACAGTACATTCGATTGTACATGTATTTAATTATATACTCGGATATCCATATAATTCTTTAGATTTCTCATCTCTTGTTCTCCTGCGTACATTTTTGCGAAGATTTTGAAGAAGAAAAAGAAACTTGTAATCTCTTTCCCGTTGCAATATGCCCGTAAAATATGTTTACAAGGTTTGTTTATAGATTGAAGATGATTGTAATAGTGGTGATGACGTGGATAAATTTTAATATCATTTAAGAATAATTAATTCGACAATACAGTGTTTCAATCACTTTTGCTTTATATGTTTCAAAATTCTTTTAAATAGAGGAGAACACTTGCGGAATCTACCCGTCATGCAGCTCAAATGGGAGTGACGTCACCAGTGACGATGACGCTACTTCACGGGTTGATGACGGTAATGTTAACGTTTTCGTCGTAGTCATCTTTGTGATCTCCCTGATCATGGACATCATCCACACAGCAGTCTATAGCTTCTACCAGACCAGCCTCCAATTCGTCCACGAAATCGTAATGGGGAATGAGGATGAACTGAACGTTGACGAGGAGGAAGCCGTGGTCGTCTCTGGGGAGTCAGGAGATCGTACTCCACGAGGTTTGTTCATATGATATATATTTAGGAAGAAGAAGAGGAAGAAGAAGAAGAAGAAGAATAAAAGAAACAGAAAAAAAAGACCAAGAACAAGACAAACTAAAACAAGGAGAATTAATTGTTTAGTATTGAGTGAATGAAGCTAGAGGGGGTAAAACTGTCAAAATGTATCATCAAGACAGGTCAGAATGAAAATTAAAGTATATTAATGTCGGTCTATACAATAAATAAATCTTAATCATCGTGTACAAAATAATCCTTTAGTGATATTGATATTTGCCATCTGTTAATTTATGACTTGAAATAACATTTTTCCTTTTTATTTTAGGCTTTCGTCTCATTCATTCATTGATTTCAAATTTACAATCTCAATCAGGCCACCCGGAAAAATATCCTGACTTCATATTTGATATATGGGCTTACATTTTGCAACCCTTGCGGCAGCGTCTACCAGACCGGGCTCCAGTTCGTCCAGGATATCGTGATTGGGGAGGATGGTGATGAGATGGATGTCGATGACGGGTGGTCCGTGGTCGGTACTGAGGAATCTGAAGATCACATTCCCTCAGGTTGGTAGAAGGAAGAAGAAGAACGAATGAAAAATGAAAGATGTATATATCAGTAAAGGCGGATGCGTTTAATATGGATCACCAAATAAATAGAAAAAACAAAAGGAACAAAGGCGAGCAACGAACATACATACAAACAATAACATCAACAAATCAAATCATAACAAAACACAAAAACACGAACAAAAAACATAATTCTTATCAAGTAGGTTGAAAAATGATGAATATTGGTATACAAATAATCATATAGGCCTATATGATACTGATTGCTCTAGCAAATATGAAGATTTAAAATATTTATTTATACCATATCTTCAGAAGGTCATTAGTTTCAATTTTCTTTTCAATTAGGTTGCCCTAAGAGACAGTCAGATTCTACAGCCCAAGCGTCTCTCAGTTCATCTACGACATCATGAAGGAGGAGAAGAGGAGAAGGAGGATGAGGAGAAGAAGGAGGAGAAGGAGGAGAAGAAGGAGGAGGAGGAGGAGGAAAGAGAGGAGAATGAAGATGAGGAGAAGAAGGAGGAGGAGGAGATGGGTCCACGAGCATGGGGCAGATTATGGGAAACAGGAGATCTCTGGGCTGCCATCGACACCGGCATCGACAACATCAGCTCAAGCGCTTCTAAGTTCATCTACGAGATCATGAAGGAGGAAGGAGAGGAGAAGGAGGATAAGGAGAAGAAGGGGGAAGGGGAGGAGAAGGAGGATGAGGAGAAGAAGGAGGAGGAGGAGATGGAGAAGATGGGCGTCCACGAGCATGGAGCAGTCACTGGGAAAACAGGAGAGTCCTTGGCCGTCATCAACAACATCAGCTCAAGCGTCTCTCAGTCCAGTTACGACATCAAGAATGAGGAATGAGAGGAGAAGGAGGATGAGGATGAGGAGGAGGAGGAGGAGGAGGAGGAGGAGGAGGAGGAGATGGGTCCACGAGCATGGGGCAGTCACTGGGGAAACAGGAGATCTCTGGGCCGTCATCAACAACACCAGCTCAAGCGTTTCTCAGTTCATCAACGTCATCATGAAAGAGGAAGGAGAGGAGAAGGAGGATGAGGAGAAGGAGGAGGAGATGGGCGTCCACGAGCATGGGTCAGTCACTGGGGAAACAGGAGATCACTGGACCATTATCAACAACATCATCTCAACCGTCTCTCAGTTCGCCTTCGACATCATGAAGGAGGAAGGAGAGGAGAAGGAGGAGGAGGAGAAGAAGGTGGAGGAGTAGGAGGAGATGGAGGAGATGGGCGTCCACGAGCATGGGGCAGTCACTGGGGAAACAGGAGATATCTGGGCCGTCATCAACAACATCAGCTCAAGCGTCTCTCAGTTCATCTACGACATCATGAGGTAGGAAGGAGAGGAAGAAGGAGGATGAGGAGAAGAAGGAGGAGATGGAGGAGATGGGCGTCCACGAGCATGGGGGCGGTCACTGGGAAAACAGGAGATATCTGGGCCGTCATCAACAACATCAGCGCAAGCGTCTCTCAGTTCATTAACGACATCATGAAGGACGAAGGAAAGGAGAAGGAGGGTGAAAAGGAGGAGGAGGAGGAGGAGGAGGAGGAGGAGGAGGAGATGGGAGTCCACGAGCATGGGGCGGTCACTGGGAAAACAGGAGATATCTGGGCCGTCATCAACAACATCAGCGCTAGCGTCTCTCAGTTCGCCTTCGACATCATTAAGGAGGAAGGAGAGGAGATGGAGGAGGAGGAGGAGAAGAAGGAGGAGGAGGAGATGGAGGAGATTGGCGTCCAGGAGCATGGGGCAGTCACTGGGGAAACAAGAGATCTCTGGGCCGTCATCAACAACATCAGCTCAAGCGTCTCTCACTACGTACTCATGAAGGAGGAAGGAGAGGAGAAGGAGGAGGAGGAGGAGGAGGAGAAGAAGGAGAGATGATATTGATCATAGTGATATACCAAAGCAGAAGACAACTTGCCAACAATATGATGAGCCCGAACTGTCATGTATGAAACTTAGCCGATGAATATAGCAGTGGGGGGGGGGGGGGGTAGGGGGAGGGGGGGGGGGAAGTAAAGAAATACAATCGTGAACAAAACAGAACCCGCACCATGCAGTTAAAAAGTAAAGTCCGAACAAGACAGTCTTGTGCCAAGTTATGTGAATGAAATATTTTGAAGAGGAAAAGCAAAAGCAATAAATTCTGAAATTCTCTGAAACATTATGTTTGTTTGATTTTTTCTTTGATAGTCGCTGCAGGAGTGAAAATAGCGTTTTACTTTTAGTGTAAAGTCAATTATTTTGATACGACATCCGACTGATGAAGGCTTGTTCCTCAAAATAATTTGTTAACAAAGAGAGTGAGATAGATAAATAGACATACAGATAGACACATAGATTGATTAATAAGGTAGATAAATAAATAAATAGAAACAAGAAAGAGAGATAGATAGGTGATAGGGGGAGAGAGAGAGAAAAAGAGAGAGAGAGAGAGAGAGAGCGCGAAAGAGGTGGAGCCATTTTATTTATAATGACTTAGAAGGCTTGGGGCTGGTTGGGGGGGGGGGGGCTTTAGGAGAAAAACGTCCGGACGCCACATAAATATTTATTATTTATTCATTTATAACAATTCTGTTATACAGGTTGGGGTCTGTCTGTACAATTAAAACATAACAACATTATGGTAATTGAACCACCAACAACAACAGCAACAGACGCATAGATATATACCTGTTAAACATACAGCGTTAACAAGATAAAGAATAATTAAAAATGGTACCAGATAATTGAGATAGAGAGAGAGAGAGAAAGAGAAGTCAAAATAATGATAGAGCCACTTAATTCGATCTAAGACAAGTTTCACAAAGCCTTTTTTCAATGACAAGTGACAAAAACCGGTGACAAATCTGCGGATAACCACATAGAAACAATGATTTCACTAGCTTACTTATACTTGATGACCAGTTGTGTGTGAAATGGGGCCCTAGCTGGGCCCCATTTGTTATTTCGCATTTAATTAATTTACCAAGCGGTGCCATGGCTTCCCTCGGGCAGTGCCCTTCCGTATGGCTGAGCCAAGCTGCATCGCTGACTTGAGTTTAGAGCATCAAAGTGTTTATTTTCCAAAGTTAAAAAAGTGTACAATTTGGGAATAAAGATATTAATACACATTTTTTGATGGAGAAGTCAAAATAATGATAGAGCCATGCACTTAATTCGACCTGAGACAAGTTTCACAAAGCCTTTTTTCAATGACAAGTGACAAAAATCGGTGACAAATCTGCGGAGAACCACAAGTCATGGAAACAATGATTTCACTAGCTTACTTATAATTGACGACCAGTTTTGTGTGAAATCATGGGGCCCTAGCTTGGCCCCATTTGTTATTTCACATTTAATTAATTTACCAAGCGGTGTCATATGGCTTCCCTCGGGCAGTGCCCTTCATTATGGCTGAGCCAAGCTGCATCGCTGACTTGAGTTTAGAGCATCAAAGTGTTTATTTTCCAAAGTAAAAAAAACTGTACAATTTGTGAATAAAGATATTAATACATATTTTTCGATGGAGAAGGTACGCCCCCCCCCCCCCGCCCCCTATACGGCAGTGCCCATGTTCCATGCATTTGCAAACTTACGCACACGCAGATACGTACGTACGCGTGTGCGTCGAGAACAGAAGCAGCGCGGGAAATACGGAGAAAACAAGAGCTTGCTGTTACTACTACGTGTAAACCAAATGCAGGGAGATATACCAGCATATGAGCAACAACTCGCCCCTGTCCATCGGCCTGGGTATCCTACATTAGGCCGCTGTAAGGCTAGAGTTGATTCTGCGAAATAGCACCTTGATAAAAAATAATCATGGATCCTGCTCTTGAAGCAGAATCCCAGGATGACTTTGAAGATCTTTTTGCCGATGAACTAGATGCAATGCGAGACATCGAAGAAGGTATTGACTCGATCTTTCTTATTCTCTTGCCATCAATCATTGTAATGGTCCACCTGCACACCCCAATCAGGCCGAGTAGAGTAAAGGAGCCCGTAATCGGCCAGCTCCCGTTTTCGGCCGATTGGTTGGATACAAGGTAAAATCACTATAAAATACATCGCATAATAGCATAACGTAAATAATCATATCTGATTGATACACGTCTGTAAAAACCCAATACACACACATAACACATATCCCACACATACCATACCATGCCAGTGTCACTGAAGAACCACATTTGCAATGGAAAATATATCCTAAAATATCACATTTTAGCGATGTAATCGCCGGTCCCGCTACCCAAATCTGAAAAATCGAGTATCTTACGCGTGTCTGTAAGAAATATGGGTACCATAAAATGAGCTTTATTTCAAGTATTTTTCAGATTTAAAGCCCGATTTTGTGCTAGTCGCAAGCTCAAAAGTATGTCATCGCATGTATTAAATCAATGCAGCCGCACACCGCGACGCACACACGATATCTCTATCTAATTCAGATTCCAACTTCCGATCACCGCTGTGCCCGTCTTCGGCCAGGCGAGCACCAGGGAGCTCCGGCGTGGGATACCTGCTCCGCCCGCTTGTGCTGTACATCAGCGCGGAAACGCACGGCGCGCGCGAGCGCTTCCTATTGACTTTGTACATGCGGCCGTAAACTGAAACGCTCGGCCGATAACGGGCTCCAAAACAGTGAAAATTGAAATGGATATTGTCATGGCAATTCGTGATTTTTTTCTGGGATTCTTTTTTTGTGTAAATAATAATAATATTTGCTTCATGATTTGAACAAGAAATGATAATAAATAGGAAGTAAAGAGTCCTAAAAATAGGATTTTGTCTTAAGTGGTCGAAAACGGGCTACTTTACTCTATACGGCATCTGCAAGAATCTTCAGTATTGAAGGAGGCAGATTATCTTGAAGAAGAAGAAGACTCTAGGTCTAGATCTAGATCTAGATCTACATGATCTAGGTCTAGATCATTCATAATTTCATTGTTCATGAATCATGTTGTTTCAACTTTCATTTTTCATGTTTGTTTGTTGGCTGAAAACTGAAAGCAAGAATAAAATAGGTCTAGACGGACTCACGGAGTCTAACGAGTAACATCAAGTTGAAATTGAAAAGGTGCAATGCCAATAACGTTTCCATGGCCATGTCACTCAGCAGCTCAGTGTTGATTAATTGGGGCCCGTTCTTCTAGACCTAAGTTAGATCTAACTGTTAGATCTAGTTCTAGAGGTCTAAGTTACTCACTCTAAGTCTAACTTCTTGACTATCCCATTGAAACGTGTGTTATAGAATTAACACACGTTTCAATGGGATAGTCAAGATGTTACGGTTTCTAGGAACGGGCCCCTGGGGGCTGACGTCAGAAGTCTAAGTTCGTGGAAATCTCATTGAAACATAGACTAGACTCTATGTTAACACGCTTTTCAATGGGATGTGCACGAACTTAGTTAAGTTGGACTTAGACCTATCAGTATCACCTAGATCCCCAGTTCTAGTTAAGTTATAACTATCAGGTTTGACAGAAATAACCGTCTGATATGGGTCATTTGAAACCGACATTTGTTGACATTCCCCATGCACAGACGGTAACTGAGATGAATCGCACCGTGCAGGTAATCTAGTAGAGCCGGAGCGTAACCACTTTACGATAATAGTGATAAGTTTAGTGTACTGAGGTGCACAGAGTTTGCTAAATTTAGGGAACTCCCTGCAGGCCTTTTAACACTAATAATAGCTATTGTTGTAAAGAAAGAATTAGATGCACTATCCCTTGCCCAAAGCTACTACTAGTCTAGTCCAACTCATTTTGATCTAGAGTTCTAGACCTTTTGACTCTGTGTTGTGTGTGAACTTCCAAAATAAAAACCCCATGTTGATCTTCATTTTTTCCCTTCCTGGCATTTCTCATTTTAATACGTACAGACTTCAATCCAGAGGAGCAATGGTCTTCTCGTCCCAAACCAGTTTCCCAGAAGCCGAGCCAGCTCCAGAAGAAAGATGTCACGCTTTCACAGCCTAAGTCTAAGAGTCTCAATGATGCATCCAGCAGACTTAAGCCGGTCAAAGCTACAGGACGGACGACACAGCAAGGCAGAGGAGACAAGGGCCAGACTGATCGAGCAGCCAGGAAGCGGGACATGGATGAAATGTTTGGTGTCATGTCCGACGATGAAAGCGATAATGAACTGGTGATTGATGCACCATCCCCTGCCAAAAAAGGTAAAAATGTGCTTTGAAGAAGAAAAAAAGTGATTTAGATTTACTCATAACATTTGTCAAACTTTCAAAGCTGCTAAACAAATCATGATTTGTTCAGCAGTAGTAAATGAAAAATAGGGTTGTTAAACAAGTGCTACTTTGTGTTTGCAGACATTGTTTATTATGTAACAAGAATGCACATTGGCATTGCTGTTTGGGAAAAGAAGTTAATGGTACTCTACCCTTATCTGCTAAAATGGATTCTGATATAAGAGAGACCTGCCACAGAACTCTGGTAAGAAAATGTTTCCCATGATTAAGGGGTTTGACTTGAAATTACTGTTATTATGCATGCTGGTACAAGTTTGCATTTGTGTTGTCATTAGATTGGCCAATGTCATGTTGTTGAGCAAATTAATTTGACTTTTATTTTGATGTAAAACCTTGTGCATCTGTTCAGATCAAAAAGCACATGAGGTTGATTCTTCTGAGAGACTGATTGGGGAGGGGATAGTATCAACACCCCCCCCCCACAATAAAAATAAAAAACTTTCGGAATTCAACCCTGAAAGTTTTTGGATTTGCTAACAAACTATTTCAGCAGTATCATTTTAATAAAAATGGCAATATTCTTGTGATTTTTACACTTCTTAATGACTGTTTGTTTTTCTTCAACCATCAGATCCCAATCCTAAGAGAACAAGAAGAACTCTCCTGGATCGTTTCCTTGACAACGTCTCGGAGAGACTTGGCGAGACGAAGCCTCGCGAGGATGAGATCACCCCACCCCCTACACCAAACAAGGATGAACTGGGTCAGTTTGGTGGTCCCAATCACCCCCTTACCCCATCCTCCATTGGGTCATTGGGAGATAATGGAAGAGCAGGTCAAAGGTCAAATGTCAAGAGGTCGCTGAGAGTCTTTACTCGCCAGCCGGAAGGGGAATCAATGAAAGTGACAGGATCTGACGGGAGCAGGGTGTTCCTGAAGATGAAGGAGGAGTACGATCCCACTCAAGTCACAAAGGTCAAGATTCATTTGTCAACGATTCTATATTTCTCTCAATAAAAAGAAGTCAAAATTTGAAAGAAGTAGTAGCGGTGGTACTGGTTATTTTACCCGACTGCCAAGAAAGCATCAATGCTTGTTAGTAAGCAACCAGAGGACCAACGGCTTTAGGTCCTCTCCGAAAGACCTGGTAATGAGGATTAATGCCTTACCAAAGGGCATTGGGCATAGCCTTGGTTTCGAACCCGGGTCGCCGGATTACGAGACCACTGGTCTACCGACTGAGCTACTGACTGAGATATCGTATATTGTGCAATAAGTTTACTATCTACTCTGCTGTTTAACATATAGGATAATGAGAATATTCAATTTGATTATGTTTACTCTGTAACAAAACTATGCAATAGCATGCACCAATTTTGTGTGTCATGATTACATGCAATTGCTAAAAATATGAAAATGCAGCCACTCTATGCTCAGTTTGTATGGCAACATATTATGAGAATGTTTCAGAATTAACTAGAAGGCTATACCACTGAAAAAAACACATTTTGAACTCTCATTGATTTCAATATAACATGATTGGATTTGATCAAGTTTCAAAACTTAAGTTGGGGCCCAAGTAAGGGCTCGACTTTGTTGTCTTTTTTAACTCATCCAACTCCTCATTGATAACAGGAGAATAACTAGTTTGTGTTAAATGTGCTGCTTGATTTAATGATTTAATGAAGGTGTTTTTTTGTGTGTGGTCTATTTGCATTTCTTTGTAGTGTGTTGGTACTGTTTTTAATAAAATTTTTGTGTGTCTTTCCTTTGCATTCGTAAAACAGAAATTTGCTTCCAAATTTGGGTCAAGAAACACCAAAGGTCTCTTGACGATGTCCTACGACAACCTTGTCAGGCAGATTGAAGATGAGGTAAGTACCCAACTCCCCCCCCCCCCCTTAGTATTATTTAGGATACGCGTATGCATGTTCCATCCCTTTGAAAGCACCCCCCCCCCCCACTATTCAGTGTGTAAAGTCAATACGGATGATTTTTGTGTGTTACGAGTCAGACTTTGCGTGAAAAGTACCCCTTTACCAGAGATTTGGGGAACATAAATGCAGTCCCACCATTCCTTGAGTGGGGGGGGGGGGGGGGGGGTTAAGTAGATGTATAATGAATTAATGAATGAAGAAGAGAAGAGGGAAGCTGAGAAAGATTTGCTTTCTGGTACTGGGAAAAAAGATTTTACAGACAGGGTTGACAGGGCATTGCAATGAATCATGAGGCATGTAAAGGAGACTTCAGTGAAGAGCCCAAGAGGAGAATCTCTAATTTAGCCATGGCCTTGAATACTTTCTTATTGTGAAATAGGAATTCAGATAAATAGTATTGAATTTGACAGTGGCATCACCATGGTCATCATTGATACACAGGATTGATAGGTGCTCATAGTCCTGTAATAATTCTGGTATTGGTACTGAAAGAAAATATGATACAAAGTTCTGATGGTACAGTGACAGCTTAAGTGACCACCTGTCCACAAAGACCACACTTTTTGTTTACCTTGAAAATGATTTCTCATTGAAAGATGTACTAAAGGATCACCTGCATACAGTACATTGTATATTAAGGACCACTTTTCTTGTCTCCCTTGGGTGGTCTTTGTAGACAGGTTTTGCTGTACAAGCAATAATCATCAGTGGTGGGTAAAATGCTTGCATACCAGAAATCTTTCTGTTTCTTGAAGACTTACAGAGAAAGGGCTGCTACCACAGTCTGTGAGAGATTAAACAATTCTCGCTACCCTAAATAGGTACGAAAATCTCGAAATTCGCGAGACGAGGTAATTTTCACTCTCTCGGGTCGTCACTACAACTTCCGGTATAGAGTCCCATCCCAAGTCACGGCCTTCATCCACCCCCATTTTTCAGGGTTCTTACGCTTGGAATCATGAGCCCAGCACTGTGCAGCCTCACAAAAAAAAAACATCGTCACTGATGTCAAAAGACGCAAAAAACAACGAATGAAATGTTCAAATAAACGTTGAAATATTTGCGAAAAAAAACAAGACCGAGCAGACGACATATTCGGTGCATACACGTTGTGTGGCGACGGCGTTTTACGTTTGCGCTATCGCGCCGCCTGCACAGGAAGCTGTAATGTCGAAAAGCTATCCCATAATGCAATGCGCGTTTTCAGGATTTTCCCCGGATCTCGGCAGAATCGCTATTTGGGGTAGCGAGAATTGTGTTTTTTAAGAGTACTGCTGACAGAGTAATGCTAAATTTATCATATCTGCTTTTTCTTACAGGATAGAAGAAAGGTGATTGAAGAGTCATCTCGAGTGTCTGAAAAATTAAGAAGGTGAGTGCAAACAGTAATTTTAGAGCATCTTATCAATGAAGAATCCCGCAAAATCTCATACGAATGTCTCATTGGTATTGGAAAGATTGCTAATTGATTATTAATTCACCCAAAATGCAGGGCAACCAAGTATGAGGAAGTGTGATGCTCATGATATTTGCAGAGATGCAAATGTGAATCGTTTTGATTTTGCATGGTAACCACATTCGAGATTTGATATTTAACAAATTTGTCATCAAGATGAATGATGTCGTACAATCAGATAATGTTTTAGTATAGGGTTGTGAACGGACGTAGACGGATTCAGGCTCTCCTACCTTTGATGGATGAGGTTCTCCTTCCTCTTTCATTGCTATTATTTTGTTCACATTGTTCGAATTTGCAGAGAGCTTGCCAAAGAGTATGAAGACGAGGATCTCGACGGTGACCTCATTGAAGGAAAACCAGAAGAGGATGATGGGAAGGGGAACAGAGGATTGTGGGTAGACAAATACGCACCAAAGGACTACGTAGACCTACTGAGCGATGATGTAAGATATTTGTAGTTACTCTTCAGAGATTTTCTGTATTTTCACCATGACTGACTGAATTAAGCTTTTTAAAAATGCAGACATTATTTTGAATTTCCTACACCAATACAATGATTTTATAACGAAAAAAGTGGCTATTCTTAAATGACTTCCAAATTACAATTGCACATCTACAGAGCATAGGAAGATCAATGGACTGTATTTCTCCTAGATGACAGATATTTTTATGTTAGCAAAAAATTTGGATATACCAAGAGTCCCTTGTGATAAACAAATGCACTTTGTAAATTTTGAATAGATAAGTGTAGAAAAAAATATGAACTTCTTTCTGTTTAATAGGAAAACAGTAGTAAATTCAGTATATTTTGTTAAAAATGTGAAGATGAAAAAAATGTCTCTCCAAATTTCTATTCTTCTCACAACATCCAATTTATTGCACATCTACAAAACATATAAGGTAGTAAGGTCAGTGGAACGTTTATTTCATTTAGAAGAAAAGTTGGAAATGGATATACCATCCAATAAACCGTCTGATATACAGTCCATTGTTATAAACAAAATTACCTTGATTTTCTTTCTGTTTCATAGTAAAGAAGTAGTTAGGTAGTACAGTATACTTTGTTATGAATGTGAAGAAGAACTGAAGAAGAAGAAGAAAAAACACAGTGTGACCAAATTAAGTGGGAGAGAGTTTTTTAAAGATAAAGTTGAGTTCTGGTCATGCAATTGCATTGTGAAAGAAACGGTGTGGAATCGATCAGAAAAGGTTGATCAACTATTTGTGTGTACTGCAAGGTTCTGGAATCATCAAAATGATAACAAATTTGGCCCTGTCTTGATAAAGTTACAAGCACTGTACACAGAAAGAAGTATATGGGATTACACAAACATGTAGCTTAAAAATGTGTTCTGATTTTTACGATGTTACGTGCCATATTTAGAATATTACGGCATTTGAAGAGCCATGCTTTTCGGGGAATATTTTTTATATGATGTTCTTCCACACTTGCAGAATACAATGATAACGCTCATAAATTATTGTTCCCCTCTTTCCAGAACCTTCTATTTAAATGCTGATTTGTCTTTGTTGTTGTTGGTATGTATTCACCATGATAAACCTTCTTCTATTCTGGTAGGGTGTGAATCGCAACCTGCTGTTCTGGTTAAAGCTATGGGACCATGTGGTGTTCGGAAAGGAGGTGAAACAGAACAAGACGAAGAACAAGCAAGAAAAGTGGAAAGGAGGAGGAGGAGGAGCTGGAGCAGGAGGGGGAGCAGGACAACAACCAAATAATAATTTCAAGTTCAAGTCCAAATTTGAGCGTGAGCTAGAGGACTTAGTAAGTCGCATATACATATATTTCCTAGCCCCCATTTCACAAAACTTGTCATCAGTGACAAATGACAGTTTTTGTTTATAAACTAGTGAAATCCTTGCTTCTGATTGGTTATCACCTGATTTTTGACATTTGTCATTGAAAAAAAAGGCTTTGTGAAACGGGTCCCTGCTCTTTGCGTTTGTTTATAATACTGGAGATTTTCATAGTGAAGTCTGAGCAATGTTATGAGTGGATTGTTTATAAGGAAAATGAAGGGACGGCAAAGACAAATTGACCATTTTTTAATATTGTTATGTGATATAGAGAAAGAGAAGAATGGATGGATTATAGTGAAACCTTGATTCACTGCTTCCTGGCACCTTAGTTGAAGTGAACGAGAGAGGGCAGGAGTCACTAAATCTTAACTATTTATGGTTTGTTCACACATGAAGTGAACGACCGCAGTTGTTTAATTTTTAGTGCGTAAGTGAATGGCAAGTGCGATGAAAAACAACAGCTGCATGCAACAAAGGTCCAGTGTGTACGTGCTTATCTGTGTGTTATAAGTACAGAAATGTTGAGCACATTATGCGTATGATACATCATTAGAAAAAAGACACATTATATGTGAATATGCCTTTAGAGCCTAAGTATTCAAGGAGGCACATATGAAATGAAGTTGATTGATACATTATAATCTTCCTTCTTGAGTTACCAGATGTAAGCCAAAGATGCTAATTTTGTATGGTTTTGAACCTCTTGTCTTTATCAGGAACTGGATGATCAGAACCGGCCCAAGATGAAGGTTGCCCTGCTCTGCGGGCCACCGGGACTGGGCAAGACAACACTAGCCCATATCATTGCGAGGCACGCTGGCTACAATGTCATTGAAATGAATGCCAGGTATGTATGTATGTATGTATAGATCTAAACTTGGTGGGGGGTGGGAGGCAAGGGGATGAGATTTCCCCCAAGTCTGAAATGTGTTATACATGTAGGTACAGTGAAACCTGCTTTTAATAATGACCTCTTGTTTTGAAGACCACCTGTCTTCTAAGACTTCATTTCTATTCCCCTTCAAGTGATCTTGACAGGTTTCACTGTATTTAGAAATTCACCCGCTGGATTTTATCAATCATCTTGATATTCTTTCTGTCTTGTGTTGTTATAATATTTTGTCTAATAGTATTCAAATTGTTCTGTTGATTTGTATGGTTTATATAAAAAAAAAAGATACTTGGTTATTCAGGTTAATAGCAGAAAATTAACAGAATTAAATACAAATACAAAGCTGAAGTCATGCAAGGTAAGATAGAAGAAAAAAAGTGTCTCAAGCAAAATAAACGAGAGTAGGCCTATGCTATCAGGCATGGCTTTCCACATTCGTCTCTCCATCTCTTTCTAAGCAATGAAATATATAAAAAATGATTTGCAAGCAGCTCTCTCGATTTCACTGATTACTTGACCAATACAACACCAACTCTAAATCACACTTCTTAATTGCTTGATTTTTCAGTGATGACCGTAGCCTAGAAGTCTTCAAGAATCGTCTACAGTCGTCCATCCAGATGACCTCTGTCTTGACCCCTGACCAGCGGCCAAACTGTTTGGTCATTGACGAGATCGACGGTTCACCTCAGGTAGACAGGAAATCTTGCTTTTATCTTTAAACAAAATTGTGATTATATTGTGATAATTTTGTAAATTTGTTGGAAATAGGTGGTATGAATGTGCCAATTAACTTGTAGTAGAATTGGTTTTTAGATGGTTTTGGTTAGAAATGATTTGATATAGAAAAATGTATTTCTATCAGAACTGTCTCTTCCTTCATACCCTTGTTGAAGACGCCCTTTTGAAGACGGAGACAGACTTGTGTTAGTTGTTGACATTCAAAATTCAAATGTATCTTTAAAATTCTCATCACAAGGCACCTGGGGAAGAAGCTTATAATAACAATTTGAATGCAATTTGAATTTGTCTATTGTGATGATGTGTTGATCTATATTTACCACTCTTTACCCAGTGTGTGGTAAATGGGTACCTGGTAGGAACTTACTCTTTGAATGATTGTAGTTCCTTGGGCAGCAGTGTAATAATAAGCCAGTGTAATAATACTACTTTGTAGATGCCTTTAGCATGATAGCATCCCTTCGGATGTGCACAATATAAATGTAGTTAATATTATTATTAATCAATTTATATGAATTGTAAGTGCTTTTTATGATTAATTCTGTGATTTCAGGCTGCCATCAATTGTCTCCTGACTGTCATCAAAGGAGGGGGTGATTCTAACCAAGCCGGTGGGGGAGGAGGGGGCAAGAAACGCAAGAAGGATCAGGGGCCACTCAAGCGCCCCATCATCTGTATCTGTAATGATGTGTGAGTAGTCAGGCATCCTAGCATGCCTTCTTCTTTTTTTCAAGAATGTTAAAATCAAGGATATTTGTGCTAAAATATTTTACATAGTGACTGAGGTCTTATGGAAGGAGCGTTTGAAGATAGAAGATTCAAGCCTTTTCTTCAAGGCGCTCGTTCCTATTATATGCTGGCAAAATACTGTTTAATCACAGGTATTTACACTAGTGTCTACCTATTTCCAGGGGCATACAGATAAATGCTCAATTATAAAGCAAAAAAGGCAATCTATGTAATTAGGCTTGTAGACTGAAATCGGTAATTAATTGTATAGTGGTTATATTCCCCGGCGCCCCCACTCAGTGTTATTTAGGGTACGCATATGCGTGTTCCAACCGACCCCCCCCCCCCCCCTTTTCAGCAAAAGTCCGGTGTGTAAAGTCAATACGGCTCGACCTTTTTCTTTTGTATACGAGATTTTTTCAGCACCCCCCTTTTCAGCAAAAGTCTGGTGTGTAAAGTCAATACGGGTCGACCTTTTTCTTTTGTTACGAAAAGGACATTTTGGCAACACGCATGGGGTCCGTCCGTTCTCGGAGTGGGGGGGGGGGGCCGGTTATATTCATACCAATTGTATTAATATTGAATATGTCCTGCAAATGTGTTGTTTTGTATGTTTAGCAAACACTTATTGTAAGATAGGTAATGGTTTCAATATTTAAAACAATCAAATTCATAGGAATCAATAACTTTGTAACCTAGATCACAGTTTGTAAACTTTTTCCTTCTCTTTAAAATGTGTGCATTCATGAATGATGACACGGTAATATATCTGTTAATCACTTAGACATCTTTGATGTATTGAGCGCCTTATAAAACCGGAATATTATTATTATTATTAATAATTTATATTTCATTTTTCTTCCAATTACATTCTTTGATATGCCCTTGTTATCACCAAGTTATTATGATTAGCGCCCAAATCTGTATTTTTGTTGCAGGTATGTTCCGGCCTTGAAGCAGCTGAGACAGCTAGCCTACGTCACACACTTCCCTCCCACTGCTGCAGCAAGATTAGCCCAGAGGATGTATGCGGTATGTGTCAATAACTATTCTTAAGACAAAATCCTGGAGTTAGCTCATGCTGTAATCATTATTATAAACCTTTAGGTCAGTCAGGAATCCCATGACTTTTACAAGCAAGATAATTATGATTGGAAATCGAAATTTCAAAAAACGTTTCTTATAACACTACACTACAGTCAATTTGGGAAGTGAGTATGGTAAAACCGGTCACTCCAGATTTTTTACTTTTTCGAGGCACTTTTGTAGCGCAATTTTTTTTGAGGCCTTCAATATTACACCATATCACATCAAATCGATGCCTTTAAACTGAAAGTTTAAGAAAAAAAAATGTATTTCATCTTTTGAAATTTAAGAACCATTATCTCTAGTTGCTATCTCGAATGTATGAAAGTAGAGTTTGGTTTTGTAAACAGCACGTAATAGAAGATATCAATCTACATTTGCCACACTCGACCCAGATGAGGTAAATGGGCACCTGGTAGGATTATTTCTTGAAATGCACTGTGCGCTCATAATGGGTGCTGGAACTAAAGCTAGGTTAATAATTTCCAAAGCTCTCAGGAAGCGCATAGAGACGTTATAATGTGATATGCACTTTAGTAGTATTGTTGATATTTCATAGTGTGTTTCTCATATCAGAGGGGATTTTGCAGTAGGAATGTCTGAAATAAGAGCGTGTTTATGACCAGAAATGCTGTCTGTAATTTAGAAAGTATACTTATCTAAGTGTCATTTGTAATTTAGTCTTTCCCTATTATGAGCAATAACATGCTCTCTGTAATTTCAAAAGTATACTTATCTGAATGTCTATTGTAATATTTTATTAGTCTTTCATAAAATTATGAGCAACAACTATTGTTTTCTTTCTTATCACAGATATCAAAACGCAACCAACTCCAGACGGACCTTACCTCTCTAATGGCTCTATGTGTGAAAGCTGATAATGATATTAGATCATGTCTCAATACCTTACAGGTATGAACTTTCACTTTATTCATTCTCATGATTTAACAGTTTTGCACTATCACCCATCCTTTCATAATAGCAAAAAGAAAGACAAACAAATCTACTTTTCCTAAATAAAATCATATTCCTTATTGTTAATGGAAAGGCTTCCTTTTAGTTTGCAAAAAATGAATTAATTTTATAATTCATTAAAAATTTAAAGATTTTTAAAGGGATAAATAAATCCCATAGTGGGAGCAGCAACATTGCAAATAAATTTCAGTCTCATTATAGCTTAGGCCTAAAAAAAAAAGATGTTGTATTGCCCTTTGAGACCGACCCAAAAATCTTGAAATCTATGGTCGGCTTAAATTTTTTTTTATAAATACTGTTTTTTAGAGAAAAACAATATTTAAGCATTCAAAACTGAAAAATATCAGTCCAAAGAGGGAGAAAAAAAAAGATTTCCAACCAACCGACCCATGTTTTGGCACCTAAATGGCAATACAACATCTTCTTTTTTTTAGACCTTATGGAAAAGGGCTTTGTTCAGACAACTATATATTTTTTGCTTGAGATTGTAACTTGGATGTGTAGTCAACAAGAAATAGGTTTTAAGTTTGCTGATACAGTGAAACCTGTCTATAAAGACCACCCAAGGGAGACAAGAAAAGTGGTCTTTATAGGCAGGCAGTCTTTATGTACAGGTTCCTTTAGTACATGTTTCAATGAGAAACCATTTTCAAGGGAAACCAAAAATGTGGCCTTTGTAGACAGGTGGTCTTTCTATACAGGTGGTTGCTGTATCAGGTTTGACTGTATCTTGGAAGCCTCCTAAGGATGCATGCATAGTTTCTCAGTAATTTATTTATTTATTTATTTATATTTAAGTGTTATGTATGTATGCCTACCAAAACGCCCCTACTACCTGGTGCAACCGTCTCTATATTGTCCCTCCCAATCACTTTGCTCCCCCTCCCCTCCTTGGCACCAACCCCCTAGAGCAATTATGCCCATGTAAGTGGTAGTTATCTGACAGTTATTCTAGGCTACATTGTCTAGGGGATATCCCAGTACTACAACTATCCATGTACAGTGAAACCTGTCTGTAAAGACCACCCAAGGGAGACAAGAAAAGTGGTCTTTATAGGCAGGTAGTCTTTATGTACAGGTTCCTGTAGTATATGTTTCAATGAGAAACCATTTTCAAGGGAAACCAAAAATGTGGTCTTTCTATACAGGTGGTCGCTAAAGCAGGTTTGGCTGTAAGATTCACTATGTTTAGATTTGATCATTTTAAAGGTAAAGACCAGTATTGGAAACGCCCCAATTTCAAAAAATGAAATGGAAGCTCTCATTACCAATCATGTGAAAGAATGTGTTTTGACTAATACATGATATAAAAAATTTGCCGGGAAACTGCCTACTAATTCATATATTTGGTAAATTTGTTTCTCTTATGGTCTGTGAGTCATATAGGGTAGTCCCATATACATCTTTCTGTGTATAGTGCTTGTAACTTTACGAAGAATGGGCCAAATTTCTTGTCATTTTGATGATTCCAGAACCTTGCAGATGCTAGATGCTAGATGATTAACCTTTTCTGATCGATTCCACAACGTTTCTTTCACAATGCAATCGCATGACCATAACTGGTCTTTACTTTTAAGGTATAGCTTCTTATTGTCAGTATTTTGCTTTTCATTGCCTAGTTTCTGCAGCAGCAGGGCAAGCCAGTGACGCTGGGGCTAGTCCATTCCCTGAACATCGGTCAGAAGGACCAGCACAAGAGTCTCTACACAGTCTGGCAACAACTCTTCCAGTTACCAAAGGCAAAGAAGTAAGTCGTATCTCTCTCTATAAATCATGTCAGGGCCATTTGCCAATACTAAAAAAGTGAGTCCAGGGGGGGTGTTTCATAAAGCTGTTCGTAAAGTTACACATGACTTTACGAATGACTTGTATATGAAGTGCCGGATAGCATGCCCAAAGTTTTTTCTGATATTTTCAATAACCTCAATTGAATTATGGCAAAAAATATACTTTGCATTGAAAATGTTTGTTATCATAAGAATGTTAATCTACATCTGCACAGTTCAACTTTAGTTGATGTATTTTATAATGATTGAGCATCCCATTTGGCTTTTCATATACAAGTCGTTCGTAAAGTCATTCGTAACTTTACGAACAGCTTTATGAAACACCCCCCTAGTCTCTATATTAAAGTTTATATGCAAACAGCTGGGGGGTGTTTCATAAAGCTGTTCGTAAGTTACGCACGACTTTACGCACGACTGGAACATGTTCTTGGGTGCTAATCAGATTCTCAATCATTTACATGTAGCACAAGAACATATCACCAGTCGTGCGTAAAGTCGTGCGTAACTTACGAACAGCTTTATGAAACACCCCCAGGACAATTAAGTTATCCAAATCAATGTGTCTAGTCTCTTTCTCTTTTTTAGAAATGATCATGTTAGGGTATAATCTTTTTTCCCATTTCTAAGAATTGTCTATAGTCTCTCTCTTCATTGCCATGTAATGGCTAGTTGTCCACACCAAAAAAATGGGCCCAGTCTCTGCCCCAAGTGTATGTATGATATGGGAACCTGTTGCATTTTGATTGGCAAGTCATACTGCACTTTCTTGAAATAAATCACTAGGACAATTCTATGTTATATTTAAATAGCCTGTGTTCAATGTCTTAGAAAAAATATGAAAATTGAACAAAAATATTGCCAAGTTATACTACAATCAACAATTTTTTTTCTTTCTTACACTTATGTACCAACTTCAACTAATATATGAACACCATTGTAGTTCATTATTCAAACTTTGGATATTTTGACTATTTAAATGTTACAGAAGCCCGTAGAGATGTGTGATGTACCAAAAAATGATGTATTGGATGGGTTAAAGGGACTGTATCATGGGAAATACTGGTTGACGCCATCTACGTCTTCTTTTGGACAACTGCACGTAAACGAATGGACTTGATTAACTGCACACTGAGGTAGAGGTCAGTGATTAACTGGATCAGCGCGCGAAACAGACTGAAGTTCTCCTCATGCTTCGGTTTCGTGTATGTTGCACGTACATGAGTACTGCGGTTGCGTCGTTCGTAGTCGTATTATACCCGATTGCCCTGAGGGCCACAGTAAAGACACATAGTCTCGTCATGCTACAGCCCCTTTAAATGACTAGATTCTCTTTCTCCACAGGAAAACGTACACCAACCCCCATGACCTCAAGCAGGGTCAGAGGTTAGGGGTCGTCTCTGAATCGATGCAGGGACTGGACAGTGACATGACGTCTCTGACGGCTCGCTTCCATCACATGCTGCATGTCATACAGTCCTGCGGGGAGCATGAGAAACTCATGAATGGTAAGTGATAATGAAAGACAGGGGGCCTGTTTCACAAAGCCTGTTTTCAATGACAAATTACAAAAATCAGTGACAAATCTGCTGATAACCAATCAGAAGCAAGGATTTCAGTAGCTTATAACAAAAACTGTCATTTGTCACTGATGACAAGTTTTGTGAAATGGCACATCAAGTATACTGTATATTGTAAAAAGGGGGGGGGGGGGGGTAACAATGCTGAAAACTATCTGGACAAGAAAAATGTTATCACATTTTTAGTAATAAAGTAATAGACATGGAATATGTGGAAGAGGAAAAGAGAAGAGAGAAATTCAAAAAGTAGAGGATCAAAGCAATATGGAGAAAATGGAACATGACAAAAATAGAAAAAAAAACAGCATTCGTTGAGAATGTAGGTTTAAACTATGCTAAGTGTAGGAGTAAATTACCTTTCTCTTTTATTTTGTTGTTCGAAGGAAGAAGGAATTGATTATTTGTGAATGTTTTTTTTCACAGGTGTGTTTGAGAACTACCTGGAAGTCAAATTCAAGGATCCTCACATGGATGCAGTAAGTTGAATACATTTTTAGAACTTCAAGAATCCTCTTACACACATGTAATTCACATTGTTTTTGCTTCATGCAATGTAGTTTTACATAAGTATCAATGAAATGTATTACTATATTCTATTCAGTACATAATTCTTTCTAATAATTGTGTTTGTCTTAAAAATTCTTTATCATGCAATGCTGTTTTTACTATTGCCCAACACAATGATGAAATTATAAGCTCCAGATACATGTGTGTACCATTATTGAAATTTGTTATCCTTATCATGTTCACAGACATCTAGATGTACCACTGAATGACATATCTTGCCTTTTTTTTGTGTGTGCAAAGTCCCGCTAGAACCAGCAGGAAATGTTGATTCACCTTAATTTTAATGACGCAGTCAATTTTATTCTATCATCTCTTGTTTTTATTCATTACCAGATCAACATGGCCTCAGACTGGTTGGTATTCTCCGATATAGTCCAGTCTAAGATAGCCCGGACCCAGAACTATATCTTTGGTCGGTTCCTGCCCTTCGTGCCGCTCACCTTCCACATGTTGTTTGCGTGCGTTGCGTACACCAAGATTCGCTACCCGAATACAGGCTTTGAGGTACGTCATTTTAGCAAATTATGGACTTGTTTGTATGATATTAATTTATTCATGACTGTATTTTACAATTTTCGTTGAGTGCCCTAGCATTTTACATTATAAACATTTCTGATACCTGTACATTGATTGCTGAAGTGTATGGTTGTGGTAATCTGATATTTAACTTTGAATATAAGACGGCAGCCAGAATATGTAGTGGAAGATAATTTTAAATATTGTTTTTGTACTTGACTCTTACTTGTATACATCATAACGTATATATATATTCTTTTTGTATATCTCCTTTGTATGTGGTACTTCAAGATATAATAGATTTTTCTTCACGGAGATGTGAAATCTACTGTAGATGGTGCCTTCAAAGTTTTCAAGCCAGGAAAGGCAGAAATGCAAGAGTTGTATACTACTGTACTGTTAATTTTTTTTTATAAAATATGTGTGACACCCATGATCACATAAGAATTATGATTAATTGTGCATGAAAATGAAACCAATGATATCCAAGTCTTTTGGTGTTTGATTCCACAGATCAAGACGAAGACGGAGCTGATTAAGAATCTTGTGGAGACGATGCGATCAGAGATTGATCCTAGCATCAGGCAAGGTATCAACCTGAAGCTCGCTGTCACAGAGCTACTGCCCCCTCTCCTCATCATCACTCAACCTGCCTTTAGACCGGTGAGTATCATAATGTGTTAGCGAGTATTGGATGACCAGGGGGGTGTTTCACAAAGATCCTAAGTAGAACTTAACACTAAGTTGGACTTAAAAGTTATGGAGAGCCATTTGTAGCCTTAAAAATGAAATATATTCAAAAGCAGAAATTCAAGTATTTTAGACTTTTTATAAATTCCACATCAAGAACATGAATCTCCTTGATGATAGAAAATATGAAAGATTTCAATCAACATTTTATGCCTTTCCAAATAACTTTTACGAAATATTTTCAAAGGTGCTAACGGCTTTCCATAATTTTTAAGTCCAACTTAAAGGTAAGTTCAACTTAAGATCTTTGTGAAACACCCCCATGTTTTCATTTGGTGTCTGAACTCTGGCCCTTGTACCTCTGTGTGTCTGGCTGACCTGTATTCAGAGGCTCTGTCTTGTAGAAGAGATATGGGGCTCCAACATGTATTGGTCTCTTTATGGGTTGATCAATTAAAAAACATTGTTGTCAAGCACATTACATTGTTGCTATCGTCCACTTTAAACTTTCGATCTATTGTTTTGTTAAGGATGCTTGAAGTTTTTCTTTTAAATTGGAAAAAACTAAAATTAAAAGATCGAAAGAAATATGTCAGAAAAAACGAAGGAAAAGAGCAAGAAAAATATGTATTTTCATCTAAAAAATGGCGGAAAAACAGAGAAATAGCAATGCATAAACAACAAGCCGATTCGCCATTGCTCAAGGCACAACAGCAAGCTTAACGCCAAAAAAGAGAGAAGAAAATGGAATAATTGATGAATGCTCGAACAGCAAAGGCCCTGCTTTTAGCTCACAATGTGAATAATACCAACACCTCCTTATACCTCCTTGCAGATCAACACTCAGTTGTTCAGTGCAGCCGAGAAGAAGCAGCTGAGAGAGTTAGTGGACACCATGATAGCCTACAACCTGACCTACAGACAGGAGAGAAGTATGGAAGGCACCTATAACTATAACCTAGACCCGTAAGTACAGTGTGGCATAAGCTGTAGCGGGGAATGGTAAGGTCTATAAAAAAAAAAAAAGATGTTGTATTGCCCTTTAAAAGTCGGCTTTTTTTAAAAGATTCTTTTTTTTTTACCAGTTTTTAGAAAAACAATGTATTAAAGCATTATAAACTGAGAAATATCAGCCCAAAGAGGGAGTAAAAAAAAAAAATAGAAGAAAAGATTTCCGACCGACCGACCGACCGACCGACCCATGTTTTGGTACCTTGAGGGCAATACAACATCTTTTTTTTTTAGGCCTGGTTGTGACCATGGTTGTTGTGGATGTGGAAAGGGCTTTCTTGTAAGTACAGTGGTTTTGTAGGACTGGGATGCCTGTTCTCAGGCCCTGGCAAGTTATTTTCAGGCCATAGTTTGTTTTTTTTGGGTACAAAATGGCTCATTCTCTGTGATTTTCAGGCCCTCTGATCAATTCTAAATGGCATCCCTGATATGAGTGTTTTAGAGGACTGCTGATTTAGGGGAATAACAGAGATGAATGTGTACCCTGTATTTGATATGGAGTTGTGCAATATGATTTGTGGGAGAGAGGGTAGTAGTGGTTGATGGTGATAGTGATTGGGAAAGAAAGCGATATATACAAATCTTGCAGCATAGACTTTTAGGTAAAGTAGTATGGTTAAGGATGTAGATAGATTATTTGTTGTTGAGTTTGAAGGTCATTTAATAGAAGTATTGTCATAGACAATGTCAAATCATTGGAAATTTGGTCAGGAATTTGTTGTTCCCAGATTTAAAAACATTATTTCCTCTTCAAATGTTCAATTTACTTCTTGTCTATTGATTGGACTGGAACTTCATATTAGGATTTGATCACAAATCTGCTCAAATTATGATAGTCGACCGACCAGATGGTGATTTAAACTCTTCCTCCCTTGATATATATCATACTCAATTCAATTTGATTCAATTAACATTTATTTAGCAAAAAATCTAAATCAAAATGAAATCATTACAAATACCGGGATTGCTGAAATAAATTAACAACTTGTAAACAAGCAACCCAAACACATACAGATACAATACAATACGATGAAATACAATACAATACAATACGAATAATGTTACATACTAACAGATATACTCTGTTTTGTTTCATTCTGTATCTTCAGGAATCTTGACATAGTGGTGAGGTTTTCTGACTCTCCTCCTGTTCGTCAGATCACATACGCAGCCAAGCAGCTCATAGCCAGAGAGGTAATTGGACTATCAAATTTATTTTATATATATTTTTAATAAGTTTTTTGCCTTCAATTATTGTTCTTTTCATATACAGTCAAACATGTGACCACCTGTCTACAAAGACCACATTTTCCCTTGAAAACAATTTCTCATTGAAACATGTACTAAAGGAACCTGTCTACAAAGACCACTTTTGGTGTTTCCATTGGGCAGTTGCTATAGACAGGTTTGACTGTTTATATATTTCTAAAATTAGTGTAACCTTGATATTTCTTCAATTTGATTAAAAACTTTAACAAGCAATGTCTTTTATGGAGCTCTGTGTCTAGCTTTTTTCCCCATACAGCTAATTTCTTTCATGTTCTGTATTTGTTTTTGTAGATTGCCTTAGAGAAGATGAGACGGAGCGAAGCGGTCTTAGCAAAACGATCAGCTAAGTATGTATCAGTATTACATGAGTTTTGAGTTTTGAGTTTTATTGGTTTCACATTTCACGTGCAGATACAATAGAGATAACAAAATATACATAATAATAATAATGATAGATCACATTTATAACGAGCCTAATACATTGTTTCTAGGCGCTGTGGTTCTGTTGTCCCAGCAGCCATTAAGTGAAGCAATGTCCTTACACGAAATAAGATACATATTGTTTCATAAAGTTAACAAAATGTTTATAGTAATTGACAAATTAATCAGACTACAAAGTTACATATCATCAAATTTGTTTGACAACTATTATCATGTTTAATAAAGGAAACCGAGACAAGAAAAGCACAAAACAGTGCAATGTGCAGGAACCTATAGAAAAGCATAGCTTGTAAAGAATAAGATCCTGGCAGACTTGAAAAAATGACAGGGACAGAAAATGTTTACTTTAGAGAGATATACATAATCAAATGTAAGAGGGCGATAATTTGACAAATAATTTTTACAAGTTCAATAAAAAAAAGAAATACACTAATAGAGGAGTAACGAGCCAATAAATAGCAGAGTATTCATCTATTTCCACCACATGTTTCCACCACCTGAACACTCATAGGCATTCATTCATTCAATCCGAAGCCCCAACAAAAGTTACATGAATGATGAAAACATGCAATGGAAGTATTGATAAATTTATAATTTTGTACACATTATCTTATCTTTGATCCTCTTTCCTTTGATCTACTTTGATATCCCTTTTGCACAACATTTTTCTGGGGGTATTTCTAGTAACCAAGAATGGAATTCCACCAGTCAATGAATATACAGTGAAACCTGTCTATAAAAACCACCCAAGGGAGACAAGAAAAGTGGTCTTTATAAGCAGGTGGTCTTGAAGCCATTTTCAAGGGAAACAAAAAATATGGTCTTTGTAAAAACCAGAATCATAAACATTGGCAGATCGCACAGCATGAAACATTCATGGGCCTGGGATCAGACATGAAATTCATGAAAGTTTGGGTTTGTACAGTGCATTTTATTCATCATCATGTTCTCAGAGTTTGATTCTGATGTTAAAGATAAACTTGAGTTCTGGTAAAAAAAAGAAAATGAATTCTCACAGAATCTAACGAAACTTACACTGAATGTTCAAGATTACAAATAAATGTCATGTGCCAAACAATTTTGGAAGAAAATGTATACTGGCTGAGTAATGAGCATAGAAAGATAAGGAAATCAGGGTAGTACTAGCCCCGACACCATGTGTGTTGTCCCATATACATCGTTCTGTGTAAGTGATTGTTACTTTACCAAGACTCTGCCAAATTTATGATGATGTTGATGACTCCAGAACCTTGCATTACACACCATTACTTGCATGCTATATGATAAACTTTTCTGATCCATTCCACACCTTTTCTTTCACAATGCAATCGCATTACCAGAACTCAAGTTTATCTTTAACATTCTTTTCATTTATTTACATACATGAAGGGCTTCTGCCTCTAAACCAGTTCCTACATCACAATCTAAGAAGACAACCGATGACTCGTCCCTCCCTCGTCACAAACAGAAACTCAAACCTAAAATTATTGCTGTTGAGGAGGAAGAAGAAGAGAAGGTAAATCTCCTCTCTTATTTATTTACTTTATATTTATTTATTTTATATTTATTTATTTTATATTTATTTATTTTATATTTATTTACTTTATATTCATTTTTTATATATTTATTTACTTTACATTTATTTACTTGACATTTATTTACCTTTCATTTATTTACTTTATATTTATTTACTTTACATTTATTTACGGAGAGCTGTTTTTTCCTCATTCTTGTCATGGTAATATGTGCAGTTGAGTATGTTTCTACCTAAATTGTGCAGTATAAATTTACAATTATTATTGTTGTTTTTGTAATCGTACTGAATCTGTCAGTAAATTGTAATATTCTGGTCCTTGGGAATTCGTCAACTTGCTTCTGTTTACTTAAGTTACTTTTTTACTTGCTGGTCAAATCCTGGACAGTTGAATTAATCATTTTGTTTGTCTTATTTCTAGCCGCTGAGAGATTTCTTTGGAAGGATAATCGTAAAGAAAGAAGAGCCAAGAACCACAGAAGGTAAATCTTACATTAGACACACAATAATTCTCCCTACTTTAACAATACCAATTGGCCATTTTCTTTAATTTTTTCTTTCCTTTCTTGTTAGAGGTATAGTTGTTTATTACATTATGAATATGTTTTATACAGAATACTGCAGTATTTTTTCAAACCTAAGAATTTTGGGGTTGTGCAATCAAGATTTTGGATTTGTGATTGTTTTCATTTGCATGCAATGGATCTTTTCTTGAGCAATGTACAGTAAGATGAAATACAATATTTTAGTTACATGTACATAGCTCGATATTAATCAACAATTATTGTAAGCTTAGATCCACAGAGGGGTCTTGTATATTTATTTTTCACAATACACATGTACTTGTACATTTGTCATCAAATGTGCTTTTTCACCTGTTTATTCTGTGTCTTGTCACCAAACTTTATTAGGTCAAATGGCTTGCAAAGCCTTAATATATCATCTGAACATAAATTGGCTTGATTTGATGTATGTTTAAGATGATAAGCCAGTGGTAGCTCTGTCATCCAAGAGATTCCTGTGGAAATGTTTTACTTATATACAAACAATGATGTTCAGAAGAAGAAAAAAATCTTTCTTTATCTTCTATAGAATATGATAAAAGTTCTGCAATAGACCAGTTCACGGTTCGCACATATCCCCAATGACCCTGAATATTCACAGATCTTCAACAAATGAAGAGGTTCCACTTTGTTTATTTTGAAATAATCACTCCTACAGCAATGGAGGTGCTACATAAATAGCCTTTGTTTCCCCTTTATAAAGAAAACTTCCACACGTGTATCATGGAGTGCACTGCTTGTGCATAAATGAATAATGATTACATAACTTTCATGAGCATGTATCCAGTATTTGGTCTGCAATGACCTTTATCTGCTCATGCTCAAACTGCAAATATGAACTGGCCTATTTTCCTTTCTCGATTCACTTCCAGCCAAAACCAACGGTGAGAAGGATGATGGACCTGGCACTGTCCAACAAGTCGCACCGGTCAAGAAGAAATCCAAAAAGAAACAGTTGTGGTACAGCTTCAACACCGGTTACTCCAACGCTGTCAGGAAGACCATCAAGATACAGGAACTGTTATAAAAATACTCGGCTTTCATAGCAAATTACAATTACTAAGTGCTTCCAAACTTAGAGATTATTGCCCCGGCTTTTAATAGCTGTGCTGCCATTACGGCGCTCTAGCATTTCAAGGAAATAATACCTGCCAGGTACCCATTTACATCACCTGGGTTGAGTGTGGCAAATGTAGATCAATGTCTTGCCAAAGGACATTAGTGCCGCGGCGGGACTCGAACCGCGGACCTTTAGCTGTCATCTGCAGATGGACTCAGTTACAGGAACAGTTATGAGAACATCCTTGTGCGGATGATGATGATGATGGCGACAATGTAGGTGGTGATGATGGAGCTGATGAAGATATTGTTAGATGTGAAGTATTCAGCTCTCATCTGCAGATGGACTCAAAAGAGTTGTACTTTTACATAATTCTGTCATCAAATATGGGTTGATGTTGAAAGTTTCCTGCAACTTTGGATAACTGGGAGAATGTGGTATCATAGGCTAGCTATGAAATGGCACATGGGTGTAAAACAAGAAAAGAAGGAAGAACGAGAGAGGGAGAAGGACACCTGCTCACACCCCCTCCCCTAATCAGCGGCCCAGTTGATTCTCATTTCATCTGCCGAGTAAGGACAGAGCCCCCTCCCTTTTATGTCAGTGCTTGATTTAAAAAAAAAAAAAAAAAAAAATTTTAGCATTCTGCAACAACAACAAAATGTTTTACGTTATTGTCCAGTCTACTGCTTAGCAAATCTATCGTGGATTCAAGAACATTAAGCAGATAAACTTTGAAAGTTTGAATACTGCAATTCATGCAAAGTGATTAAAGTTGGATGTTATGGATTTGTCACAGTTTTGGTGAACTACCCTGCTATGAAACCAGATTATTTATATATATCAGTAATGTATACATGTTCACCTGATATAGACTTTAAGATGTGGTATAGTGGGCTACCCACTTGGACTTAAAACTGACCTAGGGCTATGGTAGACTACTTGGGAGACATAGACCTGTAATAACAAACGAGGACCAAATTAAAAATGGGGCATACAGGTAACTTAATCCACTGTTTTACAGAGTTCACAGAACTAAGTTTCAACTTTTACTCGTACAAATAAATGAATTTGTAACACACTAAAGGAGCAAAATGTCTTATTTCTTGAAATTCAATTCAATTATGATAGTTAGACATTTTATAGATGTTATCCAAAGAGAGGGTTCTCAAATCTGCATTCTATTGGAATGTCTATTCACAAGAGCTTAAATTCAGTTGAAATTTGACATCATATTACAATACAATAAATTAGTTTCACGTATGTATGAAGGATTCTGATCAATTGTATATTTCACAGAAATATCTTGACATGTATAAATCTCAAATGAGTTTTTTTTAAAGGGGGTGGGGGGGGGGGGGGGAGTATTTGCCTCTTACAAAAGGGTCCCCAATCCTTCCTTAAATTCTTGAAAGCTTTAGATTCATACTTTTTAATTGTCATCTCTCTTTATGCAGAATGTCTAAATTATGTAGGGAATTTAACCAGATTAATCAATGTACATGTACTAACTCTTCACTGTAAACATGCATCTGTCTGTATTTGTATAGTATTAGTAAATATTCAAATATTGTTATTTGATCATGATTACATGTAAAGTATATGTATAGAGCATTTCTAATAAACCATATATTATGTGTAAATCACAAATTTATGCTTCCATTTACTTGCTGTTTTAATATATGCGTGAAATAATGATTATTGACACATTTTTTTCTGTCTAAAATTGATTTATTTCATGATAAACTATTAAACTATGACTCTACAAATTACCATAGATATTTTCAATTCACTCACACTTGCTGCATTGTGTATTTCAGTAAAGACAGCAATCATTAAATAAATACATAGTGTACAGATGGACCTGAAGAATTTCTACATATATGCATGAAAATATAATGGAATGTATGGTAACAACAAACAAACAAACAAAGAAAAATTTAATAATCAGTAAAGTCCAATAGAATGAAAAGTTTGGCAATAATGTCAAAGTAAATGGAATGTTCAAAAATTATTATTAAAGTAGTGTTTCTTCAAAGCTCAAAATGTCACCCTTGGCCTCGTATTGAGAGAAAAATGAACAAGTATTCCATCGCAATACTGACAACCATCCTTTTTTACCAATTACACATGAACTTCCTTCAATTTTCTTTTCATCAAATTTGGCACTACATTGTTTACAATCATGCTCGAACTATATAAACCTACTTGGGCAATTCAACATGATCTTGATAAAAACACATTCTTTAACATTATGTCATATTTAAAGTGACAATTCACCACTCAAATGACATTTTTATACCAATATAAATCACAGAAAATATGTAAATAGATATGAATTCCTAATTTTGTAAGGTATTAAAAAAAAATTGTGAATTATATTGTGGACAGATAAGTCAACATATAGTATATAACTAATAAATTTGCATAAATGAAGCTTAAAAAGCTGATTAATGAAAAAAAAATCAATTAGCTTTCAACATGACAGACTTTCTGACTCCTATTCATACATAATAATACCAGCAATATGATACATGTAGTTAATACCATTCTAGTATGAAAAGATAAGAATATATTAACATTGAATTTCAGATTTTATTGGAACACACATGTACACAATATTCAGTTCTCATAATCATATCAATATTTGGTTCCATCTTCTGCACAATCAATCAGCATTGCTTTGAAATAATTGATATCCCTGATTTTTATCATAACCATAGCTTTACAATTCTTTCATATAAAAACCTGATCCAATATAAAACCTGAAACAGCTAAACTACTTTGTTCGTAGAAAATTGAAAGACACACAATATATAAATTCAAATGAGAATAGTTGAGATGAAAGACTCCTGGCATAACCAACAAAATAAGACGGCATTTGATAGAAAAGAAGGCACAACCCGAGAAGCTAATTTTGTAGAAAGTAAGGTTGTATGAACCATTTTCAAACCAATTACACAACCTCATGTAAGACTAAAAACTTCATAATTTGTTAATGAAACTGATTTCACAGCATAAAAAACTTTCAACCATTGTAAAAATTAAATATCGTGATTTGCAAATCTCAACTACTCACAGAATTTTCTGGTATCACAGCAAATAATAGTCCTATAACCAGATCTACTTATAAGTTTGTACTTAATCTACAAAAAAAAATCTTCAAATATATTTGCATGTAAAACCTTTTATAATCTTCAGTATAGAACACAAGTAAATATTTCACATCATATTTCTACAAAACACACAGATCCTTTAATATCCTAAACAATAACAAGTTATATGGCAGAATCATTTTTTCTTCTTAAAACAAGACTACTATATGTATATAAAAGCATTTCGCAAGATTTATGGAAATTTATGCTATTCTTATGATCTCATCTAAATGATTCAGACCAAAACTTATTTGTGTATAAAATTCTCAAAATACATGGATTTGGCAGGTTCTTTAAAGAACAATGGCAAGAGCATACTATCATATATAATGTCATTTGATAAAACTATATATTTCAGTGATTAACAATGGCAGGAAATAACATAAAACCTGATGACTTTATAACTCTGCAGAGTTCATATCTGACGATCACTGGGATTGCATCTATGTTTAATAATTCTACGATGACATTTAAAACTATAAGAAATTTACGAAATATATCAAAATGGCATTAAAACTATTTTAATTAAATAATTTCATATAATAATAATAATACATATGATTTATAAGGCGCCAAATCCACTTGACAGTCAAATGCTCAAGGCGCAGCTTGTGCAAAAGATGAAATACATACATGATACATTTATACAAAGTGCGATAGGAAAGGTACAGACATGAAAGGTAATGGTAATCAATTATAAGCTAAATTAAACAGATATTTCTTAAGATTGTTTTTTAACACCTCAGCAGAACTGCTATTCTTAACCCATTGAGGGAGAGTATTCCATAACGAAGGCCCAGCATGAGCGAAGGTTCGTTCCCCCCACTTTGTTTTAACCCTAGGAGTAACAAGTAAGCCAGAGTTTTGAGAACGTAGCTGTCTAGAAGGAAAGTAATGCTTAATCAAGCCGATGTTATACTGCGGAGCAGAGCCATGTATACAGTGAAATAATAGCAAAATAATCTTGAAAACAACACGTTTTTCTACGGGCAACCAATGGAGTGATTTGAGGACTGGTGTGATGTGACTGTACTTGTTGGACAGGGTCACGACACGAGCAGCAGCATTCTGTAATCTTTGTAATTTTGCGAGTAGGTTGTGAGGCGAACTAAACAAAAGGCCATTACCAAAATCCAAGCGAGAAGAAATCAAAGCATGAGTAATTTTCTCGGTGGCACCACGGTTAAGATATTTACGAATAAAACCCAAATTGCGTAACTGATAACGTACTGATTTTGAGACATATTGAATTTGAGTAGACATTTTCATAACTTCATATCATAACTTAAGACCTATGAGACTATTTTATTAATTAACAAACTTTGTATTATAATTTGTAATTTTATATCATAAATTCTTATGATAATTTAAGACACATAAGACTATATTCTAAATTATATCACAGTAACTTTACAAAAGGTTAAAGACATGTACTTAATTAAAATTCCTCTGAAAATAAAATATACAATATTCTGAATATAAACCCCTCATAACTTTGTAAGGTAAGAAAAAAAATTTGTATTTCTTTTGATCTTCAAGATCAATAAGAGATAACAAATCTGCACTTTTTGAATTCATTATACATTGCATAACAAGTTATATTCATATGTTCTCTGTGTTTGCATATAATATCATACTTCAAACTTACCGAGCTCAAACCTAATCATATGTTTCATATCTTGGATATTGACTATATACCTCAAATGTTCAAGCCTCTGGGCTGGCACTATCTTGACCTACCCTGGCTGGCCTCCAGCTCAAGAGGGCAGGCTACTCCTGGATATTTGCCAGAGCTTCGTTGATCATCCCAAGAAAACTCTCCAACTGAATGAAAAAGCCAAAAAAATAACAAATAAAAGGGATTAGATTGCACAGATGGATGCTGCTTGATGTTGAAAAAGAAAGAAAAGCGGGGCCCTGTTTATTAATGACAAGTTAAGATAACTCTTATAAGCTACTGAAATTGTGGCATTTGGTTGGCTGAGAGCAACTTTGTCATAGAAATGTATCATTTGTTATTGATAACAAGTTTTATGAAACAGAATTACTTTACTTTATTTGAAGTTGGTCCTTGTTATAATGATATATACATGTCAAGCATTTATGTTGGCATGATTATTCGTACCTAGGTGAAAATAGAATTCTTATTGATTTCTTATAAACTACAACTTATCCACAGGAGCCAGCCATAACACATAATCAATTGGTTAGGTTTTACTTAAAATATCATGGACAATTTTTTTCTCAAATTGTTCCAGGAAGTGTTTTCTTCCATTCTTAGACACACTAAAAATTAAATGTACCTTGTACATATGCATTCAACTATACATACATTGTGCCAAAATTATGTTATAAAGTACCTTTTAACTATGATATATCATCATCTCTTTGTACATTTATAATAACAAAATATTCCTTTCTTTTAATCACCTGGGCCTCAGCTTCCACTGCTCCTTTCTTCTCAGCGATAGTTAGTCCAACATTGATGAGGTCCTGGGCCTCTTTCAACTGATTGTCCATGGCCAACACCCTCACCCTGAGCATCACCAGGTCCAGGTTCTCTTCATCCAGCCTAAGAGCCTGTTCCAGGATGTCGGCAGCCTCTGCGTGTCGCTTGTAGCCGAAATACCCCTTGGCTAGGTTCTCTCTGATGATCTAAAACCAAATTATAGTTAAAACCGTCTATTAAAGGTATCGTTTTACAATGTTACATCTGAGATGCCGGTCCTACGTGTTATCAGTGTCTGTGATATGGTGTCGTGGACGAGTGGATACGTCGCCGGACTGTTGATCACAAGGTCCACGGTTTAAATCTCGCCCCGGCAATAATGTCCTTTGGCAAGACATTGATCTACATTTGTCACACTCCACCCAGGTGAAGTAAATGGTTACCGGTAGGAAGGAATTCCTTGAATGCTGTGAGCACCAAAATCGGTAGCCTAGCAGAGCCGGGGTAATATTGGAGTGCTTTGGGCACCCTGCAGGGTGGATATGTGCGCTATATAAATATCCAATATTATTATTATTAATATTGAAGTCCTACATAAATTGCGCTTCAAAATGATCATGAAGTGCCTCAAAAAAGAAAAATCTTTGAGTGACCGGTTTTACCATACTCATTTTCCCCTATAGACTGGTGTTTTAAAAACCGTTAATGAAATTTTGATTTCCAATCATAAATATCTTGATAATCAGACAGGCGATCAGCTTGTAAAAGTCATGGGACCTGACTGACCTAAAGATTAATAGTTATGATTGCCGCATGAGCTAATTCCAGGATTTTGTTTCAGAATCTGAGGCAATGTTACAGAGTCACTTTAAAATAACCAATGGGAAGTAAAAATTTTAGAATGAGACAAAGAATTTTCAAAACTTGAAAATAGGGAAAGAACAGAAAACTTACCACATCTTCTGGAAATTTTTCCACAGCTCTCTCAAGAATCTTCAACCCATTCTCTCTCTGATCCTTGCCAACAAACTCGGCGTACGCACCGTTATAATTTCCCACATCAAAATCCCCCTTCTCAAGCACGGCTATCATTTCATCTGCCTTGCCCAGTGGGGCTAGTTGGGCAAGCTTGCGACCCAGTAGCATTGTACTGGTTGGATATCTATTGATGTAAAGGCAGGTACAAATTAGCAGTAAAAGTGGGTCATGTTTTAATAATAATAATAATAATATTTAATTTTAATAGATATTCAATGTTTTGAGAAGGAAAGATGATAAACCTGTGAAAAGAGCGTGGGGTCTGGAAGGCATAAGAGGGAAAGGAAGACCAAAGATTTCATGGAAAGATATGGTGAAGAAAGAAAGCAGTAAGGTTGGTCTAAATAAGGAGGATGCTCGAGGTAAGAAGAAGTGTAGAGAGGGAGTGTCATCATGGTGCAAAAGTCAGTAAGCCCTCGTTAAAGGGAAAATGCTGACTTTAAAAAATAATGATGATAAATGATGATAATGGACGATTTTCTAAATGTTCTTTTCAAGTGTCACTAAATGAACATCTTTCTTCATCAAACTGTATGAGTTATTATCCCTTTCACAAATTCATAACTTTATAAGCGTAATAGAATGGTTTACAACAGAGGAATTGATACAAATGTTTTGTTATCTTGAAAAAGTAATGACTCTACATGTACTTTCTAACAAAATATATTCAAATGGTAATCTATGATAATAACAAGATATATACCCAGGAAGAAAAACTGGACATATACATTTGCTTTCTGTCGTTGGATGTGTCAGAAAAAGCCTTTTTTCTTGCCATACAAGCTTTATCCAAACATACAGTGTATGATAATCGTTTGTGGTAACACTACAAGGTTAAACCTGTATACAAAGACCGCTCAAGGGAGGCAAGGAAAGGGGTACTTGTAGGCAGGTGGTTTGTCTGTATGTACAGGTTCATTAAGTACATGTTTCTTTTAGAAACCACTTTCAAGAGATCCAAAAAAATGTGGTTTTATAGACAGGTGGTCTTTCTATACAGGAGCTCGCTAAAGCTGGTTTGTCTGCATTACAATAAAATGCACATTTCTTATCCAGAAATTATACATGTATTTCTAACATTGGCGATAAACTGAATAAATGCATAGTATAAAGGAACGGAGCCAAATATATGTAGCTCCTTTAAAAGCCTCGGAATTAAGAGAAATAGGCCATTTTCGTAATGTAATCAAATTTGATGCAAATTTTGTAAGTGCCTCATTACAAATTATTTCATTCTCCCGAAGTCAGAATGTGAATTGCATACATTACATGTTATTGAGTAGGACAAGCCATAAGGTTTGTCCCACCTAGCAATGTATGCAATTTCATTATTTGTAACATGGCACTTAACAAAGATATCTGCATTAAATTTGATTACATTTATGAAAAGGGCCTATTAGTAGGCGCCCAGTTAGACCCACACTTACTTCTCCAAGCCGCAGTCTATGGAATGCTCATGAGGTCTTATAGGTTTCTCGGCTAGCTGACTATCCAGGTAGTCCAGAGCAGCATAGTCCCTATCGGATGCAAACGATGTGCCGATGATACGGATGAGGGTGTCGTGGGCATCCCCCTCCCGGTCGTTGGACAGATAGAACGTGATCATACAGCTGTTGAGGTAGGGGTGAGAGAATTCCATGCGACCCTGCTTGTGGAGGACCTCGCCTGATGAGAGAAAAGAGGGATGCGGAAGTAGTATTAGTTCAAGTAACTGAAGTATTATTTAATAATAAGTACATGTAGCAAGGGCAAATCCAGGGTTAGTTTACTGAGCAAGCAGAAGGGGGGGGGGGGGTTACTAGCAATTAAACAAAAAAGTATCAATCTTTACAGGTGCTGTAGTGTGCCTCTGAAGAAACACAACAAAGAAAACGAACTATAGAACAAAATCTGATAAAAAAGACCATTTGGAAAACGATTACAAGCAAAAGGTATATTAGGAACTGGGTCATGGCATAAAAGAATAGAGGGAATTGAGTAGGATGAGGAATATACAACAAAATTACAAATAAAAGTTATAACATTTTGTAAGGAAAGGCATTTACCTGCTCTCTTGTAGTATGGATGTGCTTCCTCTGGTGTCTTCAGGTTGACGTAAGCCATAGCAATGTTCTCTAGGGTCAAGAGGGTGTCCTGATGTTCAGGTCCGCTCGCAATCTGTAACCCAAACAAAAATAGTTGTAGTAGTGTTTCAAATGTTATAGTACAGCAGAAGAATAGAATATATATCTAAATTAAAATGGAACACAAATTTGTGAAGGGTAGAAAAATGATTGTAGAGCAATGGTTGTCAGAGCATGCCTTGTAATGCCTAAAACAAGGGTTCATACACACTCATTCTCTCCCCTCAGAGCCTTAGGACTTTTTTTTTTTGACATAGCAATCATCTTCATCATCATCGAAATCATCATCACCATCGACATCATCATCAGCATCATCACCAACATTATCATCATCATTATTGACATAATCACCATAATCACCATTATCACACTCATTCTCTCACCTCGGATATTTCTAGCGCGTCTTTGGTCATGGCCAGCGCCCTCTCTACCTGATCCACCCTCTGGAGATAGGAGCCGTAGCTCATGTAAGTCTGGGCTATCGTCGGATGGTTCTTTCCAACAGCGTTGATACGAATCTCTAAAGCCCTGTCGTAAATCAAACATACAAATTTAGTTGAAAGAAAAGATTTTTGATAAGGCCTAAAAAAAGAAGATGTTGACTGAACCCAAAATTTTGAAATCTACGGTCGGCTTTTTCAAAATGTATTCTCAAACTGAGAAAAATCAGCCCAAAGACGGAGAAAGAAAAAAAAAGTTAAAAAAAGACCGACCGACCCATGTTTTGGCACCTAAAGGGCAATACAAAATCTTCTTTTTTTTAGGTCTAATTTAATGCAAGGGACTTATAATGTACAAACGCTAGAAGAAATGAGTTTAAGATATAAAGCCTTTTAAAAATCTACTTGTAAAATATATTCAGACATAGAAATAGAAACAAATTTAAAGCAAACATGAAATATTGAAGCTGTGGGTTATTTCAGTACTAATAATATGCAGAGACACATGTAAAGATAAAATGTAACCTAATAGTACTTGTCATAAATCAATGAATATATAGAATCATTAATAGCAAAGATGATTATAAAAAATAAAAAAAATTGGTAAATGATTATTATCATGATAAATGGCACTTTTATAGCTCTTAACTTTGCAAAAATTGTTTGTTTTTTGCAAAGGGAAAGCCATCTGAGCATAAAGCATCATGCTAGATGTTTTAAGATGAGTTATTTAAAGTTGAAATGTCTTGGTACTACTTGTACTTGATATCAATACCAAGTATTATGAAGCAGGGTTTATATGTAATTTCTATTGGACTGAGTTTGAAACAAACCTTTTATAGAGGGGCTCTACGTCTTCCAATCCTTTGTCGGCCTGTCTAGCTGTACACATAGCAAGGTTGAGTAAGGTGCCTCCTACATCAGGCGGCAGCTCCCCAAGGTAAACTTCCTCATAGATCTAGAATACACACAAATTTCACAAGGTACAATAAATATTTCATGATTTCAAAGGATGGGTCAATGCTGTTGCAGACAGGTGGACTTTCTACAGAGATGAATTATACCCTCATCATGAATATCATTACGGGCATCATCATAAACATCTTCATCTTTGACAACCTATTCCTGTTCTTTTTCTTCTCTGCTATGCAACATCCTCCTTCTCCTCCTAATCATAATCATTATTGTTGTCCTCATCACTACTACCATCATCATCATCATCATCATCATCATCATCATCATCATCATCACCATCATCATCAACATCATTATTGACATAGCTACATGTATCATCATCATCACCAGCTACATCATCATCACCAACATTATCATCATCATCATTATTGACATAACCACCATCATCATCATCATCATCATCATCACCATCATCATTATCGACATAACCACCATCATCATCATCATCGTCATCACCATCATCATTATTGACATAGCCATCATCATCATCATCATTTTGATCATTATCAACATCAACATCATTTTCATCAAGAAAGGTAAGCTAGCATTTGTATCTCATCAAAGCTATTATAAAAGCTATAGGATAAAGGTTAGGAGTATCACCGGGTGTTAGGTTAGGTTTAGAGTTAATGGCTTATGGGTTAAATTTAGGGTTAGGGATATAGTATTGAGTCCAGGAAAAGTTAGGAATTTGATCAGTCTATACAGTGGACTGTGGAGCGATTGTTGCTGGAGCATTTGTCTCACAACCTCTTGAACAATACCTTGAGGGATTCTTCAAGGCACTTTCCAGCCTCTGCAAACTCGCCCTGTCTGTAGAGCATCATTCCGACATTGTTGACTGTGGAAGCGACCAGATCATTGTTGTTTCCAAGGACCTCTCGATGAAGCTTCAGGGTGCGCCGGTAGTAATCCTCAGCCTGACAAAATAAAGCAAGAAGTATAAGAAATATTTGATTGCCACTCTTTAACCAGGCATAGGGACACAGATACCTGGTCAGACTTTTATTTTTTGCTGAACGTTATGTCCCTTGTCTATCCAAAACAAAGATTATTTCCCCACAATGTGAGGTTCCCAACAAACTTGTGAAGGTCAAGGGGAAGGAAGTGGGGGGAGGAGGATAACTTATCACTCTCCACCCTAACACACATAACCCCCCCACCAAAAAACAAAAAACATTATACAAAGTTAATGGTGCAATGAAGTTTTAGATGATTCCCTAAAGTTATTTCCTATGCCTCTGCACTAGAATGTATACATAGGGCATACAGACTTCTGATATGACACACAATTAAGCGAGTTTGTTATATGCTTGTGTACTTTTTTGTTCATCACCAAGTTATCATTGACACATAGAAATACTAACTACAGGAATTTAGTGCATTGAACTCTCCTAGTTAGAGTAAAACCCGAAGAGGCTTCAAACCATAGACAATCCCACTACTGGTCTGACGTCACTACGATTCTGAGCTGATTAAGCTTTTCCTCTTCCAAGGAAACATGAAATCCCTTGAAATTGAGATTTTCTTTAATGATCATATGACCAATCAGATCCTCGGTCATTAAGTTTTTTCATGTTTAAATGTTTGTATCAAATGCCATTGCAGATTCTTCAAAAATCAGGGCCCGATTAAAAAAAATTGTCATCAGTGACAAATGACAGTTTTGTTATAAGCTACTGAAATCTTTGCTTTTGATCGGTTATCGGCAGATTTGTCACTGGTTTTATCATTTGTCATTGAAAGAAGGCTTTGTGAGACAGTCCCAGATCGTTGTCAGATCGTATAATGTTCGGTAGGCTTTATGAGTATTTACCTCTTTGTAGTTGTGCTGCACCTGACAGACATAGCCCAGGTTATTCAAGATCACAGCGATGTAGGACTTCCCCCTATCCACTCGATCAACATGCCTGTGAAAAAAGAGAGGATAACCACTCATTGCTATTGTCCTATATACAATCCTTGCTTGCACCATGCAGCTGTATATGCGCATGAAGTATGACTTTTTAGGGGTTAACAGGTTGTCATTGAAGTCTACAACAGTCTACAGACTGCATACTTCAAACAAAATAGAAAATGAAAATTGAAATACACAAATCGAATCGATCATCTCATGAAACAGTATGGCCGGAAAAAACATACTATGTACTGCTAACTGGACTGCCTTCGAAAAGGTACATCATGTACATGTACCCAAACAATAAGACTAATTTTTAGAGTTCCTTTTCTTTAAAATAGCCTTTAAATGCAAACAAAGAGGTGATTGATTTTAAGCGGTGCCCAATATAACAACTCCTTGAATACACATCTCTACATGTACATTGTATATGTTCCACATTCTATAATATTGTAGAAAATATCAAGGTTATGATCTTTAAAAAAAGTATTTCCTCACTTTTCTCTTAAGGCCAAATGTTCAAAGTGTATCTGAGAAGCCTGTTCCAACTTCTCTGCGCTGGCGTAGTGACAACCCAGCTTGGTCTGAAGCTCACAGTACGAGTTCAGAGCATCAATGCTATTCTCAATATCGGCTTCAGTGTACTGGCTTTTCTGTAAACAAAAAGATAAATAATAATAATAATAATAATAATCCGGTTTTTTATATAGCGCTCAATACACCGATCCAACAATGTACCTAAGCGCTATACAGATATATTATTACCCCGGTCATCGGATTCAGGCTTACCCGCACACAATGTGTGCACATTTTCCACTCCCTGGGGAGCATTCCAGCCAGTCGCCATTTTACAGGCGCACACTTGCTCGTTCAACCACATGAACGTTCGCACCCTACCGGGTACCCATTTAACACCTGGGTGTAGAGTAGCAAGTGCAGGTAAATATCTTGCCAAAGGATATTAGTGCCGTGTCGGGATTCGAACCCTCGACCTTCGCATCTACAGTCAAGCGCCTTAAACCACTCGACCACGACACTCCCACTAAATGTAATCTCAATATTGGTACATGTAGAAGAAGAGAAGACTGAGGTGAACTAGAAGAAGAAGGAAAATAAACTGCACAAGTAGAAGTGAGGGTAAGGAAGAGGGGAAAGAAAATAAAGCAGGAAAGGAATGAAGAGGAGCATAAGAAAGTAGAGGAGGAATAAGTTAACAGTCTTTTGAAAAACACAAAATGATTTTTTAATTCTATTTTTTAGTACACTATTCAGAACTCTTACAAACCAAGACATTCAAACGTTCCTTGAAACATCATGCATTCCACTGTATTCTGCACACTTACTTCCATTTTGAAACAATAATCGCTGATTAGAACGCAAAACATGCACTTCTCGTTTATACAATAACAAAATAACAATTTTCACAATACTCACACTGCTGTGAATATTTCAGGAGGAATTACTTTTCATCATGAGTATAATTCTTAAAAGGTTAAGAGTGAAACACCATGTTTTAAGAGAAGTCAACTGACTGTGGACTAATCCAAACTGATACGGCACTGACGAGAATCACAAAAAAAGATCATTATTCTGTTTACATCAAGAAGAGGAATGACTCACATGCATGTTCATAGCTCTGAGTAGCATGGGTTCCATAGATGAACTAAAACCAGCATCACTCAAGAAGTCTGTTAGGCTCACAAGGAGAGGAATCAACTGGAAAATAAGTAATTCAAAAAAAGGAGAGGAAACATCAAAATCATCAGAATTCTTAAAAGAATATCACTGACAGGTAAGGCACAAAAGTTACAGACTGCAAAAAACTCTTTTTTTACACACAGTTATCCTATTCCATTTATTGTGTGACATTACTAAGGAACTCTCTGTAAATAATTGTCATGGAATTGGCAGTCTTAACAATTTTGGAAAGTCACAGTTCACAAATGCACTGGTATTACAGCATATAATTCCAGGACATCTATATTGGAGTTGCATATCAAAGGAACTTTCTTAATTGTCACAAAATGGGTTTAACAAGTTAGGAAGACCCTCCATTGCCATGAATCTGGCTATCATGAGCAAATTATTAACGATACAAGGTCACCAAAGTTTCAGATCTTCAGGTGAGGAATTCTGTGACAGTTTGTGGATTTGACTATAAAGGGAATTTCCGAAAATGTCATGAAATTGGCCAGTGTATACAACTCACACAAAGCAGCACTACCGTCCTTTGGCAAGACATTAATCTATATTTGCCACTCTCCACCTAGGCAAAGTAAATGGGTACCCGGTAGGAAGAAATTCCTTGAATGCTTTATCCCCTTATTAGGCGACTCAACTACAGCCACAGTAAAAATGTGATACATTAAGCGCAGTTGAGAATATTTATATACCGGTAGTGATGTGCTATATAAATGGACATACAGTCGAACCTGCTTTAGTGACCACCTGTCTACAAAGACCACATTTTCAATTTCCCTTGAAAATGGTTTCTCATTTAAAATTGTACTGTAAGCACCGGTACATAAAGATCACCTGTCTGTAAAGACCGCTTTTCATGTCTCCCTTGGGTGGTCTTTATAGACAGGTTTCACTGTATTATTATTAATATAGAGATCACAAAAGGGTGTGGTCTTACAGCATGTACCGGTAATTCTCTTACGCCTATCACAAAATAGCTCACCTGTTGAGCAGGGGGTGTGGCATGATCCCCGCCCCCTCCTACTCCCTCGTTCTGAAGATAGAGCAGGGCGACCTGATCATCGATCGCTGACAGGAGTCTCTCGACAATGGCATCCCCGCTGAGCTTTGTCGTCATCCAGTAGCTCATCAGATCATACTTGGCTTGGCCCCTTGATAGAGATTACACAGAATTATGAAAATCAATTTGTTTACCAAATCCTACTTTATCAGGGAAGCTGTCTTGACAAAACCTTGTTGTTGAACAAGGTTGAGTACAGGGAATGAATAGGTACATATTTCGAATAATTATATTTAGGGTGGATGCATGATTGAACATTTTCTTGAGAGAAAATAAAAATTTCATAATTTTTAGTACAGAGCAAATGGTAAAGGAGTTTGCAAGATACGCCAGAGTTGCCAAATTGTGTTTGATTGATCAAAACTTCAAAAATTCATAACTTTCTTATTTTTTAATCTGAATTTGCTCAAACCTTCACCGACTGGTTCCTCTCATTTTTCTGCTTCTATCAAAGTCAACTTAATATCAGGGTGGACTTCCCCTTTAAGTGTAGTCTGAAGCTAATACTGTAGATTTCCTACAAATTCATCAAACCCAGAGAGAATTGTAATATCTTCCCTACCAGATCTCTTTGTTGTAACAACTTACTTGGACAGAGCAGAGAACATGTTCATTGCAGACAGACATTCTACCAGTTCACTTTGTTGACCAGACTTCTCTAGTTGCCATGGTAATTCATTGGCTACGCGATGAGGAACGGGCGTGTCGAATCTCTGGTCTAATTCCTAACAATTGAGAAGAAAAAAAGTTTCATTAACAGCATACCGGTAGTATACATGTACCTCCACAATGCTATACCACAATAATTAAGAATATACTTTCTAACCTGTAATTGGTTTTAACAAAATCGAAGATGACTATATTTATTAATTCATTATTTCATTTGATGACAGAAGCTCCATACCATCCATTCTCTTTTCTCTGTCCTCGTCATCACTGCTCATACTCATATGCCTACAATTATTTTTCCTGCTCTCCCTTCCTCTTAATTTTCATCTCCATATTTAGAAATGTTTGACAACTCCATTATCTACTCTCTAATTCTTTGTTGCATTGCTTTAATAATGAATGATACAGGTAATCAAACCAGAGATAGAGATATATTAGCTAAAGTCACTAATCTACAATAGCCACACTCCACCCAGGTGAGGTACATGGGCACCTGGTAGGATTATTTCTTGAAATGCACTGTGCACTGATAAGGCTGCTGGAGCTAAAGCTAGGGTAATAAAGTACAAAGCTCTTTGGAAGCGCATAGAGACGTTGGTATCATAATTTGCTACGCTATATACAAGAACTGATTATTATTATCAAAGTCAGAGACACTAATATCTTTTCGAAAAAAATCCTTAAAGGGATCCGGTAACTCTGTCTTAGATCCTTTAGAAATAATCCTTGATTTAGCTCATACTGCAATGATAATTATAAACCTTTAGGTCAGTCAGGAACTCCATGACTTTTACAAGCCGATCGCCTGTCTGATTATCAAGATATTAATGATTGGAATTACACATTTTGAAAACTGTTCGCCGAACGGTTTTCATAACACTACAGTCTATTGGGGTAAACGAGTACGGTAAAACTGGTCACTCAAAGATTTTTACTTTTTTGAGGCACTTCTTGATCATTTTGAAGCGCAAAATTTTTAGGGCTTCAATATTACACCATATCACAGACACTGATTACATGTAGGACCGTGTATCTCAGATTTAACATTGTTACAACGATCCCTTTAAAGTGACTCAGTAACATTGCCCTCAGATTCTGAAACTAAATCCTGGATTTAGCTCATGCTGCAATCATACATGTAATTGTAAACCTTTAGGCCAGTCAGGAATCCCATGTCTTTTACAAGCTGATAGCCTGTCTGATTGTCAAGATATTTATGATTGGAAATCGAAATCAAATTTTATGTTTTCCTAATGGTTTTTATAATTGGGAAAAATGAGCATGGTAAAAACCAGTCACTCAAAGATTTTACTTTTTTTGAGGCATTTCATGATTATTTTGTATTTTAGTGCCTCAATATAACACTATATCACAGACATCTCTGATTTAACATTTTAAACGATGCCTTTAAAGCTAACCTTAAATGCTGCCATGAAGTGGTTGATGATGATTTGTCTGTAAGGTTCCTTGCTGACAGGGGAAGGACAGAAATGTCTCTCCACTGCTTCTGCTAGTTCACTGTAGGCAAGCCTATATTGTAAAGAAGACAGATCTGCTTCATATAAATGTATCACACAATATCCATTATTTCTTCAAATGTGCAGTGTAAGATTTGAGAGTGTCCCTAATGACAGTCTAAAGGGAGTTTCTCACTGAGCTGCGAATGCTTACGAACGTTGCAAATTTTGTTATTCGCCAACTTTTCAGACGAAAGATGGCAAAATTCAGGAGTTCGCCTCAGCCACTAGCGACATTTAGCGATGTTTAGCGACAATTAGAAACATTTGAGCGAATGTTTGCGAAAGGCAGTTGGCAAATATTAGTGTTACAACCATTTGCAAAGGCTGAAGACTGTTTTGCAAACGCTTGCAACTGTTTGCGGAAAAATAAATTCCCAAAGAAAAACTGTTTGCGACAATAAAAACTGTTTGCAAAGTTTCTTGCAATTTTTTACGAACTTAGGCGAGACCCCAAATGTGGTATGTTCGCAAGCATTTGCTGCTGAGTGAGATATCCTCTTAAGGGAAGCAATAATACCACAACAATTTAACAAAACAAACAATAACAAAGCTGCAAGAAATATTTATCTAACAAAGTTCAAAATGTATATTTAATAGGAAGTTGTAAACTACAGGGATGTTTTATACCACATGATGAATTCCAGAGTTATACAGTTATTTCATCTCAAAAAAAAATCTGTGCAAACGGCCTCATCTGATGACCACTTCAACAAATTACTCAAGTCACATCTATTCTGCTAGAAATTACTTTATTACCAATACCAGGCTACATATACTTAACTAATCGCTGAAAAGTGACAAACTTTTGTTTATAAGTGGCCCAAACATTGTGGAGCGTTGTGTGCAGCAAGGAAAAGGCGTTATATAAAATATCTTTTGGATTGGATTGGAATGGAGAGGAATATATCACTACCTGTAGAGGCCTTCTGCCTCCAGAAGGAAGTCATCCATGGCAAAGTAGAGGGCAGACCATTCCTGATTGGTTGGTTTCACCATAGCCTTCAGTTCATTTTCCGAAAGACCGCGATGACCGAGCAACAAACAGCACATCACCTAGGACAGATACAGATTAAAAATACCTTGTAGAGATGTCATATTCAGGACCGCACTACTTGTAGCTACTTGCGCCCTCTCTATAGAGCGAACAATGCCTCAGCAGTACGTGTTCATCCATTAATGATCCCCTTTTTCTTATATTAATTGAGAGCTGATTTGATGTGATAACCACCTGTCAGTGACCATGCAGGGGGTCTGATCCCTCCTGGCCAAACTAGTACAGATAGGCTTTAATAAACATTTGACTGGAGATGCGAAGGTCTTTGGTTCAAGCCCTGGTCTGACACTACTGTCCTTTGGCAGCTAGGACATTGATCTACATTTGCCACGATGAATACAGGTAGGAAGGAATTTCTTACATGCTGTGAGCACGGAGTACGGTAGCCGAGCTAGGGTAATACTGGAACACCTTGGGAACATTGCTTGGTGGATATGATTAATACATATCCATTCTTTTGAAAATGCATGTTAAAAAAAACGTCAAAAGATTTTTTAAATATTTGTTTTTATACAACACCTACGTGGATCCCTGTCATTTGATTGGAGGATTGTTGGTCACATGATATTCAATAGATGGTATATTGCACGGTCGTGCATTTTTGGTTATATGCGCCGTGCATTTTTGGTTATATGCAGACTGCGTACCTCTCTGCCGTGCGCGCGCTTATCCCTGCGTGTATCTGACGCGAAGGCAATCTGAATGTAATCCAACTTGAATTTATCTTTTATATAAGGATAAAGCATAATTTGTTGAGTAACGTTCTATTAGATCTTCTTCGATGTTGTATAAAACAAGTAATGAATGTTTTTCATTCGTTCAATGGTGCGAATATTTTCATTCGTTGAAAGATTAACATTAATTCTATTCAACTCGGCTGACGCCTCGTTGAATAGAATGTTAATCTTTCAACTCATGAAAATATTCGCACTATTGAACTCATAACCATTCATTATTTGTATAATATATCATCTGGAGCCAGAAGGGCGTTAACTCACATACTTTAACACTGAGGTAATGCCTTTTGGTTCTAAACAGACGATACTAGCATACAAAACTGTAACTGTGAAATCTACTTTAGAGGTAACTTGTACAGAAAAAGAGCATATATCTTTCTAGGCAACATGCCATATTTCCCTTGATCAATCTTGCTCACTGAAACATGTACTTGAATATCCTGTACAGAAAGACCATTTGCAAAACGCTACTGTCTTCCTTGAGCAGTGCTTGATAAACAGGTTTTACTGTAGGCTTAGGTTGTGTAGGAAGAAAGGACCTGGGCCCCATTTCATAAAACCTGTTATCAATAACAAGTTACTAATCACTGTTATGAGCTACTGAAATGGTTGCATTTGATTGGCCGAGAGCAAATTTGTCATAGAATTCAGCATTTGTCATTGATAACAAGTTTCATGAAACAGGGCCCCGGACTAATAATGATATGTTCATACCTCTTTCACAAGATGTTTTCCTTCAGGATTGTAGTCTCTTTCCAGCCTCTCCAGGAATTTGACAAACAGATCCACAGTACTATCATGAATAGAATTTAATTGGAACTTGTACTAGAGATCGGGCAAACTTGATTTTATTTGTGCAATATTACTTTCAACTCACAAAAAAGAAAAACAAACAAATAAAAATTAGGAAGAAAACACTTTGGCAAAATGAACTGAAGATATATGTAATGTAAACCGTTAACTAAATTCGGAAGGCGAATCATAATTGTTTTTTAAGTATTGCATAATATCTAAAAACTCTTCAAATAATTTCCTATCATCAGCTACACAATTAAAAACAAATTAAACAGTCATTTACTATAAAGGGAGGAAGACTATTTCTTGAGCATTTATTTCAGATTACAACAATTGAAAATAAAATTCTGTAAACATTTCATGTGTAAGATACACGTATGCATTCAATATCTAAACAGATGATAAAACTGAAGATAGAGAGATGGAGAAAGAACGAAAAAGAGAGGAGAGAGAGAGAGAAATAGTCAAAGGGATTGATAGAGAGAGAGAGGGATTGATAGAGAGAGACAGAGAGACAGAGAGAGACAGAGAGTGATAGAGAGAGAGAGAGTGGAGAAAGTGAGTGGGAAAGAGAGAAGAGCAAGAGAGAGAATGAGATTGAACAGGGAGAATGGAGAAAGAAAGTGGGAAAGAAAGGGGGAAGAGAGGAGACAGAAAGATAAAGAATTAGATCAGAGAAAGCATGAAGAAAGTAAAAACGAAACATGTTAGTATAAACTTTTTATAATCTACTGAATCAGGTGAATTTAAAATGGAGAAAAACTCCAACAAATGTTCACCTTGTGGATGTCAGTAGGGTGTCAATATACTCATCAAGCTCAAAGAAAGAACCAAAACTACACAACTCCTGAAAAGTGTGAGAGACAGCAAAAAAGTGAACAACGTGCAAATTGGTTAGGATGATTGAAATGTAGAATGGGACGTCATTTGCAACTTCAAGATGGATTAAAGAATAGGTTAACAAGGTAAACAAGAGGATTAGTTCAGGGCAAGTTTGATAACAAGAAAGTTAGCGTAAATCTCCGTGTATAAGGCGCACCTGTGTATAAGGCGCACCCCTATTTTGGGGGCAAAAAAAAAAAAAAAAAAATGTTTTTTTTGTTTTTTTTTTGTTGCCGAAAACCCATGCGGGGAAGGACCCTCATTCAACATCGAGGTGCAGTTGAAGGCGCTGATTTGTGCTTGTGAACTTGTCACAAATAATAGTAACAATGTAATTTTTAGAAGAATGTGTAAGATCATTAATGTAAATTAAAAACAATACAGTACCTAGGATAGAACCTTGTGGTACACCATTTGTTATAGAAAAAAAATTGATGAATTATTTATTATTATAAACTACATATTGAGATCTATTAGAAAGATTACTTTCAAACCAAGATGACAGAAAAATTTGAGTGTTATTGTAGTATCCGAGTGGTGAGTCAACACACTGATTACTGAGCTCTGATTACTGACATTGCCAGGCATAGCACCATACATCAAAACTTTTTTAGTATACACGGAGATTTACGGTATGTAGTTTTGAAGTTGTGATCAAACACAAAATACGCAACTCTTTGATTGCCCTTGTGAGTAGCTGTCCATTTGTTTTGTACAAATATTAAAACTAGAGATTTTCTCTCTCTTTAAATAAGAAAGATTTTCTAAACATGTGACTGTGATATATTATCAGAGGTATGTTTCTTCAATCTCTTATATCCATTCCTTTATCAATAATCAAAGAGGGGATCACCCATTTCAATTCTTAGTATAGAACATTTAGATGGAGAGCTGCTAACAACAGACGTGCACCAAAATTTATGATTGGGGTTATTGACAAATGGCAACCAGGGAATAGTTAGACTTAGATGCATCTAAACATTAAATATACGGATGAGTAAACTTAATTTTTCACAACATGGTGCAGATTGCCAATTAGGGAAAAAAGAAACAAAAATAATTATCCTGAATATCTTACATTGAAATTACTTTGTTATAGTCACAAGTCAAAATCATTCTCACAGCATACACATGCATACTACATCTACATCACACTAAAGATCATACGACAACAGCCATAAGTCAAAACTGTAAGCATAATTAATCGCTGATTTGGTGAACTGGTTCAATTGTGATGTTGACCTGGGGGGTGTTTCACAAAGTTCCTAGGTTGAACTTATCTCTAAGTTGGACTTAACAATTATGGAAAGCCGTTAGCATCTATGGAAATATTTTGTACAAGTTATTTTAAAAGGCTTAAAATGTTGATTCAAATCATTCATATTTTCTTGTATCCAGGATATTTCATGTTCTTGATGTGGAATCAATAAAAAGTCTAAAATACTTGAATTTTTGCCTTTTAATATATGTTTTTTAAGGCTCCTAATGGCTCTCCATAATTTTTAAGTCCAATTTAGAGATAAGTTCAACTTAGCATCTTTGTGAAACATCCCCCATGTTAGGTATAAACTTACCTGCAGAAGGATAAAGAGATAGAGCGGATTACCGGTCTCCGCGTTCCCTATGACCTTCTCCATCTGCTTCGGCGACAGCTCCTTCCCCCGCACCATCAGCATGCCCTTTGTGACCTTTGTCCTCAGGTCAGGGGTCAACTGACGGACCTCCAGGGAGTCGAAGTGGCGCTCATCGAGTAGCTCCTTGATGTTCCTGGCGTCCGAGTTGGACGTTGAGAGGAGGAAGAGAACCTTGGAGGAGGTCACCTTTGGCAGCCAGTACAGCTCCTGTTTAAAACAAAGATGTGATTGGGAAGATAGGACTTGGTCTAGAAGTACAGTCAGGCCTTTGTCTTTTAGAAAGAATTAAGTGAAAACAGACATGTCTACAGCCCTTTCTAAACTGCACCATGTTGGAATATTCCTGGCATTTGTAAAACTGACTTTAATAATTCCTGAATGCATAAGCTTCAGTGTCTCGTGAATAAGTCACCAGTTTTGAGACAACATTGTACTGGGTCTGAATTCCGGCCAAGGCACCAAAAATCTTTTTGGCACCATATTAATCTAAATTTGCCACTCTCATCCAGGTGTAGTGTATTATAATCTATTACAATCTATTATAAGTGAAAAGCACTTTTGCAGATAAAAAGTTCACAACACTTTGGCTACCATCTACACGTTCCACCATCCTACCTTCATAGTCCTGCCTCCAGCATCCATTTTGTTAAGGGCATCAATGATGATGATGACCCTGATATTGAACGACGATGCATCGCTGACGAGCTTCTGAAGGAGTTTCCTCATCCCTCTCACATCCTCGGACCCTTCCTTCTGTTTCTCCTCTCCAACATGGTAGTCTGGTCTTAGGGTGATCAGGTCTTCTTCAATCTGGTAGCACAGGTGCTTCAAGAGGTCCAATTCACCTGTATCATGTGGACGTAAATGTTAATTGACTTCTTATTCAGTTAAACCTTCTTTAGTGACCACCTGTCTACAAAGACCACATTTTTTGTTTCCCTTGAAATGGTTTCTCATTGAAACATGTACTAAAAGAACCTGTCTACAAAGACTACTTTTTGTGTTTCCCTTGGGCGGTCGCTAGAGACAAGTTTGACTGTAATACCAATGTTGATATTACTAATTATATTGACTTCTTGTAAATGTACAACACTCACGTCCATCATTAAGGTGCTTAAGGTATCAAAATATTATCCTGGTTTTCAGCTAGGATAATGATTTTGGTGTTCGCAGCACACAAAGCAGGCGCGATGGCTCGGTGGTAGAGCAGTGGTCTCGTAGTCAATAGGTCTCGGGTTTGAAGCGAAGTCGATGAGCTGGTGCCCTTTAGTAAGGCATCAATCCTCATTACCGTGAGTCCCTCAGAGAGGACTTTATTCGTCAGTCTCTTGGTTGCCTACTTACCAAAAAACAAACAAAGCATTTCTTTCTACCAGCTGCACATTGATGTGTGCTACACCTGGGTGGAGAGTGGAAATATAGGTTAATGCCTTTCCAGTGGAAAGAACATTTAAAGCCCAACCGTCCTATTTGTAGCTACTTGCTCCCTCTATATAGAAAACTTCCCCAATCGGTGCCTGTTGGTCCCCCATGATCCTCTTTTTCTTATGTTAGTTGAGAGCTGAGTTGATGAGATAGCATCCTGTCAGTGACGTGGCTGGGTGGTCTAATCCCTTCTGGCCCAGTGGTATTGACGGTCTTTAAGCCCTTTTGGGCAATTTTTCAACCAAATAATATAATAATACTAATAAGTTACCACTTGACTCATGCCATGAGTAAGTGAACTTAGATTGCATGAGGCATACTCACGTGTACTGCTGCTTGTACATCCAACAAAATGCACTGCCAGTATGTCATCTGGAGAACTCTCTCTGTGTCTTTCTATCCAGTTGGCTAGGACGCAAGACTTTCCAGACCCTGTTTTCAAATAAACAAAGGACAGGATGAATTTCATAGGATCACTGCTCTTGTTCTACAGAAGCTGTGGATGGCTAGGGTGATGAACAGTACTGGTGATGAACAAGTATAAGTACCCCCCCCCCCCAAAAAAAAAAAAAAATCAACTTCTTGTAGAAAAACATAATCAATAATAGAAAATTTGTTTACAAATACTGAAAGAGAAATTGCACAGCAGGTTCTTGTTTTCTGTTAAGTTTTTTTTGCATTTAGAAAGTAGAGAACTAGTGAACTCAATACTTACTATGTTGAAAATAGTAAACGTCAGGCAACACTGGAAAGGTTCTCCTTAAATCTTTGTTTTTTAATTGAGGAAATGTTTACTGGCAACATGTATCCCCACCTGAGAAGAGTGTCAAGTCTGACAGACACAAGTGCAAAACAAGAAGCTCACTATCATTATCATTATTATATTATATTTAAAAAAAAAAGGGATTGCAGACATAGGTTTTTACCTGCATCACCAAGCAGAAGAAGAGACTTCCCCGCATCCTTTCTTCCTCCTCCTCCTTCTCCTCCTCCTCCTCCTCCATTCAGAGCACGTCTGTCTATATCCTCCAGGTAGGCCTCCCTTCCCACCAGCTTTCCTCCCATCCCACGTCGAGTGATGAGGAAGGTCTCGTGCTGGGCGTGTTCCTTCTCCATCTCGCTGCTCTCTGCCTCCGTCTGGCCCAGGAGCTTCTTCAGGTGGGCGTGGACCGTCTCGAACATCAGCCGGGCACCCACCTCAGGGGTAGGGTAGCTCATATCTACAGCAAGACACTACAGAGAAGAGATCGACAAATAAATCACATCTGGGCCCCGTCTTATAAAGAGTTGGATTGATCCAAATCAATCGTAATTCTTCAATCAATACCAAGTTTGCAGTCTCCCATCTCTTATTTACATAGTTGCGATTAATATCAACTCTTTATAGACGGGGCCCTGGAGTTTGAGCTGGGGAACATGTAGGTGCCTATATTCACAAAATAACAATTTGTGGAAGGTCAACATTAGTGTTCTCAAGAAGATTTATACATATTTTGTACATTTTTATATTTATTTTTACATATTTCTGTGAATTGAGATGAGATGATTGCTAACTACTAGTGGCCATTAAAAGTCTTGCTATCATATAAAAAACGATGCATTTCACTACAAAAGGCATATGAAATACATAACTGACCATTCAATGTATCAATGTGACTAAATGATTACTAGTTGCCAATTATGTGTATACATCATTTTTTAATTGTTATCAAATCACAATAATGCCATGTTTCCTGATTTAATTAGCTCATTTAAAGGTAATACAAAGTTTTGGCATGGGGTTATGAATTTGGTTCAAATGAACATATTGGAAGCATATGCGTTCCTACAATATTCAGTGATCGTTGTCGCGGTTGAAATCGAGTCTAAAGTTATGAAATTGTAAATAATAAACTCTTTATGTTGTATAGCTCCCTCTCAAGGACAAGATGTTAATTGAGCTAAAAAACAATGTTTCTTGACAAAAATCGACGGATTAGCTATTACGGTTTGAAAATTATATATCACAACTACATATTCTGAGATTTTCATGGTCGCAGCTTCCATATTACGGCCGTAGGCCCTATTTGATTTTATCAAAATTTACCGGGAGCACCGGTAAAATTTTATATTCAATTTTTCTCGAAAGCAGAAGTGTTTTAGGGGCTAAATTTTCTAGTGCGTATGATACATCCACATGGGCATCCAAATATATCAAAATAGTAAAGAATCACTATCCACCCAATTTTCAAAATTTACCAAAACTTTGTAATACCTTTAAAATATTAAAATTGCATACCTTATCTTCTGTCTTCTTGACCCTTTGCTTGAGGTCATCTAAGAATTCTGCAGCATGAGGTCCATCTGATGTGGCCTTGAACTTCCTCTGACCTCTCTCATCTCCCGATGCAATGCAATCAGCAAGTTTGGCATCATCATAAGCCTGAGAATGGAAAGTTAACATCGTTAGTCTACACAGAGATCTATTCTTAAAGGCATCGTTTAACTGCAATGTTAAATCTAAGATGCACGGCCCTACGTGTTAGCAGTGTCTGTGATACAGTGTAATATTGATCCCCCTTAAAAAAATTGGGCTTAAAAATGATCAAGAAGTGCCTCAAAAGAGTAAAAATCTTTGAGTGTCCAGTTTTACCATTCTCATTTCCCCCCAATATACTGTAGTGTTATAAAAAACCATTAGGAAAAAGAAGGACATTCCAATTTCCAATTATAAATATCTTGATAATCAGACTGGCGATCGGCTTGTAAAAGTAATATGATTCCTGACTGACCTAAACGTTTATAATCATGATTGCAGCATGAGCTAAATCCAGGATTTTGTTTCAGAATCGGAGACAAAGATACCCAATCCCTTTAAAATAGAGCCACTACTGGGAAGGGCAATTAACTAGGGGAACATGAGGAAGAGAAGAGGCTATACCTTGTCTCTGAAGAAGAAGCATGCTGGTCTTTGTCCAGGATTGTCGAGGTGACCGTGGAGGAACTCCAGCTCGGTGACCGCCCGGTCCCTGTAGGACTTCAGCCATGGGTAGTGAGGTAGGGCATGATCAAATGTCTTCTGCAGGAATTCATCTTTAGCTCCGTGCCATCCATAGCGCTGGTGAGACACAGGAAATAGATCAAAATGCTATTTAGAATTTGGCTTTTGTTTGTCCTATATTTTGTCCTTCTTCTTGCAGTGCCAACTTGACAGAGAGAACAACACAAGCATACAAAACATTTGTTCATAAATACTAAATATATTTGACAGTTTCAACTTCAAGAAGAAATGATAAATTTGTTGTATGTTTAATACATTCATCCTGTTATGCTTTTTTTGTTCTTTATGTCAGATTGATACTTCAAAAAGAAGGAAAAGACGTGGAAAAAACACACAAAAACTAAATATTTTGCGTTATAATATCAATATTTAATGACACATTTCCCAATTATTTGGCCTTTTGGGTCATATTTGTGTCTTCAATGCCTCAGCTTGATTTTCCATCATAGTCCCCCCCCCCCCCAATTGAGTTTGGGTGGAGTGCACTTCATGTGTCAAACAATTAAGTTATTCTTTGTAGACAGTTGAGTTTCAGAGATTATGTCGAGCCTGGTCATGAAGAATTATGAGAGAAACCATGTAGAAGATAATCTGAACATCTGATTACAGAGGAAATTGGTTCAAAGTGCCATGACTGAAATATGAGAGCATTTCAAGACTAATCATTTTTAATTGGAATTAATACTGTGATATTCTTCCCTATGGGAGTTGAAAGAATGAGAATACTCACTAATTATTTGTTCACCTATACCCGTACCCAACCCTTTTTAAGCTTCCTGGGGGTGTTTCACAAAGATTTTAAGTAGAACTTAACTCTAAGTTGGACTTACAAGTTATGGAGAGCCATTTGTAGCCTTATAAAGAAATATATTCAAAAGTAAAGATTCAAGTATTTTAGACTTTTCATAAATTCCACATCAATAACATAAAATCTCCCATGAAAATAAAAAATATGAATTATTTGAATCAACATTGTATGCCTTTCAAAATAACTTTCACAAAATATTTTCAAGGATGTTAATGGATTTCCATAATTGTTAAGTCCAACTTAGAGATAAGTTGAAGTTAGGATCTTTGTGAAACACCCCCCAGGTTTACCTGACCAAAGAATCCGACGATCATGTCCGACCTGTCCAGCTCCCTGAGGCAGATGGTGATGGTGGCGGCCTCGCTGGACAGCTCCGACGTGATGCCCCACCTCATATCCACCGGTACAAACTCGTAGCCAGACTTCTGGCAGAGATGTGCCAAGGCAGGCCAGTACTGCTTGGTCAGGAGCTCCCTCTCCTCCTCCAGTCCGCCAAACGGGGAGCTAAAGAAGACCCTGGCGACATACTTCTCTTTGGTGATCGGTGCCTCTGCCTTCACCCTCATGGTAATCTATACTGGAGGCTCTGACTCTGAGAAAAGTGACTTGACCTCACTGTAAACAAAAACAAAAAGAAAATAAGAGAGAAAAACAATTATTGGTTTCCTACATTATATATTTATAATGTTGTAATGATGTACAGCAATAACTGATTTACAACCCCAAAAAAGAACAAAGCAAAGAAACAGAAAAAAATAATGGGAATATGGTATACATTTGCAACAAATCAAACAAAATAAATATGAATTGAATGTGCGTAAAATTTAACAAGATAGATCTACATCTATCAATATTATCATCTAGATCTACATGTAGTCTAGATCCAGTGAAAAAAATACACAGGGGCTCGGGCGAAATAGCCCCAGAAATGCCCAAAAGAGCCCCTGTAAATTTGCATAGAGTTCAATGCAAAACGAATTTTAGAGTGTTAATTTCATGCAGCTGCAGGCAAGCTTGAAAAGTAGCCCCCGAAAAATATACAGACCTAGAGTCTATGAATTTTTTCCCCGAGTCTCTCTAGATCTATAATATCTAATCACTCTTTATCTTGCTAGGTGATAAAAAACATAGTTCTCATATTGGCCTTAAAATACATTTACAAACATGATAATAATAATGTGTCTGAATATTTAGAAGGTCTAGACTCTAGATCTATATCAGACAGTGTCCGAGATAGGGGCGGAAGCTTGGTAAATCGCTCCCGAAGTTTCGGCAGACATGTACGGTATCATTTCGGTGTAAAGGTAGGCCACTGCCGCGGCCCGAGTCAACTCTACATTCACTCATAATCTGAAAAACAGAAAACATATTGAGTGTTTCTTATGTATCATGTTTCTGCTGTTTAGAAATATGAAGCAAATATTTCATTATGAACTGAAGTGAAAACTACGAAATTTACGGATTATTTACCTCATGAAGTCACTGGGTCATTGCCGCAGGAAGAATTTGTCTGCTCCAGAAATTCCTAACTTGCTGCACATGCTAGGCTTATTCCTGATAAAGGGCTTACTTTTCAAAACAAAATAAAGTTTTTTATCATTACAAAAGATGTCTTTTACTTTTTGAATTATTTTTTTTATGTAATACACATTTCAAAGCATAGATTATGAAATTGACTTCTTTAAATAAAAAAAGTATGGACAAAATTTATCACAAAACGACTAGAAAATATACTCGTCATTCTTATCTATTACGTCACTGCCTGTCATGGGATCCCGTGTAACGCGTTTGCCGTGCATACAAATACACGCATAGCGGTTGCATGCACTGCATCATCCGACTCCTGCATCCATATAATATACGTAGTACATGCATTGTCCATATACCGGTGTCACGATCAAGATGGCGTACGCGGTTAGAGCATCAGGATCGAGGGTAAAATTACATGTTTTTCTTGATTCTTTGTGTATTTAGATTGAAAGGACGATTCTTGAAATATCATGGAAAACTTTGAAGCTAAAAATAAACCATTTTGATCAACAAAATTGTAATCCAAATAAGAACAAGCTGAAGAAAGTCCAACACAAGCAGTTCACATTGAATGATTCAAATTTCAAGTGTGTAGATCATTATACCCCTGTGTGTTTCTGTATGAATGGGTTTTCTGATGGAGTAGGCCTATGGCTATGAAGTTTGACATGAGTTTTAGAGGTTTTAAAGTTGCTACTAACTTAGGTTGATACATCTGAAATTATTTAGGTTCTTAATCTTCCCAAAGACAATAGTCGATAGACCACAAAATTATTTAATTTTGAAGCCTTCTCTTCATCATCATGTTCATGTTCTAGTTCTAAAATTGCTTTTTAGCCCTTGAATTTAATGCAATGTTTGCATCAAATAAATACCATAATTCATAGATTGTCATGCTTTGTAAGTCTGAGAAAATTGATGAAATATTGCTCATAAACTTCTTCAAATTGCTGTTTTAAATCAACTGTCCAGACACACATCTTGGTAAACTTTTTGTTTTACTACTTTTTATAATACTAGATTTATTGTTGGATTTTTCAGACTTGATGTAAGGTCTAGATCTAGATCTAGGTCTATGTATCTGTATTGCCGTCTGAAAATGTGCCTTTTAATTCTGTTCTTTTTCCTTTCTTTGTGATTGTGAATTGTTTCGACTTGAAACTTAACCTTTCCAAGAACAAGTTGATTGAGGCTGAATTCTACTAACATGTAGAAAACAAAATTAGAATTTATTTTGACGAGCGTATCACACTCACAGACAAAAAAGAGAAACAGAATGAGGCTGAAAGCTTTAATTTGGTTGATGTGTCAACGTTTATCCCTTTATATTTAAAAGCTCTTTTCAAAACAATGATGACTTTGTAAGTTCAATTCAGTAATGATAAAAACTCATTTAGAATCTCAAGACTAATGTATGTATACACAAATGCTGTGTATCTCAACAGTTGATTTAGAATTAAATTGAAGAAGTTTACTAGCAATTTTTCATAAGTCTTCTAATCTAAGTATTCCAAGACTTATATGTTGGACAATATTATAAAGGACAAATATTCATGATAGTTAATGCTATTTGATGAATATTTTTTCAATTCAATCCAAGGGCAGAAGAGAAGGCTTTATGTTTTTTATGTGTCCACACACCCAACCCCCTATCATACAAACTAGTCAGTCTTCTTTTTCTAAGATGGTCAATATTTCATAGATTTTCAGATTTCAGAAACAGAAGATATCAAAAGTCTGGCACAACAATTCCAAGAGGATATCTTTCAACATGATTTTCCTTGGACTGGGTGTTAAATAGTGGGAAAATTTACCAATATGCTACTTTTTGCATCCCCCCACCCTTTCCAAAGAATGATGCACTTAATATACAAAATATATTATTTCACTTGCAAATTGAAATAGTACAATTCATATTTTTTTTAAAGATGAGGTTCCAAGGTCACATTTTTCGGAAAAATTTCCTACAGTGTATTCCCCCACAGACACACACATTTGTTATTCAATTATTTTTTCAGCATGTAACTCTCCTGAGTGTGGAACACCTGCAAAGTTCACAAAAGTTTCGTTAATGTGAAAGGCTTTAGAATATTGCTTCCTTGATGATTCGATACCTGCTCTTGTTCACACCCCATCTCATGAATTAAAACAATAGTCTGACACTTTTTTTCAGGCTTAAACTCTTTTATATTTATTATTGCCGTAGAAAGATGGAGCTGTGTCTAGTTTTATTTATGTTTCTTCTGTTTTTTCTCTAGATGAAATCCCTCATGGCTGCAGGCCTTCGGGCCAGGCTGCTACAGACTTCTGCAGCAGCAAGTCAGGTAAAGTTCTAAGAAAACATGTACTTTATCTTAAAGTTAAGAAATAAAAGCGATATTCAACATAATGTATACAAGGTGTGGATATGGTTATTTATTTGAGGGATGAAAAATATGATAACATTATTTTGATCGCCAATCAAGAAGCTTATATTATTTCACTTAAATGATTTTTCTTATAATTCAAGCAACTTAAAAGTTGGCAGAAATGGTATACTTTGTAAGTGTCTGAGTGCAAGTAATGTTTTACAAAAGAATTCTGAAATGAAGTCCAAGCTTATTCCATTCATTAGAAATGTGATGTGTAGTTCAAATGCACCTATGTTTTTTCATCCCTCAAACTTGTTATGGCAAATCGATGAGAGGGTAAGATCATGGAAAATGAGCCATAATTTGATTTATTGAATGCAGACATCTTTTTTATTTTTCTTGTGATTTACAGGTAGCCATGAGCCGATTCGAACAAGACACGTTTATTAACTATGACCAATTGGACGCAAACCTCAAGATTGTGAAAGATAGACTTCAACGACCCCTTACCCTCAGTGAAAAGATTGTTTATGGTCATCTCGACAAACCTAAGGAACAGGTAAGAAATATTAATAAACAGAAAAACTATAACAATCTTTGAAAACGGTGCATTGTACCTTACATTAAGTATGACACAAACTCTAAATCACTACCAAAAAAGGGTGTATGGTTTCTCTCAAAATATGGAAATTGGTACATATAGTTTTAGTTCAAAGTATGTGGAGAAAAGAGAAAGAAACATCTTATTTTAGTTTTTGTCATTGAACAAATATAATTATGTTTGCAACTTCTCAATGCATTTTCTCAAGCATGTTATGGTTGATATGAGCAATATCCTCCACACATTTTCTTTTGAATAGTGTAGCTGCATAAGCATTTCAGAATCAATAAATACTTTTATATCATTTTGTTGGCTAAAGCTGATATCTAGAAAATATTGTTTTAAATTACTATCAGAGATTAATATTGCATTAATTAGGGTATAGGAAATCAATCTAGAAGCAAAAAGCTAGATGATGGTTGGATCTTTTCATTATAAATTCAAATGACAAAAAAAGTTTAGTCAAGATCTTTTATTTTCCTCTGACAGGACATTGAGCGTGGAGAATCCTACTTGAAGTTGAGGCCAGACCGTGTCGCTATGCAAGATGCTACAGCTCAAATGGCTATGCTACAGTTCATCTCCAGCGGTCTTCCAAAAGTAAGTCATCTCCACTTGGTATTTGTTTGTGGATTGGAAATAAAATTGATAACATGTCCTCTGTTGTGAATGTGACGATGGAGATGTAAAATTGTATTTATTTTATCTATGAAGTAATTAGGATGAAGTAATGCCTGATATGTGTTTTGTTTGTCTGTGTATTTGTTCATTACAATTTTTTCGCATTGTGTTTTAATTTTCAGTACAAAATCTTACTTGTTGAGGCAGTTATTGTCCGTGATTTTTAAAACCAAAAACACACTGTTAATCTGTTTAGTTATTCATCTTACACTTGCTAGTGCTGGTGAAATCATACCATGTCTCAAAAGCATTAGATATCTTGGTATGTTTAATGTCTTTTCGTTTATTTCATGCAGGTTGCAGTCCCGTCTACCATCCATTGTGATCACTTGATTGAAGCCCAGGTGGGAGGAGCTAAGGATCTCACAAGGGCCAAGGTAAGGAGTACCAGATTGATTAAGAGTTATACATAGCTGCCAACCATCCCTATTTTGGAGAGATGATTCCTATTTTTCTGCCCACAAACTAGTTGTATGAATGCTATATTCCTCTTATTTTCTGAATGCATCTGTATGAAAGCATGTAAAATACACTGTATTACTAGTTTGTGCTTCAGGCATTTGTAATGTCTTTTGTAGAAGGTTGGCATGTATGAGTATACACTTTCATTGTCTTTCAAATTGGAAGTTGAAGCTTAGTTCTTGGGTCTATTCACCTACCAAACATTGCCATAAAATATTTTGTTTCCCTCTCTCTTATTTTAGATAGCAGCGCTTTAAATCATAACCTATTTGTTTGCTAAAGAAATGGTTAATTGAGTTGACATATTAAATTAATTTCACTTAAACCTTTTATTAAGAAAAAAAATGTTACCATGTTTCAACTTCAGTTTCACTTCTCATGTCAGGTAGATATCTCTGACTTTCAGTAAGAAGATAGTGAAATTTAACACCTTTTCTTATTAAAGCAAACAAAAATATTGTAAAACTAAAAGAATAATGTACAAATTCCTTAAGTCTTTCACATCGGTCTTTACAAAATTGGCAATCTGGGCCCTGTTCCATAAAACTTATCATCATTAACATGTTACAATAATTGTTATAAGCTACTGAAATTGTGGCATTTGATTGGCAGAGTACAAATTTGTCATATAAATTTGGCATTTGTTATGGATAATAAGTTTTATGAAATGGGCCCCCACGTAGCATAACGATGTAATATACATGTATGTCTTGCTTCTTTGTAGGACTTGAACAAAGAAGTGTACAACTTCTTGGCGTCAGCTGGTGCTAAGTATGGTGTGGGCTTCTGGAAGCCAGGCAGTGGTATCATTCATCAGGTGAGAGAAACAGTGATAACACCTTTCGCTTCAGACTCTTGGGAAATGACTCGTCTCCCTCTCAAGAATGGGGATTTAGTCATGCTTAGCAGTGTACTTCATTAAATGAGTGATGTTTACTAAAGAAAACATAGTTAATTCCAAAGGATTTGGATATTTTGGCGTGATAGCTTACAGTCAGGTTTATTCATTTTCATTTACTGAAGTGATTTTATATTTTGTGTCCATTTATCAACTGCTTGACACATTTTCTAAATGTGTGTTCTGTGTATTCTGTCTGTTTTTTAAGTTATTGCAATATTCATATTTTATAGTCCAAATTGCTTTTACAAGTGAAACAAGTTGTGTGCTCTCTTTGCATAGGAGAGATAACAAAAATCCTCTTTCTCGTGAATAATTGTCTGTAATTCCTACATCTTGGCATGTCTGCTTTTGGTAGTTCTAAATATGATTATGGTGCATGTGTCATTTCAATTTATGGCAGGGCTTCATACTAACTTTTTTAGAGAAGGCAGTCTAGATTGAACTTTTACAATCTGTATTCATGAACCCTATGTAAAAACTTCACAATCTTGGGGGTCCGGACTTAGATTTTGGGTGCCAATGTGTCCTGGGTGCTTGTTCATGTCAAACCCCGGGTACGGTGATGGCTGTGTGGTCCTGTGCTCAGGTGACGTGTCACATGTCATCTACCCCCGTGCACTGAGACAGCAGTATGATTCACCTACAGGAAAGCAAGACTGGTGATCCTGTCTCTTCTTGCCTTGACACACTGCCCAGATAGTGGGAAAGGGGCTAATGGCTAGAGTGATGGGGCACCAGTCTGAAGACAGCTACAGGTGTAGATTGTGTGTGATCACCCCCACAGACCATGGGCAATCTATGTATGATGCTGTCTACATTCACGACAGGGCTCAAATTAATTTTTTGTCCACGGGGGCTCTTCCACCCCCCCCCCCAAAAAAAAGAGCCCCCGTGAGCCTACTCACGGGGGCTCTTTTAGTACTGACGGGGGCTCTTTTTTATACAAATATCCATTGAATTGGTACCTATGATACTCCTCAATTATTTGCTATTTCATCATTATCATTCCAATCAGCATTTTCCCTCTTACAAATTTACAAGCTACATAGCTGTTACTGGCCTGTGTATACGCATACAACACTGATCTTTATGATGTCTTTAACGTGACATATCTTCTTCTCCCCTTCCAAACGAGAAAGAAAACAAGGTCATTAAAAGGGATTAAGCGACAAATAATGATTGTGATTCAAATTGATGCAAATATTTTGTTTGAATAAGCACTGCTATTCACCCGAATCTTCTTTGTAAAAACATTTTTTACAAATCTCAGTCATGCTTACTGAGTTGAGACGTTCCATTCAAAGTAAAATACTCATTAAAGAATACACTTCTCCTAATCTGAAAGTGATCTTACAACACAGTGGCAGATTTGCATGGCTGAGATTTGTAAAAGTCGTTTTTACAAAGAAGATTCTGGTGAAAAGCATTGCTTATTCAAAAAAAATCCTTGCATCAATTTGAATCACAATGATTATTTGTCGCATGATCCTTTTATTAAATAACCTTGTTTTCTTTTTTGTTTGCAGGGGGAAAAGAAGCTATGTCACGTTAAGAAATCATAAAGATCAGTTGTATTATGCGTATATACATTATGATACCAGAACAAATGTTGATTATCAGAATGTCATTTTGGAATACCTCTAAACAAATACCACATTGTCTTTAGCCCGTATCAGTATTAGTATCATGCAATATAAAGCTATTATTCTTTATTTAATTCAGTATAATGCTTTTCCTCAAAAATAGTTTTGCCATTTTGTTAGGGTTGAGACGCTAAGAAATGGTTTCAAATGTACATTACACGAACCCTGAACCATTGCAAAATGATGGTGGTTCTCTCTCTCTCTCTTTACTTTAATCATGCATTATCAACTACATATAAAGCAGCAACCAAAAACTTAGGGTTATCTGAGATAGGTGAAAGTAAGAGTTAAAAAGAAAGTCATGCTAAAACGGCGCTTCACTCCCCCCCCCCCCATGAAAAAAATAAAATAGATTAGTAGTCCTCCTCTCCAGCACCCCCCCCCCCCCCCCCCCCCCCCCCGCTTTAATATCACATTTTCACTTGGCAGCCCAAGGGGGCCGGGGGTGGGAGGAGGGGGTTAAACCCCTAACCCCCCCCCCCCCCCCCCGTAGATATGCCCATGTTACCATATCATTCCACGACATCTTGGTCTTCCTCTTCTTCTCAATAGGGACTTTTAGATTTGCGTGGACGTGGACGTGTTACGTCCTTTTAAGGCACTGGCAGTCACATGTCACGTCCTTTTAAGCACTGGCACTGCCTTAAAAGGAGGTCACACGTTTCAGTCCACGTTCCCATCGTGCAAATCTAAAGGTCCCTAATATTGATTTACTGGTCGAGTTCATTATTTGCTAGTCATTTGAAATCACCAGATTTCAGCGGGTTAACGCTTTCACAACGAAAAACTTCTCCATGACCATGTTTCTGCCCTTGCGCGATCGCCTCCAGCTCTAGCAGACATAGCGCGGCAGCGTGCACACGTACCGCTACTAAGGGCGCAGTAGGCCTATAACCACTGCTGACGGCGGCACTGCACTGTGAGCTGAATCGGTAATAATAGGCCTACTCATAAAACAAGAAATCTTGCACGCTAATCTAAGTTCCATTTCATTTGAAAATTGAAACTCAATATTGTGTTAAAGTTATAACAGAAAAGAAAATCTTTATATTATAATTCCACGGGGGCGATTTTTAATTTTGCAATCGCCCCCGTGAGCAACCTGACGGGGGCGATTATGTAGCTCACGGGGGCGAATCGCCCACCGCCCCCGTGTATTTTGAGCGCTGATTCACGATAATCTTATACCAAATATGATTCACAAAATGACTATTGGAAAATATCCTTGACATTTTCATAAAGTTCTGTTTGGAGGCAGCCAATTTGACCTGATCTTAATAGGACTAAGACCATGTTTTTGATAACTGACATTTCATATTGGATAACACAGAATTTGGAATTTGCTATAATTTTGTGCTACCCCCTACAATATGAATAGATCATCCTTGAGAACTATGCCTACCCTGGTGTACTACTGATTGGAACGGACTCCCACACTCCCAACGGAGGGGGGTTAGGAGGCGTCTGCATCGGTGTCGGAGGGGCTGATGCCGTGGATGTGATGGCAGATATCCCATGGGAACTCAAATGCCCTAATGTAAGCCAAATGTCTCTTTTCCTTGTGTTGTTTTAAAGCCACACTGTGCTATTTGTAGCTACTTGCTCCCTCTAGTTAGCAAACGATGCCTAATCGGTGACCATTGGTCCCCCATGATCCTCTTTTTCTTATGTTAATTGAGAGCTAAGTTGATGAGATAGCCACATGTCAGTGACCTCGCTGGGTGGTCTAATCCCTCCTTGCCAAACCAGTACAGACGGCCTTTAACTTTAGAGTAGAAACCTCTTATAGATTTTTTTTCTTCAATTTGTGTCAGATGCAGTTCATTTTTACGTTTTCTTCTTTGTTTTTGTTCTTTAAAAAAAAATTAAATTGGATTCTAACATTTTTTTGCCACCATTATATCTGTCAATGCTTGTTTATCGTTAGTGATGTGAAGGGTAGCTTTCAATACAGTCGTACTTCCCTTTTTATCTTGCAATTGCAATAGCAAGAATGAACAAATATCCAAAATATAGGAAAATAAGTTGTGGTGTATCGACTCCAATCTGATAGGACTTCAGTAATTTCAAAGTTTAATTGAATTATCCCCAACTGAAACCTGTTCTGTAAAAGTGTCTAATCACCAATAATTTTCTGATCTTCCATGTTTTTTTCCATCTACCCATACATCTTGTCATTATAGGTCATTGGAGTGAAATTGACCGGTCAACTCAGTGGCTGGACCTCACCTAAAGGTAACTTCAATATCTTTTATTCCCTCTTCCTGTCCCCTTTTTGTAGTATGAAACCTTTTTACATATAGTTATGTTTACATCCATTTGATATGACTACTTGCCCAGGCTCTGATGTCCCAATGTTTTGACAGTTTTAGCATGGTTTAACTTTAACTTGAATAGTGCATGTCATTCAATGGTATTGCCACAATGAAGGGTCTTGCTTGGAAATTACTTAAGTAATTTCCTCAACATTATTACATCATGCCCATTGTTTTAAGCAGCAATCCAATCTTCTATTTTTAGTAAAGTTCGCTGATCTGGACTGTTCATATTGATCGCAACTATGTACATAAGAGATAGGAGACTGCCAATTTGCGATTGATTGGAGAACTTGGTATTTATTTGAATCAATCACAACTCTTTATAAGATGGGGCCTGGAGTCTCTTCAGTTGCACCCTTTCTTCAGATACACCTCATCAACTCCATATCATACATGTTATAATCATAAATCTCCATTGTCTGAATCATAAAAACTGTTACTTATGCTCCAAAGGGTCTGTCACAATACAACTCTGTTTACAGTCAGCAGCTTCTGTAAATGCTTGCAATATTGATTTATTGATTTGGAATCGGGATAGAATTTTTATTGCCAGACTTTGGCAAACAAGCAAGTGCACAGTCCATGAACTCTGATATTTCATCTGATATCTCTCCGATGTTTTATCTATGCTAACAGCTTGCACCTATCATATGCCCTTATCTGAATGGGGAGAATTGAGTCATTTGTTCAATAAATGATCTGAGCTACAATTTTGAGCAGTAAGCATTGATGCAAAATAATTTAAATGGGAATTTATCCATATGCTCTTAAAATTAATATCAGTGTGCAGCAAAATGGAAAAGATTTGTTCACTTTTAACTGCTCGTCTGGTTCTAGATCTATACAACGTTGCGAAAATTCATGATTGAAGGTTTTCAACACCATGAGGTTGCATTGTTAAAAAAACGAAAGAGTATATCAACAGCCTTGTCAATAAGGTCACAACATGGTGCTTATGAAAACCTTCAATTTGAGGGGTCAGTGACACAAAGACGAAACTCCATTTTGGCCATTTTGAGAAAAAGTGGTTATGTGTCACTGAGCACTTGGACCTTAAGGAGTTAAGTCTTATGTTTCACTAGCCATCGACTTCAATGGGGTGTTTGGTGGAGTTAAGTCTCTGTGTTTCCTGGAATGCCCACATTTTTCTGAACATTTTGATATCAAATGCTCATTTTGGCAAAATATGGAGTTACGTCTTTGTGTCACTGACCCCTCGAATTGTGAATACTCACTCAACCATGGAAACCAAAGAAAATATCTTTTTACAAATTGTCATTTATTTTGGTTCCTTCTCCCAATCTTCCATCTGTAGATGTAATCCTGAAGGTAGCTGGTATCTTGACCGTCAAGGGCGGTACCGGAGCCATCGTGGAGTACTTTGGACCTGGTGTAGACTCCATCTCTTGCACGGGTAAGTCTGTGTAAATAGTGTATCCTTCCACAAGGGCGCCCTCACACATGATGCGGTAAACAGTGTCACTGACGCACCTGTTGAAAATAGAGTAAAAGGGGGTGTAGCATGGCGAGAGTATGTGTCTTTCCCGTGGCCTGAATGCAAATACCCTAGCGCTTGCTGACCGTTAATCAATTCATATGTTACGTGCAGTTGTCCAAATGAAGTCATAGATGGCGTTAACCAGTATTTGCCATGCTACACCTCCTTCAACTCAACGTCTCCCAATTCAACACATACATGCCAACTGTTCAGATTAAAGAGGAACATTCCTCTTTTTGGGAGAAGATAATTATCATTTTAATGCAGGTGTTCCTCTTCCTTTACAAATTTTTCTGTAGTATTGAATAGGAGAGTTAGGATTGTTCCTCTTTTTTTTTTAAATAGCATAATTTGTACAGATTTCTGATTTTCAAATGTTGGCATGTATGTCAACGTTTCCCTAAGTCAAATCGATTTCATGAACCCAGCTATGCAAAACATGTGGTATTTAATCTTCCTACGTCATAATTTGCATGAGGCGAACTATTTTTTTGCATGTATCCTGAGCGCCTGATAGTGTCAAGCCCAGGATACGGTGATGGCTGTGTGGTCCTGTGCTCAGATGACGTGTCACATGTCATCTGCCCTCGTGCACTGAGACAGCAGTATGATTCACCTACAGGAAAGCAAGACTGGTGATCCCTTCTCTTCTTGCTTTGACACACTGCCCAGATAATGGGAAAGTGGCTAATGGCTAGAGTGATGGGTCACCAGTCTGAAGACAGCTACAGGTGTAGATTGTGTGTCATTCCCCACAGACCATGGGCAATCTATGTATGATACTGTCTACATTCACGATACCTAAAATTGTTTTTCCAAACTATTTTTTGCAGTCAGTAGATCGGTGATTAGTGGTAACAATTTAAAGCCCCACTGCACTACTTGTAGCTACTTGTGCCCTCTATATAGCAAGAAATGTCTAATAGGTGACCATCGGTCTCCCATGATCCTCTTTTTCTTACATAAATTGCGAGCTTATTTGATGAGATAACCACCTGTCAGTGTCTAATATTGTCAAAATGTCCAGGTGTATCTCAAATTCCCTGTTAGTCTGATCCAGCACCATATTGTGAGAAGGTGATACAAATGATAAGTTACTTTTCATTACATTTGTACAGGTATGGGTACCATCTGCAACATGGGTGCCGAGATCGGTGCTACCACGTCCATGTTCCCATTCAACAGCAGAATGAGAGACTACCTGGTCGCTACCGACAGATCAGGTGAGAGCAATCTTCTATATTACACTGTATCAAAGGAAATAATGTGCAAGATATCAAACTCTTGTTCATGCCCTGTTTGGACTTTGACTTTGCATCAAAGTGAAGGGTTTAAATGTGGAGATGAACTATCCTTAACATTACAAGTCATCCTTATCTCATGCCCTGTGTGGACTTTGAGTTTGCACGACTCTGTCTTTAAGTGAAGAGATTAAATGTGGAGATGAACTATCTTCCGCTTAACTGAAGTGTTGTTAGTATTCCCTACAATCCTTGTTTGGACTTTGACTCTCCCGGACTCTGTTTTAAAGCGGAGGGTTTAAATGTGGGGATGAACTATCTTCAGCATTACTGGCAGTGTTATTAGTAATCCTTACAATCCTTGTTTGGACTTTGAATTTGCATGACTCAGTCTCAAAGTGAAGGGTTTAAATATGGGGATGAACTATCCTCAACATTACTGGCAATGTTATTAGTAATCCTTATACAATCCTTGTTTGGACTTTGAATTTGCAGGACTCTGTCTCAAAATGAAGGGCTTAAATGTAGGGATGAACTATCCTCTACATTACCAACAGTGTTCTTAGTAATCCTTATAATCCTTATGCTATTCTATGCTTACAATGATTCTTCCTTTTGTCAAAGGTGATATCATGTTAAAGGTAAAGACCAGTATTGGAAACGCCCCAATTTCAAAAAATGAAATGGAAGCTCTCATTGACAATCATGTGAAAGAATATGTTTTGACTAATACATGATGATAAAAAATTTGCCGGGAAACCGCCTACTAATTCATATATTTGGTAAATTTGTTTCTCTCATGGTCTGTGAGAGATATAGGGTAGTCCCATATACATCTTTCTGTGTATAGTGCTTGTACCTTTACGAAGAATGGGCCAAATTTCTTATCATTTTGATGATTCCAGAACCTTGCAGATGTTAGATGCTAGATGATCAACCTTTTCTGATCGATTCCACAACGTTTTCTTTAACAATGCAATTGCATGACCATAACTGGTCTTTACCTTTAAACATTTTAAAGAATATCAAATGATCTGTGCATTGGTTTGATGGGAATCTGTCCTTGTCTACCAACACCTAAATTTGAATGGACTGGACTTTTAATTGTTAGATCGACCTCTTCAATGACCTAATATTAAACTGAATGATATGTACGACATCAGATAATGATGAAAGATAATACCGCATACTGTTGTGCAGGAAAAAAATACACGGGGGCTTGGGGCGAAGTAGCTCCCGAAATGCCCAAAAGAGCCCCCAAAAGTCTTAAAAGAGCCCCCAAATTTTGCATAGAGTTCAATGCAAAACAAATTAAAGAATGTTATTTTCATGCAAGCAAGCATGAAAAGTAGCCCCCGAAATGTTTAAAGTATTTTTTTCCCTGCAAAGTCTTGTGTTCCCTGACACACATGAAATTAATTCTACATTAACTGATTCCATATAGAAATTGCGGATCTGGCTGACAAAAACAAACATCTCCTGACAGCCGATGAAGGTGCACAATATGATGAGGTCATTGAGATCAATCTTAGTGAGGTAAGTCATTCCCGGAAGGCAGAGGGAGTCTCTATTGAAGAGGAGGGGGGGGGGGGGGAAGGGGAGTGGAAAGGGCAAGCCCCTGGTATGAAGCATGCAAGTCAGACTTGGTTCAATTTTGTTTTCTTTAAGGATTACCCCATGAATTGTGCAGAGGCTGACCACAAATGCCTAGTAATGGTAATGCCAGAACTAGAAAGAGAAAGTGAAAAAGTGAGAGAGAGAGAGAGAGAGAGAGGAAATAGAAAGAGAGAGAGAAAGAGAGAGAGAGAGAGAGAGAGAGAGAAAGAAAAAAAATAGAAAGAGAAAAATGCTCAGAGTTCATTGGCATATACTTCCAAGACATTTGTTTCTAAAAAATTCTTCACAAATGTGTAATTACTGTACAGATGGAACTCATTACAATTTTTTTTCTCGAATGTGACTTACTGTTGTGGAAATCCGGTTAGGATGTAAACACAGTTATTTTGTTTATTGAATATTTCAGCTTGAACCTCTCATCAATGGACCTTTCACCCCTGACCTTATGAACCCTGTGTCAAAGGTTGGGGAGGTTGCCGTCAAGGAGGGTTGGCCTCTGGAGGTCAAAGTCGGTAAGTGAACCATTCCCTGTATTGATTATCGATCATTTATCTGTTTCTTAAAACAATCATTCTGATGTTGAGAGTGTTATACAAATGGTAGCGGAGTGGATGGTGAGGAAAAATGAGGATAATGATAATGGAAAATCTGTTGAAAATACGTCTCATTTAAAAATGTGGATATTGAATGGTGTTTATATGTTGTTGGTGACTATTATTATGATGCAATCGTTTCATCCTCTTCACAAAACTCACTGGCACTTGTGCAAACAGAAGTTACAAGATGATAATGATGATAATGGTGTTGATGATGATGATGATGATGATGATGATCATGATCATGATCATGATCATGATGGTAATGATGATATTGATGATGATGATCATGATCATGATGGTGATGACAATGATGATGTTGATGACAATGATGATGATATTGATGATGATGATGATGACGATGATAATGATGATGATATAATTGATGGTAATGGTGATGATGATGATGGTGATGATAATGATAGTGTTGAAGATTATGATTATAATGATGTAATGATTATGATTATCATGATTGTTATATAATGGTAATAATGATGATGATGGCGGTGATAATGATGATGTTGGTGATGATGATGATGTTACTGGAGATGATGATGATGATTATAATGATCATGATTGTTTAATGGTAAAAATGATGGTGATGGTGATGGTGATGATGATGGTGATGATGAGATGACGATGATTCATGACAGCACTCCTTTTCTTACAGGTCTGATTGGTAGTTGTACAAACAGCAGCTACGAGGACATGAGCAGAGCAGCTAGCATTGCCCAGCAGGCTCTGGATAATGGCATCAAATGCAAGTAAGAACATGGAACAACTCCACTGCTGAGGGCCAGAAGGGGCTTCATTTTATGTTAATTGAATGCATCGTTTGACAATGTTAAATCTGAGATGCATGGCCCTACGTGTTATCAGTGTCTTTGATATGGTGTAATATTGAAGCCCTATAAAAAATTGCACTTCAAAATGATCATAAAGTGCCTCAAAAAAGTAAAACTCTTTGAGTGACCGATTTTACCTTACTCATTTTCCCCCATAGACTACAGCGTTATAAAACCCATTAGGAAAACAAATTCTGAAATTTCTAATTCCAATCTTAGATATCTTGATAATCAGTCAGGCGATGGGCTTGCAAAAGTCGTGGGATACATGTATGACCTAAAGGTTTACAATTATGATTGCAACATGAGCTTAAATAGTGGATTTTTTCTTTAAAGAGTCTGAGGCAAAGTTTCCCAATACCTTTAATAGGAGTACTGTCTTTCTGTATCTCAGCATGCACTATTTTGCTATGCCTCAAGAGGAGAGAGAAAGGAATGGAAATGAAAAGAAGTACAATGAGAAATAGGTGCAGAATAAGTCTGAGAAGGATGGATACGAAGAAGACAATGAGAATGATCCTAGTTGCAATTTAGTCGCGTTGAAAAACAAACTCAACTTCAATATACAAAGCATTAACAGCATCGTTTAACAATGTAAACTCTGAAATGCATTGTTAAGTGTTATTAGTGTCTGTGATATGGTGTTATATTGAAGCCCTAATAAAATTGCGCTTCAAAATGATAGTGAAGTGACTGGTTTTACCATACTCATTTTTCCCAATATTGAAATTTCAATTTCCAAACATAAGTATCTTGATAATCAGACAGGCGATCGGCTTGTAAAAGTCATGGGGTTCCTGACTGACCTAAAGGTTTATAAATTATCATTGCAGCATAAGCTAAATCCAGGATTTTGTTTCAAAATCTGAGACAAAGATACCCAATCCCTTTAAATATTTGATACATCTCTTATCTAACTCTTTGTTTAACAGGGCCGCTTTCACGGTGACTCCAGGGTCCGAGCAGATCCGAGCCACCATTGAGAGGGACGGTCAAGCCGCTACTCTCAGGGAGTTTGGTGGCATTGTCCTAGCCAATGCCTGCGGTCCATGCATCGGTCAGTGGGATAGGTGAGTTAGATAGGATAGACTCTGTAACTGGACCAAGATCTATGTAAACAGTGAATTGATTCCAACCGATTTTCTTTTCCTGCTGAACACAAATATGTTTGAAAAGAATGAACCATGTTTTTAATAGGGACAGTTGAAATATTTTGTGTTTTCTAGGCATCGTTTAACAATGTTAAATCTGAGATGCATGGCCCTAGTTGTTATCATTGTCTGTGATATGGTGTAATATTAAAGGCCTACCAAAAGTGTTTAAGGGGCTAAATTTTCTAGTGCTTAGAATACATCCACAGGGGTATCCAAGTATATCAACATTTTAAAGAAATACTATCCATCCAATTTTCAAAATTTCCCAAAACTTTGCATTACCTTTAACCTGTGTCACTTTCATTTACACTTTACAGGCAAGATGTTAAGAAGGGAGAGAAGAACACCATCGTCACATCCTACAACCGTAACTTCACCGGCCGTAACGACGCTAACCCTGCCACCCATGCATTCGTAGCATCCCCAGAGGTAAGACGTGAGCATTTATACTGTATTGGAAGATTTAAAGAGAAGGTTAATTGATTTTAAAAACTAATTCATTGTCATTATTGCAAAGGGGAAACTTTGAATGGACAAGGTTATCAAAATTCAACGCTTGGAAACATTTGAAGTAATGATTATTATCAATTACAAAACGCTTAAAGGCATAGTTGAGTTTTGTTGCAGAGGGCGCTACACAAAATAATTTGTTGTGGGATAATGAAAAACTGAGTGTCAAATTTGAAAGAACATACAATTTAAATGACAAAATCATCTTTGTTTGATCGAAATGGGTTCAGAGACGGCTGAAATATTCATAAATATAACGATTTCTAATATTTGTGGTGCCCCACAAATATTCAATAATTTGAACCAGCCGTTGAAAAAACGCAATAGCGCCTTATACGATTTATTCAAGCAAATGCCGATGTTGGCTTTTTGTTGGCTTTTTTGTGTTGGTTATAATACGCACAACCAGTTATCTTCGGCTTTAATAGTATCCAACAGGCTAATATTTTTAGATGAGGACAAAGTTATTGACAACCATGGATATGCAAATTTGATTGATAGATTTGTTTTAAAGAAGTTACTTCATTAGCATAATGTGAATTTGACAGCAAAGTGCAGCAAAGTTTGTGATTCAAGGCTTTTTTCATTAAAGAAACTTGATATCTGAGAACATTTTACTATTTATACAGGTGGTTTACGGTTGCACCATGTGAGAGAAAGGGGGGAGGATTGGGGAGTCGTATTTGTTTTGCTAATTTCTGGTATTGTTCATATATGTGATTCGCAGGTTACCACAGCCCTGGCTCTAGCAGGTCGTCTGGACTTTGACCCAGAGGTAGATGAACTGACGGGAGCAAACGGACAGAAGTTTAAACTCAAGAGCCCCTATGGAGATGAGTTGCCAAGCCAGGTGCGGTATATCATTCTTATTCTAATAATGTGTTTCAAATATACTATTCTGAACTTGTGCACTCCCTTTGTTCAGTTTTTCTATCTCTTTACATGTCTCATTTGATGTTTTCTTTGTCAATCCCTGTCTCTCCTACCCCCTCTAAATCTTCTTTCTTTTTCATCCTCCCTTTCTCACCTGCTTCTCTTACCCTCTATTCAGGGGTGCCAGTTTTCAGGCAATAGCCTGAATTCAGGCCCCGGCAAGTTATTTTCAGACCATAGTTTAGGCTTTTTGTGTACAAAATGGCTCATTCTAGGTGATTTACAGGCCCTCTGATCAATTCTAACTGGCATCCCTGCTCTATTATTTATTGGGATATATAATCATCTTTTTGTATTATATAGGTCTTTATTTTCTCACTTGATTTGTTTTTTCTCTGTCTTTCTATCTTTCTCTTTCTCTCTCTCCTCCCCCTCCCTCCCTCCCTCTCCATCCTTGCCTCTCCTTATTATCATATCTGTAAGTGTCTGTCATACATAACTTTTATTTATTTATTTTTTGGTCAAATCATTTGCATGAATGCAATATATCCTGGAGTCATCATATCGGGGCTTTGATTCTGACCAGGACACCTTTCAGCCAAATTTAAAGCCCATCTGTACTTTTTTACAGAAGGGATAAGACCATCCTGCAAGGTCACTGACAGGTGGTTTTCTCATCGATTCAGCTCTCACTTAACATAAGAAAAAGAGGATCATGGGGGACCAATGGTCACCAATTAGGCATTGTTTGCTATTTAGAGGGCGCAAGTAGCTATAAGTAGTGCAGTGGGGCTTTAAGAACCATGGATCAGGGGTGACTGGATGTATATATCCGTCTAGCAACTGTATCCAGCTCTTCCCCTCCTCCCCTCTCGCTATCGCACTCGTTATCTCGCTCCTTGCATTTTTCTTCTATTCTTTCACGTACTACTGTTCTCCATCAAATCAGTCATCTGTATTTCTAGCCTGTTTTTTTCTTCTTTCTTCCCCCTACCAGGGCTTTGATCCTGGCCAGGACACCTTCCAGCCGCCGCCTAGCGACGGGTCAGGCATTGCTGTCGATGTGGACCCATCTAGCAACCGTCTCCAGCTGCTCTCACCGTTTCAGCCCAACGGACAAGACTTGGAGGATATGGTAGTACTCATCAAGGTGAACCAATCTATTTTTTTTCTTCATGGGATTATCTTACATAAAAGTGATTTAGAGAATCTGGCACTAACCAGGGGAGTGTTTTACAGAGACTAAGATCGACTTTAAGTTGGACTTAAAATATGACAGGTCATTCATGCCACTAGTTGCTCTCACCATTGGTCTTTCAATTATGATCTTTAGATAATTAAAATAAGCTCAATTCTGTAGATGTGTAACCATGGTTTGTACATCCTTTGAAAGACCATAGCCAGTATTTGGTGAGAACAAACAGTGGCATGAACGGCCTGCCATAGTTACGTCCAACTTAAAGTCAATCTTAGTCTTTGTGAAACACCCCCCTGAAAGATTGAGGGGAAGAGGAGTACAGGTAGAAGCGTATTTGCGATGGACAGTGCAGCAGTTAGAAATGACTTGAAGACAGAAAAGAGGAGTGAATTGGTAGGGGTAGAACTGATCGTAAATGCAAGCGCTAGAGAGTTGTAGGACAGCATCATTGCTAAAGCCTATAGATACAACAAAAAGATATAGAGAGAGAGATTTTCTTCTATGTTTATTTAAGTTCTTTAAAACAAAATAATTTTGGTGCTGCTTGTAAGTATCGGCTTGCATGGTGATGTAGATATACGGTAGGCTTGCGAATTACACACCCTCAAGAAAGATTACCGATCCTCAATCCTCCCTCTCTCTCACATGGTGCATCCGCAAGCCTACCGTATAAATAATTTTGGCTGTTCAAACTTTTTATTTTGCACTTCTTTTGTTCTATGTATGGTGCTTTGTGTAAACTTCCATCCATCCTTGTAATTTTCCTGCAAACTTACATTCTGGAAAAGCTAGGAAAAGTACTATTTATGGAATAGTACTATACCAAATACTTTATCTTGGACTGGAAATTAATGCATAGTACAAATCATATGTATAAATACAAATGTTACTAACGGAGTACAGATGAATCTTTTTAAAGAAAATTGAAAGTGAATGATGCATTTTTTTTTGCTTTAAACTTTATTCTTATAATGGTGGTCTAATGGGGATCAAACATTCTGATGAAATGTGTTGTATTAGGCATTCCTACTTATAATCACGCTCTTTCAATTTTCTTCTTAGGTTAAAGGCAAATGCACCACAGATCACATAAGCTCGGCTGGTCCATGGTTGAAATACAGAGGACATCTGGACAACATCTCGGACAATCTTCTCATTGGGTAAGCTCATTTTATCCCCATTTTAATTTTCATATATTGATCAGAGGGGTAAGCAGTATAGATGTAGTCATATGATGCTGATAAGTTCAGGAGATATCATCCTGTAAGCTCATACTTCTTTCCTACTTGTTTGATTTTTATGAAATGTTTAGTAGGGGGGATATAGAGATTTACTCATTTGCTGCACAATCTCCTGGATCATTCTTTTGTCAACTTGGTCACTATTCTTTTTTGAGTTCCCATTTTTTTTTTTGTGGGGGGGGGGGGGGGAGGGGGATGGTTGTATTCTTGTGTTGTGTTATCATTTGTTTTGTTTTGTTTTGTTTTGTTTTTCATTTTTGTCATCTTTTGTTTTGTATTGTATTGTATTGCATTAGCTATACTGATGTATACCTATCTTGAACATTAAATTCTGATGCATAAATGACTGAAATGCCTCAAGCTACTCAAAGCTAAATTTCCCTACCTTATTTTAGTAAAAGTATTCTAAAAAAGAACTGTCCTATTGTCAATGCTTCACTTCAAATTCAAATCTTCAATCTTTTGTTTAACAATACCTGTACTATGCACTATGACACTCATCCAAACTCTCTCATTCTTTCAATTTTGCTTATGTGCCTCGGAATAGAATTGTCTACATAGGCGGCACTATACAAATGCCTATTATTATTATTATAATTTAATTTTGATAACAGAGCAACAAACATTGAGAATGGAGCCATGAACAGTGTTAGGAATCAGCTGACAGGAGAGTTTGGGGAAGTCCCAGCTACAGCAAGGGATTACAAGGTAAGGGCAAATTCTCCATGATGTATGTACCAGTCATCTTTGGAGTCCACACAATAGGTACAAAAGCTCAATGGTTAAAGCACCGATATTAGGATTGAAAAGATCCCATTTTCATTCCAAGTGCTTCTTTTAAATCTTTTGTTCTGTTGAGCAGTGTTCTCATTGAAGCTTTAGGCTTACCCCGTTCCATCGGGTCTTCGCGTCCAGGTCTCTGCGTCGGTTACAAAACTTTCCTGAAAATATAGTGCTGGATGTAAACTTGTGAAATACACCCTCTTTTGGCCAGTTTACCTGACTCTTTCTGAAAGACCTACAGCAAATTGACGAAAACTCACGTCTTGACTATTGTTGTAGGCTTCAATAGGGTTTTTTTTTTTCGTTTGGATTCAACGGTGTTTTCTCCCACCCATTTTGTCACAACTTGATTATAAGTCTTTGGACATACTGAGCTTAGCTGCATGGTCTCCACCCCCCTTCCTCTCATTTTCTTATTTTTTAAATTACAAATGGTTTCATTCATTTTGTACACAGAACCGGATTATAAACTGTCCCTTCTTACAAAGATTTGAAATGATATTTCACTTTTCTTCTTCATCCATTGTTTTTTTCTTCGCAGTCCAAGAACACTCCCTGGGTTGTGTTCGGAGATGAGAACTACGGCGAGGGAAGCAGCCGAGAGCATGCCGCTCTAGAACCCAGGCATCTCGGTGGACGCGCCATCATCGTAAAGAGCTTCGCCCGTATCCATGGTAACTACTTCCTATCCTTATCTCTTTTTTTTCCATTTACCAACTTCATATTAGGGTTCCATGACGCTGCTCCAGGGACATGCTCTGCCGTCTATCATCTATACTTCCCAAATTCTTGACTGAACCAAACTATACCTAAGGGTAACCTTTTCTGTAAAAGTTTCCCATCTAACAATGCTAGTTTGGTCGATAATTGAATATAAAAATTTACCGGTGCTCCCAGTAAATTTGGATAAATTTCAAATAGCGCCTACGGCCGTACAATGGTAGCTGCGACCATGAAAATCTCAGAATATTTAGTTCTGATATATAATTTGAGAACGGGAATAGCTAATCAGTCGATTTTAGTCATGAAACATTGTTTTATAGCTTGATTAATATCTTGAATTTGAGAGGGAGCTATACAACAAAGAATTTATGATTTACAATTTCTTAACTTCAGAATCAATTTCAACGGCGACAACGATCACTGAATATTGTAGGATCGCATATGCTTCCAATATGTTCATTTGAACCAAATTCATGACCTCTTACCAAAACTTTGTATTACCTTGGAAGTATTCTGTTTGCCTTATTACAGAAACCAACTTGAAGAAGCAAGGTATGCTCCCTCTGACGTTCTCCAAAGCTGCAGATTACGATAAGGTCAGACCCGACGACAAAGTATCCCTGAGAGGACTTGCATCACTAGCCCCTGGAAAGGTACCTGTGTGGCGATATCTGCCTCAGGGGTGTTTTCATAAAGATCCTAAGTTGAACTTATCTCCATCTATGAATATATTTTGTGAAAGTTATTTTAAAAGGCATAAAGTGTTGATTAAAATCATTCATATTTTCTATTATCAAGGAGATTTCATGTTCTTGACGTTGTATTTATGAAAGGTCTAAAATACTTCAATTTTGGCTTTTGAATATATTTTATTTTAAGGCTACAAATGGCTCTCCATAATGTTTAAGTCCAACTTAGAGATAAGTTCAACTTAGAATCTTTGTAAAACACCCCTCCCCCCCCCCCCCCCAGGTTTTATTTTCTTGAAAGGGTATAGGATTAGAACTTGGGTTCGAGGTTGGTTTTTATGTAAGTTGTAGGTGTTAGGGTTTGGGTTTGGTATAGCTTGAGGTCCAGGGTTAAGGTGAAAGTCAGACCCGACGACAAAGTATCCCTGAGAGGACTTGCATCACTAGCCCCTGGAAGGTACGTGTGTGTTGATATCTGCTCCAGGTTTTTTATTTTCTTGAAAGGGTATAGGATTAGAATTCGGTTTGGGGTTAGGGTAAGGGTTAGGGTTACATATAATTTTGCGGTCCATGGTTTGGTTGCAGTCTGAACTGATGACAGAGTGTCATTGAGAGGACTTGCGTCATTAGCTCCAGGCAAGGTATGTCTGCCATGATCAGGCATTTGCTATGGCAACATTTGCTCCGACCTTATTTTGTCAAAGAATGTCCCGTTAGGGTTCGAGTTCAAATTTGATTTTAAGGTGGGGTTGGGGTCAGGTTTAGGGTTGGACGTGGTCAAGGGTTGAAGATGCCAATCTGTATATTGCACCTGTATGTAATAAGCCGACTAAAGCTTAATCATCAAAGGCTCTTTTCATTTCACATGTTTAGATCCATCCCTCTGTTGTACATAGTCACCACTATTCATATATCCTGTCCTCTCTATTCAATTTTGCAGCCCGTTGAGTGTGTACTGAAGCACACAGACGGCAGTTCAGACACCATCCTCCTCGACCACACCTTCAACGAGACGCAACTCGAGTGGTTCCAAGCGGGCAGCGCCCTCAACAGGATGAAAGAGGTACAGGCAGCCTCATAGCCACAGACCAATGGCTCCGTAACCTCTATCTGAAAATTTCTGGAATGTGTATTATCTATAGAAAGCGATTTTATCAATTTGTATTTCTTGTTTTATGTGTGAAACACCTACTATTAAGAGGAAGAAGAAAAAAAACGCAGGGCAATTTTTGTATGAGCATGTTGAATCTGGAGGTAAACTGCTATGTATGTAACTTCTTAAATGGTTTCAAATTGAGGTTATATATGCATCAGACATGTTGTAATTCATGCTGGACTATTATGCTCTAATAATATAATACTTGTATACAGAGTTATTCATGTTTTTAACCTATATGCATGCACATATTCAAAAAAGTATTTTTTCAATAGACAAAATTTAACTTAGATTGAAACATAGAGGTGTTAAATAAAAAACAGTATTGTCAAAATGTTATTCTGCTTGCCAGTGTTCTTATGTGAAAAACATGCAGAAATAGATTTAATGAATGAGAAACACCAACTGAAATTTCTCTTAATTAGTGCAAATATATCTTTGCCTAGGAGCTACCCTAATGCATGGATTTGATCAGCAATGATATCGTCTGTTTAGAGGAAGAAGGGTGTTGCCTAATATACTTGTACACAGAGTTAACGCCCTTCTCGCGCTAAACAGAAGATATGGTATCTATCTCTTTTACCATCAATAATAGTGTTCGAGTTTGCATTGCATTGTACCCGAAGTGTGGATAGATTTCAAATCTTTGGATAGTTTCTTTGCTAAAGAGAATTTAGCTCTGTTTATAAAAGCTTTTCCGTTTGCATATTGTATGCAATGTCTTTATCACATGGGCAGATATTTTCTGGCAAGAGATCCTATCTGTGATGGTATAGGAAGAGCTACAATGGTTGTTTTTTGCTCTTCATTCCTTACTTATTTGTGAAACAGAAAACAAGAATGAGGTCAACAATTTGTGCATGTTGTATTGATGTGAAAGAAAGATGGTTTATATTATGAAATTCATGAAAATGATAGATGGATAAATGTTCCATGTCTGACATTATTGTGAAGAGATCTACCATCTATCCATCAAAGCTATTCACATTTTTGTGAGGCATGAGTCTGAAGGCAAAGGTTTTTCAATGGAAGAATGAAGCGAAAATGATTACAGTGATGAGAATGATGGGGAAATAAAAATTCACCACAGACAGTGCCGTTAGTAAAGAAACTGGTTTTAAAGAACATATCTTACATATTTGGGGACCATTCTTCCATTATGACCTGGTCACTATTTGCTGAATGTTTGAGAAATAGTGTTACTAGTCTCAAAGAGCAAAATGTTTGATTGATTTATCGACTGGGTTATTACTTCTACTACTCAGTTTCTCAGTCTTGAATAAAATGTAAAATGTGACTTCAATTTAATACTATTCCATTGTGATCATAAAGGGAATCACTCTTGGTGGAGTAAACAGTAGAAAATACAATACTCAACATCTATCAAATATATATTGTATCCATAACAATCTAGATTTGAGTTGCCTAAAAACCCTAAAAAAATACCTTGCCCATTCGAAGAATGGAACGGTGTGCCCACATACATGTAGGTGTGAGTAACTAACTATTCCTCTGTGTTATTGAGTGGGGAATTCCCCATATATCATCTGGGGAAAGTCCCCTTTCAAGCCTGGCTTACCGTTGATATCTGATGTTGAGTTTTGTGGTTGGGGTTTTACAGCATAAGTGCTTCATCAAATGTATGCAAAGAAGTCTATGATGAAGTACATGTCCGATGTGTGCATAATTATACATTTGAAATATACTGGACTTTGTCCCAAAAATGTGACATTAGTTTGTTGGTCTGAATCATTTTGTGCTAAACGGTGTCTGGCATTAATTTTGTGATCGTGTATGTGTAATTTTGTGTGTGTGTGTGTGCATGGTTACAGGGGCTAGCAGTCTCGTACTATATTTTTTCAAATATAACAGTAAGTATAACGCTGAGTTGAGAGTGACATTAAAGGGATCGTTTAACAATGTTAAATCTGAGATACACGGTCCTACATGTTACCAGTGTCTATGATATGATGGTATATAAAAAAATCGCGCTTCAAAATGATCAAGAAGTGCCTCAAAAAAGTAAAAATCGTTGAGTGACCGGTTTTACCATACTCGTTTTACCCAATAGACTGTAGTGTTATGAAACCGTTCAGAACGGTTTTCAAAATTTGTAATTCCAATCATTGATATCTTGATAATGAGACAGGCGATCGGCTTGTAAAAGTCATGGAGTTCCTGACTGACCTAAAGGTTTATAATTATCATTGCAGCATGAGCTAAATCCAGGATTATTTCTAAAGGATCTAACACAAATTTATGGTGCAATGTGTGAACCAATCACATTGTTACGTAATCTGGTCCCAAAAAAATCGCAACGATTCAGCCGACTGCTGAATAGCGGGGGGGGGGGGGGGGGGGGGGGGGGGGGGGGGGGGGGGGGGGGGGGGGGGGGGGGGGGGGGGGGGGGGGGGGGGGGGGGGGGGGGGGGGGGGGGGGGGGGGGGGGGGGGGGGGAGGGGGTAAGAGGTCCTTATTTTTTTTCTTTTTGGTCTTGAAATTTGACATTTTGCTCCGTAAGATCAGCTTTTTTAGGTCAGCCATGGGAAAAAGGGGGGGGGGGGTTAGGGGGGTTATGGGGGGGGGGGGGTGGTTTACACACACAAAAATACCAAATGGGGGGTTTAACCCCCCCCCCCCCCCCCTGTGTACGCGCCTGGTAGGTGGTGTTTCTGTTTTAAACGCCCCCCCACTGTCTTGTGGCGTTTAATATGCGACTGATTGGGCTTTCTACATACAAGTATAAATGTTGTCAAAGCAACTTTAAGATACGTTAAAGGTTTACAGCGACAACTAACATGATAATTTATACACATTGAAAATATATTTGCATGATGATTTAAAATTAATAACCTGATGAGTATGAAAATTACTTTAAATGCCTGTATTAGAGATCTTGTCGTCAATTTAACTAACTGTTCATAATAGACCTAGGTCCTATTACCATAGCACAAATATTGTGAAATTTTACAGCATTGACCTCATGCAAGTTCCACTCAAAAGAATGTGTGTCATACAGAGGAATGTGCAGATCGTAAACAAGTAAAGAAAGGGATACAATATACTTTATCAAATTGAAATGTTATCATGAATAGTAGTGTTAATACGATATTTAGCAAGGAAATGTGATTTATCTTCTAAATACAAATCCTATAAGTAGTATGATATGAAACTATTGTGTAGAGAGACAGAAAATGGTAGCACATCCAACTTTGAATATGAAATGAAAAATAAAGGCCTTTACGCTTTCCGCCATTTTAAATTAGGCGTTTATTCAAATACAACAGTATTGTTACATCTTTTGCCTCTTTAGAATATCTGATTGATATCAACAACCTTGTTCACAATGTTGTTAATGCAATTATTGGTTCATTATTATTATTCACATTAATGGTATCCTAATTCTGTTTTTATTAATGATGTGATTGGAAGTTATTATTTCATATTAATTATGAGAAACAAAAGTTTGAGTTTGAGAAATGGAAATGATAAAAATGCTGCAAAAAAGCACAGAATTGTAAGAAACAGCAATTCGATTCCACTGACCCAGAGTATGCCTTTTCCCGGGACAACTAAAGATAAATAGTAAAACATAGCTCAGAATGTTGGGGAGGGGGGGGGGGGGTGTGCAAGTTACGCAACAATATTGAAACCAAGTCCAGACGTTTAAACCCCATTACCGGAACAGCCAGCCAATGTGATTGTCCTAGCCTTTTTTAACGAATGAGGAGCTCAACCTAGAAACATTGCACATTTTTTTGTGTGTGTCCCAAAATTTGTAAAATTTGGCCGATCGGTATTTCGTTTCGTTGGGGGGGGGGGGGGGGGGTGTAAGGTCAGCTTTTTGGGGTCACCCATTACTATAATTGTTTTAATTTTTAACTTTTTATATTTTTTAATTAAAAAACAAAACAAGGTGGGGGGTCCTCCAAACATACACATAAAAAAGTTAAGGGGGGGGGGTTCAGCCCCCCCCCCCCCCCCCTGCGTACGCGCCTCTGTTAAAGACACATATAAGTCAGCTCTCACCGTTCGGGTGTTTACCCAATTACAGGGGTTGTCAATCACTAGGTAGAAAATCTGCATTCCGTTGGTATTACAGTTTACACTGTATGTTTACAAGATTAAGAGTTATAGAAATAGATCAGTGCTACACAAATAATGAATATTCTGCTTGCTCTTTTCTGTAAGGAGTCACTACAACATAGTCTTTACATTTGCCAGGCTTATATATTTGCCATTTCAACTCCCATAGCAATATCTTTTTTTGTTCTCTTTACCTCTTCAGAGGGACTGTATTGCTCCATTTCAAAATACATATATATTATTTACAAAACAAAGTAAAATGATACAAGATCAACATATTTTTTTGAAATGATCATTTTAACTTTTCTAATACTTTCTTAACTTCTTCATTATCGAAGTATCTTATATTTTTTTGTATTTCAAATAACGTTTTAATGATGAAATAAAATTATATATTAACCTCTTTGGATTAGTTGGTACTTCCCCAAAGTTCCGCTTTACGTAGTCTTTGTATATAACCAGTTGAGCATATAATCAATAGCAATATCAATATACACGTATCTGACAGAGGCCTAGAGTTATAGGTGAGAAATAGAAAAATTTACCCACTAAACTGATATTTACAACCCTTCGGACTGCACACTAATTACCGGCAAAGTAAAAGTGAAGTGGGAAAAAGGGTATATTGCTTGGTTTTGTACTATAGTTTTGCTATTTAAGGAATGTAATTTTGAAATACAACAAAACTTCATAAACCTGTGAGATGGTAGTCACAGCCCGTCACCTTCACCCTCTCGTTCACTGTGCTACCTCGTCCCTAGCTCTAGCGTACTGATGGGGGGGGGGGGGGGGGGGGGGGGGGGGGCTTGGGGGGCAGTTGCCCGCCTTAATAAAATTCATACGTTTGTTTCACTTTCTTGTAAATTATACTTTTTATGCGTTTATGGAAAATGACAAATTCCCAAATTTGCTCATCTGACCGTAATGAAAGACCTAAATGCCTTATTGCTAACATTTTGCAGCCTGTGATAACATACAAACTTGACCTATTTTCATTGTATAACATTGTTCGACAATTCCATTTTAAGTAAAGAATTTTGCAAATATTCCAAGCCTTAATTCTCCGGATGTGAGTACTTAATGAACAAATAATTTAGGGAATCTTAAATTGTTCAAAACAGGATCTAAAACTACGTGAAAAATAGAAATACAAGTATTGCAATGTACATAGAATGCGGCATGTACAGTAGTATGCCTCCAATAAAAAAAAACTCATATTGCACAAGTCTTAGCTCTTGCCTCGTTAATAATGATGCCCTTGAGAAATTGTCTTTCTACCAGTACCCCTCTACCTCACTTTGGCAAATCTAGATTGTGCACGTCCAAGACTAATGTATTGCTAAAAGAAGGTATATAGTAATGAACCCCTAAACTTGTGATCCACGGTCCGGAGACTTATCTTATTATCATTATTATTTCTGTGTGCTTATGATAGTTCTCTTCTGTTTAGAAATCCCAAATAGGTCAACAATATGAAGAATTGCATTGGTAATCATGTTTTTTCAATAAAAAGAATTGCCATCCTGTTTCAAAATGTTAAACAATTATGTAACGAAACAAAACCGTTATTTTGCGATAACTTAAAGGTAGTGTATCCCTGTTGCAGCCAACATCAAATTATGTAGAACTTTGAAGGAATTGTGAATATATATGTCACGTATGTCCTATCTGTGAAATTTAAACTAAGCAGTGTCCTGATATTCAAATTATGCAAGGAAACCTGTTTACCTTCTAGAATTCACTGTCAGACACTGACTAACTTCTTCTTTTTTTGGTAATAACATACATAAAAAGATCTGTAAAGGGTACATGAGCATTTGTCTACACCAATAACCCATTTTAATAATGGCCCAAATTAAACTGATTGAATCTTTGCGCAGCACAAAACGTACGACCATTCGGTACAAGGGTCTGAAAATCAGACCATTTAATTAAACGATTGCGATGGCTAAATTCGGTTCAATTCAATTCAACTCGTATTCATTTCATTTCCAACAGAAAGATAAACAAAGGTATCACAGATATCATTACAGAAAGTATAACAAATGTATCTTCATAATTCATTTTTTTATCTTGATAAGTATACAAATACATTTTACGCATAATAAAATTATTACAAGAAAAAATGCTTAATTTCCCACGAAAAGAAATTTGCAAGCCATTGTTTTTTGGGGAAGTTCTAAATTTGTATTATCTCTCAAATGCCGTTGGAATATAACCTTTTCATTTTTTGGGCCTAGTTTCCCAAAAATTCTTGCGTCCAAACGTTTTGAACCATCCTTTTTAATTTTTGTAATTAGTCTGCTCGTCAAGTTTGATGTGATAGCTGTTTGGATTGCCGTCGGCTATCTCCTCAGACTCGTTCTCGAGGTTATTCTCTCTTGGATTGGCAACACTTCCTCCTTGTATATTTCCAATGTGTTGTGGTTCTTCCCCTCTCGGTTGCGGGTCTTCTAAATTATCATATTCTAGTCTCTGACTGCGGTAACATCGACGAAAACAACAACGAACAGCAATCACAGCAAAAACGGCTGCGATGATGACAAGGATTCCGAAGACGGTCATTATTGCAGTACGTGCTGCAGACATGTGGACGCTGAGATTATACACCATTAATTGGTCTCCATCCTCCGTCATACATTCGTAAACACCCTCTTGCTGCAGTTGGGTGTTCCATACCACTAGAGAGTCCCGGTTGGTGAGGAAATAATGATCGTCGCTCTGTCCGGTCTTGTGGAGAGTTACATTACCCGGAACAACCCAGGAGGCATAAGCAATTGGACAGGTAAGAGTAGCCATGCTTCCTGTTGCAACATGGATCTCGGAGTTATTATCCCTGCATTGTGGCAACGGATCTTCGTATGCGGTTACCAAGGTGTGTCCTTTGGACTTCTCGGGTGATTGACATGTACCTGTGCAATGTATACCCTCGATATCCAGCCAAGTGCTTATCCAGTCCAGGCGACAATCGCATTGTAGAGGATTGCTGTGCAGGATCACTGTCACTTCGCGAAACTCTATGCCTTTGATCTGAGGCTCGGGTAGTACTTGGATTTGGTTTCCGTCAAGGTACAGCATTTCTAGTTTGTTTAAATTAAGAAAAGCGCCTTGCTCGATTCGTACGATTGCATTTGAAGCGAGATTAAGAATTCGAAGCTCCGGCATCAGTTCAAAGGTTTGTGGCCCGAGTTGCGCGATGTTGTTCATTGACAGAACCAGCTTTTGTAACATTGACAAGCCTATGAACTTATCCCGCGAAACACCCCAGATAGAATTATTTGCCAAGCTTAGGTTATGGAGCTCAGTGTCGAGGCCTTCAAAACATCCATCCTTGAGAAGGTTAATGTTATTGTTATCTGCATTTATTCCCTCCAGTCGATTCAAGTGCATGAACACACTCTTCTCCAGGACGGCAACAAACATGCCTCTGAAAACCAGTTGTTTGATACCGGCTACCGCTCTGAATCCACCTGGTTTGATATACTCGACCCCCGAGAGGGTCAAAAAGTACAAGTCACTAAAAGAATAGTTAGTAAAAGATCCATTGTCAAGAACAACATGATCTATGAACTCCACCTCCAACCCAAGAACATCCAGGTACTCGTCAGGTATCAATCCGTTTTCCTTGGCACAAGCATTTGCCTTTATCCTCACTGGAATGTGAAAGCGGTCTGGGAACACCGTCGTTCAACCGCAGAGGAATTCTGGTGCAGTTGCACATCGGTGTACACGTAGATGACCACCCGCTCGGTGCGGACAGTGATGACGACGTTGCTGAAGGGATGTCAAGAAACAATTGGCCTACTATGATGCCGTCGTGGCAATCAGTTTCGATGTAATGCTCATCATTCTTGATGTCATGTACCCCTGAGTCGTATCCTGTGAGAAGTAATCTACTCCTTATAAGTCCTTTGATAGGCCTACTTAGAAACAGCGCGACGTCTCATAGAAACCTATTAGTAGGAGATAAAATAGAGTCGTATATACCTTAACAATATCATATTATTGGATCTAGGACGATTACCCCCTAGACAACCACTCCCGAAAAATGATCCGTTGGATAATCACCCACCCCCCCCCCCCCCGAGGACAATTGCCCCAACTTATTTTATTTATTTTATTTTATTTGTTTTGACAGGGTAGCCCTTTCAGTTATAAAAACTGCTCGACCAAGGGGCCTTGTATCAACATAATCAAAAACATTTTTACAAAACATATAAACATACATAAGTTATAATAAACACAAAAATTAAACAAGATAAAATGTTGGAATAAATGGGGGGGGGGGGTAAAATATTCATGTAAGTACTATTTTAAACTATGTGAGAGAAAGGAATTTGCAGTGTTTTTTTAAATGAATCCAGTGAGTTTAATAAACGTAAAGAAGAGGTGATGCATTCCATATAACGGAGCCTTGATAACAGAAAGATCTTTTGAAATACTCGGTTCCGTGTTTTTTAATGAATAGAGGACAGGTAAATGCATACCTGGTATAAACGTTTATCGGTCGATAGGCTTCCCCTTTAATGAACAGGGTAGTTGTCATTGGTTTTCCTTGGGGGGGGGGGGGGTGTAATTGTCCTAGGGGTAATTTTTCCGGGGGGTAGTTTTCCAGGGAGGTGGCAATTTTCCGTGGGGTGATTTTCCAGGGGTAGTTGTTGTCCTGATACGCATATTATTATAATACATGTACCGGATGATACTTCAACGTGGAAGGAAAAGCCGCACAATCTCTATATGATATTCGTTTCATGAGATATGAGCTAGACTGTTGGCTGCAGTTTCAATAAACCAAAACGCGAAGTGGTCATTCGAGAGCTCATTGTATCGAAAGGTGGAACTTTCGCCTCTTCCTGTTTCACACTCACTTAAAATACAATGTATAGTCAACACGTTTTCTTTTTCAGTACGTGTCCAAGTCCAATGAATTTGCGTTTGATACGTCGCCGGACATCTTCATGGGCGCCACGAAAGAAAAGAATTAAAGACATATTTCTTGATCCATTATGAAGCAAAAGATTAATTTCGTGAAAACATTATAATATTAAAAACCTCAATGTATTTTCGTGAAGAAATTACATTACTTACATTGCTTGCTTCGCTCGCTCACAACATGTAGAAAACGGTATGATTTCAGTCAGTGTAGTGCCTGAATTCCCACATAATAATTTGTCAACGAGGCGCCAGAATGTATGACTTTTGTATTCATGTATATAGGGCAGCGAGGTGCCCGCATTCATAATATCATATCTTATCTAGTGGGTTTCGTTTACAAAATAATATTTTAGCATAGTAAAATGACATTGTTTTTTGCTCGCTCGCTCCTCTCGCTCGCAGGCGCGTACACAGGGTGGGGGGGGGGGGGTGTTTGGGGGGTTAAACCCCCCTTTGGTAATTTTTTTGTGTAAACCCCCCCCCCCCCCCTTTTGGATTTTTTTTTACCATGGTTGACCTAAAAAAGCTGACCTTACCCCCCCCCCCCAACGGGCAAAATGTCAAATTTTCAAATTTCGAGACCAAAAAAAAAAAAAAATGTGTCCTCTTACCCCCCCCCCCCCCCCCCCCCCCCCCCCCCCCCCCGCTTATTCAGCGGTCGCTGAGTCGTTGCGATTTTTTGGGACCAAAAAAAAAAAAAAAAGTGACCCCCCCCCCCCTCCCCCCCCCCCCCCCCCCCCCCCCCCCCCCCCCCCCCCCCCCCCCCCGCTTATTCAACGGCTGGCTGAGTCGTTGCGAAATTTTCGGCCCGATTTATCCCCCCCCCCCCCCCCTTGAAAAAATCCTGCGTACGCGCCTGCTCGCTCGTATATTTTAAAACACATATGTATATGCAGGGGCGTAAATCCGTACCGAGGGGTGGGGGGGGGGGTGATCGGCGATAGCCATCACATAATAGCACGAGCACACGCGCGCCCACACTAATTTACGCAAGCGCGCGCGATCGCGCACGCCCAAACACACAACACACACACACACACAAACGAACTCAGTTTCCCCCTCTCGCGCGAAGCGCGGAAGCCTTGACGTTTCCTTTAATTATTAGAGAAAGCAGACGATTGGGTGTACTGTTCTCGACTCTTGATTCTCGTCTGAATTCAGCTTCCCATTCCCGCGCGAAGCGCGAAAAGCTTAGACGTTTGATTTAATTATTATAGAAAGAAGACGATTCGTTGCACCGTTTTCGACTCTTAATAAGCCTTAATTATCTGAATTTAGTTTCCCCCTCTCGCGAAAAGCGCGGAAGCCTTGAAGTTTCATTAAATTATTAGAGAAAGCAGACGATTCGCTGTACCGTTTTCGACTCTTAATAAGCCCTATTTATCTTAATTCAGTTTCCCCCTCTCGCGCGAAGCGCGGAAGCCTCGACGTTTCCTTAAATTATTAGAGAAAGCAGACGATTGGGTGTACTGTTTTCGACTCTTAATTCTCGTCTGAATTTAGTTTCCCCTTCCCGCGCGACGCGCGAAAAGCTTAGACGTTTGATTTAATTATTATATATAGAGAGAAGACGATTCGTTGCACCGTTTTCGACTCTTAATAAGCCCTATTTATCTTAATTCAGTTCCCCCCTCTCGCGCGAAGCGCGGAAGCCTAGACGTTTCCTTAAGTTATTAGAGAAAGCAGACGATTGGGTGTACTATTCTCGACTCTTAATTCTCGTCTGAATTCAGTTTCCCCTTCCCGCGCGAAAAGCTTAGACGTTTGATTTAATTATTATAGAAAGAAGACGATTCGTTGCACCGTTTTCGACTCTTAATCCCTATTTATCTGAATTCAGTTTCCCCCTCTCGCGCGAAGCGCGGAAGCCTTGACGTTTCCTTTAATTATTAGAGAAAGCAGACGATTGGGTGTACTGTTCTCGACTCTTAATTCTCGTCTGAATTCAGTTTCCCCTTCCCGCGCGAAAAGCTTAGACGTTTGATTTAATTATTATAGAAAGAAGACGATTCGTTGCACCGTTTTCGACTCTTAATCCCTATTTGTCTGAATTCAGTTTCCCCCTTTCGCGCGAAGCGCGGAAGCCTTGACGTTTCCTTTAATTATTAGAGAAAGCAGACGATTGGGTGTACTGTTCTCGACTCTTAATTCTCGTCCGAATTCATTTTTCCCTTCCCGCGCGAAGCCCGAAAAGCTTAGACGTTTGATTTAAATATTATAGACAGAAGACGATTCGTTGCACCATTTTCGACTCTTATTAAGCCCTATTATCTGAATTCAATTCAATTCATTCAATATAAACAACAAATAAATGTATTCATAGACCTACACAAACAGCACATGTATTGCAGCCCTTGAATATCATCCCCTCGTCCCTTAAGTTTTAGGTGTGAACAAATGACAACCATCGAGTAGGACTTGGGCAATGCAACAGTTACCGCATTATTTATCACTCTCAATCAGATGCGTTCACAGTTTTCACACCTCTTAAAAAATGTTTCTGGAAAAAATATAATGATACATGTACTGTGTTTATTATTTAAATCTAATGAATTCTTTAATTTCCTCAGCCAAATCCTTTCTCAAATATAAAAATAAAAAGAATGTGTACAGGCTTACCTTGAAATAACTGAAGAGACAAACGGCCACTGTAAGTCTTGAACACGCCAGGTCTGGAACTTCAGTCTTCATCTACCCCCCCCCCCCCCCCACACACACACACACACACTCCGGGGTCGGAGGGACCGCATGCGCGTTCCTAAAATCTCCAGGAAAGGGGTATTTTTTCGCGCGACAAAATCCGGCCCGAGAATTGTAAAAAAAAGGGGGTGTATTTGACTTTTCACCCGGAGATTTCTTTAAAAAGTGGGTGGGTTTTTTTCTCTCTCTCTTTGGACTCCTGAGAAATGTAAAAAGGGGGTTATAAAATATCTTGAATATCATAGAAAAATTGATCGAATCCCGGGATCAAATTCCTGAAACTCCTGCTAGCTTTGAAAGCTCATTCAGGATTATTTCATTTTGAAAAGTAAAAACATTGGCCCCAGCCCCCCAGTCCCCCTCGGGGGATTGGGGGGGGGGGGGGTGGTGGTACATTTAGCAGTGTTCCGGATATTTTTTTTTTTTGGGGGGGGGGGGGGGGTCTCCAAGGCAGGAAATTCCAGCGAAAAGCCGGCTAAAGAGGGATTCAGAAATGTTGGCAGTCCTGAGATAGGGGTGGGGTGCTTTCAAGGGGAGGGAACGAGCATACTCGTACCCTAAATAACACTGAGTGGGGGGGGGGGGGGGGGAGCCGGGCAGCGATATTTTTTTCTGCGGCACAGATTGGGGCATGACCTATGGGAAGTACGTTCTTTCCCTTCTGAATAGTGTCTGCACGTACGTGAGACTAGTAGCGCATAGCGCTGCGAAGAAGTTTGAATATCCATCGCGAGCTATGTGTTTAGATAAATATCTCCATGGTTTAAGCAAGAAGTTACTAGTAACTTCTTGGTTTAAGTTAGTTAAGTTTTATTTACTAATTATTGTGATGTTCTCCTTATACCGGAGTGTTGGCTCAGTCAGTAGAGCGTCCGCCTCACAACCGGGAGGTCGTGGGTTCCTACCCCGACCGCGTCATACCAAAAGACGTTAAAAGATGGGAGTTGTTGCTACCTTGTTTGGCGTTCAACACTAAGGGATAGAGCAACGTCGATCTGGCGCTGCTCAGTGGCTGCCGGGCTCACGATCAATTGGGCAAAAAGAATTTCCGTTTCTGTTTAATAAAATTTGGAGTGGACTATTAGGCTATTATTATTATTATTATTATTATTATTATTATTATTATTATTATTATTGACGTGCTGCCTCCTCTTCAGATTTCCAATTTCATTTTAATTGTTGATGTAATGATTTTTCATACGGTAGTGGATTACATGCCGGGATTACACGTAACACTATTGAAAAACAGACCTCTACTACTAGTACGCACACGACCACTATTAGTCTGTAAATCAAGACCCCTTTTGAAAAAAAGCCCCAATCTGTGCCGCAGAAAAAAATAACGCCTCCGGCGATCTACTGTACGGCGCACTTTACGTCTAGGCTATAATAATACCTTGCAAAATAACGAAAAATTATTCTGAAGTTTATGAAGTGCTTGTTCGCGCACGTCGCGCAACTACTCTTAATGAACGTGACATACTGTATACGTGTAGGCTATACAGTTATACATAAATTAAAAAAAAAAACTCATTTCTCATGCATTATGCTGAAAGTGAAACCATCACATTTTTTTTTCTTCTTCTTCTTCCTTTTTTTTTTCTCTCTTTTTTTTTGAAATCTCAGGGGGGATGATTGTACAGGCCATCCCCCTACTTCAAGTCAGGGGGGATGCAGCCCCCCCCCCATCCCCCCGGGATTTACGCCCCTGTGTATACGGCACTTGATGTGTTACAGAGTGATATGAAATGAATGGTCTGTAATGAATTTGGGATCAGGGTGCAGCGGAATGTCTAGTTCTCTAAAGAATGCCGTGCCGTGGCAATAAAAAGGTTGACATTCTGCATGCATTTGCAACGATCATTAGCCTACTTACCGTGCAAAGTCGAGTACAATTCTCCAAATTCGGTTAGGCCTACTTGTAAATTTTGTTCACGGATATCTATCCCCTCACTTGTAGAGTGAATTAAAAACAGGCATTGCTGCATTCCGGCAAAGTCATTCAAATATCTTGCATTCGAGAACTCTCTTCAGCGATGTATATATTATGATGGTTACACTCGCTCTAACGTTGAGGCATTGCTTACGTGCACTTGGTCGACATTGGAAATGAGACGGAAAAAAGGGGAATTCCCTGTAAGTTCTTTACATGGATGCTTAATCACATTCGTGTCATCCACCACCCGTGTTTACTTCTACGCATTTACAGTTCATTGTATGAACCATCGATACACATTTACATAAAACAATCACATGCCTTTGATTACATTGGCCCTTATTCTAATAATATGAAACCCGACATTGGCCATCATTGGTTTAAAGTCTAGTTTTGAACAATAGAAGTTTGATCGAGGTACAAATTTCCCTTAGACCCACTTTCGGGTTCAACTGATTGAGCTGAATTATTATATCATAAGTGTGTGTGGGGGGGGGGGGGGGATACAGCCCTTTATGAGCAGCACATTCGTGTTTATATTTTCAACACGCTAGGATATGTATACATATCACAAAGCCACGGTGATGATACTGCTCCCAGTGCACGGGTGGAGTCAGGGGTGTAGAGGGGCACAACTAACCCGTGCCGCCCCCCCCCCCCCAAACAAAACAAAATGCAACCCGATTAAAATTTATTTTTGTGCCCCTTTCACAAGCTAGACCGTAAATGCTCATAGAAATGTGACTAACTTATTGTTCTGCGTTAACAATAGTCAAGTTTTACCAAATCCCCCTCCCCCACCCCACCCTTCGCCTACCCTGCATTTACATACATGTATGTACGTTTATGATATAATAACTCAACTCATTCAGTTGAACCCGAAGCTGGGTCTAATAGGAAAATTTGTTCCTCGATCAAACTTCTTTTCTTCAACTCGACTTAAAACCATTTATATGATGGCCAATGTCGGGTTTCATATTATTAGAATAAGCAAGTAGTATCTCTTTGGAATAAGGGTCAACGTAATCAAAGCACGTATAATTGTATTAATGTAAATGTGTATGTTTGGTTCATACAAGGAACTGTAAGTACGCGGAAATGAACAAGACTGCACGTCGATGAAAATAACGATTGTGAATGAGCATACTCAAGGAACTACAGGGGAATCCCCACTTTCTTTCATCTCCTCTTGAACTTCGACCTGACGTGAGCAACGTCACAAATTGAGAGCGAGTGCAACCATTATACTATCCATTCATCGCTGAAGAGAGTTCTCGATAATGCAAGATATTTGAATGATTTTGCCAGAACGCAACAATGCCTGTTCGTACAAGTGAGGAGATTATATATCAGTGAAGAAAAATTTGAGAGTACAAGACAGTAACCGACTTCGGATAATATTGTACTCGACTTTGCACGGTAAGTAGTGAGCGCGGCAAGTCACGGCATGCAACATTGAAGTCGCAATAAAATAAATTACTAATTAAATAGAATTAACGAAATACATTTAGAGCCATGTCATGGTTGTAACAAGTCTGACCTCGAGATTGTTTCGCGGGTTTTACATTTAATTTAGGTTTATACATGTAGGGTTAGGATAAGGCAGTGATTTTCAATCTTTTTGTAGCCACGGCACCCTTTAGAGAAATAAGAAGTTTCGCGGCACCCTAATCCCAAATTCATAGAAGATCCAATTTCTATCACTCTGGTACACATCAAGTACCAAATACACACGTCATTTTTACAATGTAATTTTTACTATGGTAAAATATTATTTTGTAATCGAACCCAATAGATAAGATATGATATTATGTATGCGGGCACGAATGTAAGAATATTCGGGCATCTCGTTGCCCAGAATCATCCTGTTTCTGAAATGTTCTGAGCGAGTGAAGCGAAAAAAAAATATAATATCGATATAAAAATAAAAGATCTATGCTGGCACCTTGCTGTCCAAATGTGACGATATTCGAGCACCTTGCTGTCAAAAGAGATATTCTGGCACCTCCTTGACTAATTATGTGGGTAACTTCACTGACTGAAATCATCCTGTTTTCAAAATGTTGCAAGCCAGCGAGGAAAAAAACAACTTAATCGTTTTGTTAATGTTATTTTTTCAGAGAAATACAAAGATGTTTCTAATATTTTGTTTCCACGAAATAGACCATTATTTCAAAATGGATCAAGAAATATGTCTTTAATTTGTGTTCCTCTCGGGGCACCTCTAGAGATGTCCTGCGACACACCGGTTGAAAAACGCTGAGACATGATAGTGTTGGGTCCAGGTTTGTAGTTACGAATTCGGTTAATGCTGGAATATACAACGGAACAATTGTTGAAAGAGCATTTGTGATTTAGATATCAGAAATATACGTATTATAAACTATGTAAATGTACAAGGAAGTGGGAAGTTTCGGTTCGAGGGACTTGTCGTGTTTCTTCACCCAAATCAAGTGGACGCGTATCAAATGCAAATTCATTGGACTTGGACACTGCACAGAAAAACACATTGACTTTACATTGTATTAAGTGCATCACATGAGAAAAATGTATAGTATATTAAAATATGGTGTAAAACAGAAAGAGGCAATTAATATACTTGAATTCTGCCTTTCGATACTATGAGCTAGACGAAGTCGCTCTCTTCGTGGTTTGTTATTAATTGGTTCTGCAATCAACACTTACTAGCTCATATTTCATTGAAACGAATAACATAGAGATTGTGGCGGCTTTTGCTTCCGCGTTGCAGTTTCACCCAGTATTATAACAAGATGCATATCAGGTCAATTATTAATTGTCCTAGAACCAGTAACATAATATTGATAAGGCATATAGTAACGAATCTATTTTATCTCTTATACTGGTAGGTTTCTGTGGGACGTCGCGCTACTTCTAAGTATTCAAGGAATTGTAAAGTGGATTACTTCTGACAAGATACGACCCAGAGGTACATGACATCAAGAATGGTGAGCATTACATCGAAACTGATTGCCACGACGGCATTCATAGTAGGCCTGTTGTTTCTTGACATCACTTCATCAACGTCGCCATCACTGTCCGCACCGAGCGGGTGGTCATCTACGTGTACACCGATGTGCAACTGCACCAGAATTCCTCTGCGGTTGAACGTCGGTGTTCCCAGACCGCTTTCACATTCCAGTGAGGATAAAGGCAAATGCTTGTGCCAAGGAAACGGATTGATACCTGACGAGTACCTGGATGTTTTTGTGTTGGAGGTGGAGTTCATAGATCATGTTGTTCTTGACAATGGATCTTTTACCAACTATTCTTTCATTGACTTGTACTTTTTGACCCTCTCGGGGGTCGAGTATATCAAACCAGGTGGATTCAGAGCGGTAGCCGGTATCAAACAACTGGTCTTCAGAGGCATGTTTGTTGCAGTCCTGGAAAGGAGTGTGTTCATGTACTTGGAGCGACTGGGGGGAATCCATGCAGAAAACAATAACATTAACGTTCTCAAGGATGGGTGTTTTGAAGGCCTTGACTCGGAGCTCCGGAACCTAAGCTTGGCTAATAATCATATCTTGGGTGTTTCCAGGGATAACTTCATAGGCTTGTCAATGTTACAAAGGCTGGATCTGTCAAAGAACAACATCGCTCAACTCGGGCCACAAACCTTTGGACTGATGCCGGAGCTTCGCGTTCTTAAACTCTCCACAAATGCAATCGTACGAATCGAGCAAGGTGCTTTTCTTAATCTGAACAAACTAGAAATGCTGTACCTTGACGGAAACCAAATTCAGGTACTACCCGAGCCTCAGATAAAAGGCATAGAGTTCCGCGAAGTGACAGTGATCCTGCACAACAACCCCCTCCAATGCGATTGTCGTATGGACTGGATAAGCACTTGGCTCGATATCGAGGGTATACACTGCACAGGTACCTGTCAATCACCCGAAAACTTCAAAGGCCACACCTTGGTAACCGCGTACAGAGACCTATTGCCACAATGCAGAGATAATAACTCCGAGATCCATGTTGCAACAGGAAGCATGGCTACTCTTACCTGTCCAATTGCTTATGCCTCCTGGGTTGTTCCGGGTAATGTAACTCTCCAGAAGACCGGACAGAGCGACGATCATTATTTCCTCACCAACCGGGACTCTCTAGTGGTATGGAACACCCAACTGCAGCAAGAGGGTGTTTACACGTGTATGACGGAGGAAGGAGACCAATTAATGGTGTACAATCTCAGCGTCCACAAGTCCGCAAGACGTATTGCAATAATAACCGTCTTCGGAATCCTTGTCACCATCGCTGTGTTAGCTGTTTGTTATTGCTGTCGTCGATGTCACCGCAGTCAGAGACGAGGGTATCGGAATTTGGAAGACCCGCAACGGAGAGGGGTGGAACATAGAAATCACATCGACATTGGAAATGTTCAAAGAGGCCCGCAAGGAGAAGGTCTTGACAATCAGAGAATCAACATCAACCTAGACGTCTATGACATCAAAACTGAAGAGCAGATTAATAAAGTGATTAATGAAGGATTGTTCTAAACGATTGTACATTTGGGGGAAAGTGCCGCCAGTAATGTCATCGCAAAATAACGGTTTTGTTTCGTTATACAGTTGTTTAACATTTTGAAACAGGATGGCAATTCTTTTTATGAAAAATATGATTACCAATGCAATAGGAAGGAAGACATCTTCTCGAGGGCACCATTATCAAAGAGGCAAAAGCTAGGGCAATATGATTTTGTTTTGTATTGGAGACATACTACAAGATGCATTCTAGATCGATCTATGTACATTGCAATACTTGTATTTCTATTTTTTTTTCTCGTAGTTCGTAGTTATCAGTTTTTAGATCATGTTTTTAACAATGTTAAGATTCCCTATTATGTCTTCCTTGAGTATTCACATTCGGGAAAGTAAGTCTTGGAATATTTGCCAAATTCTTTGTTTTAAATGGAATTGACGAACAATGCTTTATAATGAAAATAAGTCCAGTTTATATGTTATCAAAGGCTGCAAAATGTAAGCAATAAAGCATTTAGTTATGATAGTCGCTTCTCGAAGGTTGCATCTGTTCTCATTTACATCATAGTTTATATGTTATCTCATGCTGCAAAATGTAAGCATTAAGCATTTAGTTATGATAGTCGCTTCTCGAAGGTTGCATCTGTTCTATTTAAATCATAGTGTGATATGATCTTGTGTGATCCATAGGTAAATAAGATGCTTTCGATTACTCAATATAATTAAATCATATTTCATGTAGACCTAAAGAGCAAATTATGACCACACTTGCTATATATTATATTAATGATTCATTTTACGACTTTTTAAAAAAACATAACACGTTATGTTTACGCGATCTACAGGATATAAAACCCTGGGTATGATATAACAATTCATGATATATAATCAGTAGGTGCAATGTTGAACCAAGTAACTTCTTGGTTGAACAAATACGGTGCATACATATTGTGATTTTGAATAAATTTCAATGTATATGTACATAAATGACACTACTGCACCTGTGATTCCCAAATCAAGTTAATACACATTAAAAAAAAAGAAAACAAAATGAAGATCCATCCATTTTGTTCCACAAAGTTAGCTTCGTCTTTTTCATGTGTTGTTTACATTGTAGCTTTGGTACTTCTTTTCATAAAGCATAGTATGAATAACCAATATTATATTTGTTATTATATCATGCATCAAAAATGTATTGGTTTTTGATGGGTTGAGAGCTCGTCACGTGACCAAAAATATTTCAACTATTTGAAGGATGCTCTGAAAAAGTACTATTTGGGAGTTGGAATTTTTTTTTTTCCTTTTTTCAAATCTTAATTTAATGAAAACAAAATATTTCATATTTTTTGGGGATAAAAATTAAGATTTTTTGTAATTCCAAAAAAAAGAGGTACTGGTTAAACTATGGACCTCGGTGACTCCAAAAGTATCATTTGCTTCGGGGCTGCGAAGTACTATTGGAGTCACCTCTTGCGCATAGTTTTAACCAGAACCTCTCAAGACAGTGTATATTCGTATATACTAGTATCATTATTATTAGCATCATTATAATTGTTGTTGTTATTTTTTTCAAATTGTCATTATAATCATAATTATCATTATTATTTTATCATTAGTATTATTGTTATATCTATTATCTACAAAATTAACATCATCATAATCATCATATGCCTACATGCACTGTACATCGCAATAAATAAAATAGCCTAACAAAACGGACATCATGTTGTTCATTAAAGTTTCGACTTGCGTTTCACGATTTTATTGTTTGTATAACATTACGCAAATGTATTACGAAAACATTTTGAGTAGTTATCACCACAAACCAAAATTCCGTTTATGTAGCCGGCCGGTTGTTGCAGAATTGTTTACTTGTTTTTTCTTCTGTTCGTTTCGTTATTGTTTTTTTTTAATGCCCCTTTTTTCCCATCTTATGACTTTTTCTTTTTTTGTTGTTTTTTTCTCTATTTCTTTCTTCTATTGTTTCATAGAATATGTTCTTAACTTTAAATCACGATCGCAGCTACTTTCGAAAAATTAACTCAAAGATTTTTCAATCTTCTTTTCATTTCTTTTTTGTTTGTTTTAAACGGCATTTTCTTTTTCTTAAAAGCACATGCCATTATCTATTGAAATGCAAAAACATTACAATGATGATTCACGTAATCCGAAAATTGTTCCAATAGGATATACAATGGGGCATCGAACCGGGTGCCCTTGAGTTGATATTTCGAAAGTAGCTGCGTTGGCAAAATCTAAAATATGATAACCAATAGGCCTGTTTTTCTATTTAGTATTTATTTTACTTCTTAGAAAAGTGTCAGCTAAAGTGTGGGTGTATTCGGTCTGACACCTCACCTTTAGATTTGAACTGTTCTAGCGACCCCCTGCATCAACGTACAACTGTACGTCGACTGGACTAGGAATTATTACGGTCAACGTCCCCAGGAACTTTGACCCATCCTTTTTTGGACCGTCCGTCATATATTAGACCTCGTCGAGAATCTGGACGGTATTATATTTTTATTTCGCGATCTCTCCTGTCCCCTACCTGCTGCAAGCCGAAGATGGCGTGATCCAGGAATCCGTACACATCGATGGTACGCCCAGTTCTTTCTCGCCGGGCGTAGAATTTCGGGGATCACGGAAAATCTTCGGCTTGCAGCAAATAGAGAAAGATAGCGTCAAGTTTGTTGAGATTGTGACAAAAACAAAAACTCAAACACAAATTGGCCAGTTTGTCGACTAGACCCGCTGCCTGATGCAGGGGCGGATCCAGCCGGCGACAGGAGGGGGGGGGGGGGGCCCAAATCTTGAAGAATTTTTTTTTTAGCACCGACTCAGCCGGCCGGGCCGGTGAATAAGCTGGGGGGGGGGGGGGGGGGGGGTAAGAGCACACTTTTTTTGAGGAAATATTTAGCGCCGACTCAGCCGGTCGGTGAATAAGCGGGGGGGGGGGGGGGGGGGGGGGTGTGTTGATTCGAGAGGAGAACCACTCATTTTTGTTGAGGGGGTGAAAAATTATATATATATACCGTGTGTCTCAAAAAAAACGTAACACTTTTGAAATGGTTGCCAAATTGAGCATATATAATTTTATGAAAAAATGTCTATATGTATGGAAAGCTAAAGGACCAACCTTTCATATGATATGAAAAAATTTAAAAAAAAATCATGCTTCGATGGACAGTGTTCACTTAAGTTAGAGGTATGAAAATGGGCCTGCGCAGGATTTTTCCTTCCAATTTTGGACAGGTAAATTACTTGTAACTTACAAAATAAGGTCGATATGAGATATTCATGATCGATGGATCAAAAGGATATTTTGAATCAAAAGGATATTTTGAATACCTCGAATACCATTCCTTTTTCAGTGTTATTTATCAATCCCGAAACACCACCGCCCACCCCCCCCCCACACACACACACACACACACACACTTCCACCCACTCCCATCTCATTGTATCATTGATCTGGTAGATGTGAACGGGATTAAGGAAGAATGGGAATTGGCTAAATTGAAATATTCCAAATCATAATTGACATTACGCAACCCACTGTCCTCCCCCTCCCACACACACACACACACACACACACACACACACACACACACACAACCTTCTTCCCATCCTCTCACCTACTCCTTGCTTTTTTATCAGTTTTCTTCCGAAAGTTTGGTGGATCATTTTTTCCATTAATAATCAAATTAACCAGTCACTCATTTTGATCATTGAAATCAATCGATAAATCACTGAAACATTAATTCCATCAAGCAATTGCTCAAACCAATTATCACACGCACACAAACCACACACACACGCACGTACACACACACACATATACGCGCACACACATACACACACGTGCACACACACACACACACACATTAGGGCAGACATGACAAAAAACAAGTTAAATCTTTTTTTAAAAGATTTTCATGTTTCTTTTATTTCTTTCTTATTTAAAACTGCTTTGTTCATCTTAAAATGAAAGATCTGACAAAAGTAATCAGTTCAGTAGTCCACATGGCTATCTTTTCTTCTTGATTGAATATCAAGGCTTTCAAAGTACCGACTGAGTAAGGGTACCGGTAAAGATAAAAGTCTTTCACATTAATGATCGACGTGTCCACCTTCTCTCTCGATACACGATCTTGCCCGTTTCAGCATGTCCAGAACAGCTCTCCTGACTGTGGCTCTGTCTTGACGAAGGACATCAATCTCATGGGTGATTCTCTCCTTGATATCATCCAGCGTGTCGGGAGGTGTGGTGTAGACCTTGGCCTTGAGCCATCCCCACAAGAAGAAGTCGAGAGGCGTCATGTCAGGTGAACGTGGAGGCCATTCAACTTCGCGGTTGAGGGATATCACTCGATCACCGAAGAGCTGGGTGAGGCGCTCTGTGACATCCCTGGAGCGATGGCAAGGTGCCCCATCTTGCGCCCACCATACGCGTTGAAACCGTCCATTCCTGCCACGGCGATACCTTGCAACTCTATCGAGGGCAGGGACAACATGTCCATCTATCATCTGGAGATAGGCTTCACCGTTGACATTGTTGTCAAAGAAGATGGGCCCAATGATGTCCCCTCTGCCAGTGAGACCGGCCCACACCGTCACCTTGGACCGGTTGTACTTCCTTTGGTAGTCGAACTCTTCTGGAGGATGCCCTTTATCCCGGTATGCCACAAGATTGTGCGTGTTGACCTGGGCATTGAGAGCGAAACCGGACTCGTCCCCTATCAACAAGTCATCTAAGAATCGCGCCGGCCTTCGGAGTAGCCACTCACAAAATCTTGTGCGACGCTGACGATCTCCTGGGAGAAGCTCGTGTCTCTTGATCATCTGGTAAGGGTGGTAGTGAAGATCAAGTAGCGTGATCCTGTTGAAGGTGGCGTGGGGTAGATCTGTAGGGTTTCGCCGACAGCTGATGTCTCCATCCTGATGATCCTGAATGGCTTGACGAACCACTTCAATATTCTCTGCCGATCGTCCAGTCCTGAGGCGTCCTGATCTTCCTCGGTTCAGATTATGGCTCGTCCCCGTTCCCTCGTACTTGGCGACATTGCGGTACACGGTAAGACGCGAAGGGCAGCGTACATCCGGGTAGACTTGTCTGAACCTCTGACAGACTGCTGTAACATTGTTAGTTCGATGATACTCAGTTACCATGAAAGCACGCTGCTGATTTGTGAATTGGGGTCGTTCCATACTGACAACATGGCATAAGATGGACTGTTTGAAGGCTATGTAACAACTTAATGCAGTTATTTTTACTCTTAAACCTGTAATGTGTAATACCATGTTTTTGCCTCTTTGTTTTAGTATTAAACAGTGATTTTGGATAAAGAGGATTATGTAACAGTTTCTGGCTACTCAGTGTTCAGGCCAATGAAGAATAACAATGCAATGTCATACGGTATTCCATGGACAGGTGATAACAAGTTCAAATGTGGGGAAAGAGAAGGGGTCTGGTATTTTCAATGCATAATGAATGATGTACTTAGCTATTACATGTTTGGGTCATTCATAAAACCTGAATAAAATGTGATTGATGATCCACCAAACTTACGGAAGAAAACTGATAAAGAAAAGGCAAGGGGTAGGTGATGGGATGGGAAAAGGTTGTGGGGGGGAGGAGAGTGGGTTGCATAATGTCAATTATGATTTTGAATACGGTATTTCAATTTAACATTTTCCCATTCTTCCTTAATCCCGTTCACATCTACCAGATCAATGATACAATGAGATGGGAGTGGGTGGAAGTGTGTGTGTGTGTGTGTGTGTGTGTGGGGGGGGGGGGTGGGCGGTGGTGTTTCGGGATTGATAAATAACACTGAAAAAGGAATGGTATTCGAGGTATTCAAAATATCCTTTTGATTCAAAATATCCTTTTGATCCATCGATCATGAATATCTCATATCGACCTTATTTTGTAAGTTACAAGTAATTTACCTGTCCAAAATTGGAAGGAAAAATCCTGCGCAGGCCCATTTTCATACCTCTAACTTAAGTGAACACTGTCCATCGAAGCATGATTTTTTTTTTAATTTTTTCATATCATATGAAAGGTTGGTCCTTTAGCTTTCCATACATATCAACATTTTTTCATAAAATTATATATGCTCAATTTGGCAACCATTTCAAAAGTGTTACGTTTTTTTTGAGACACACGGTATATATATATTTTTTTTTTTGGGGGGGGGAGCCCGCTTTTGATTTTTGTTTTAAAAAAGGTTACATTTACGTTATTATCCTATTTTTTTACCGTTTTGGGGGCTGGGGGGGGGGGGCGGGGCCGGAGAAATCGCTACGTGGATCCGCGCCTGCCCTGATGCCCTCTCCGCCTTGAGTCCTTGTTGCTATGGTCACCATCTCGCTGATGTAGAGGTTTCAGCAAAATTCCTTTGTTTTCTAGACCATGTGAAGAAATCCCACCAAATCGGTGACATCAAACTGCAGAGACATAAATATATAGATCAGATGACGAGTCAACCCGGCCCCCCCCCCCCCCACTCCGGGGTTGGAATGACCGCATGCGTGTTACCAAAATTTCCGGTAAAGGGGCATTTGCGTGCGACAAAGTCCGGCCCGAGAATTGTAAGAAAAGGGGGTGTATTTGACTTTCACCCGGAGATTTCTTTAAAAAGGGGGTGTTTTTTCCTTTTTTTCTCTCATCTCTTTGGACTCCTGAGAAATTATTCCGAATTTATGGGGGGTAAATTTAGTATTTTTCCGAATTTAGGGGGGTACATTGAGCATTTTTCCGAATTTAAGGGGGTCTCCAAGGCAGGAAAATCCCGCGAAAAGCCCGCGAAAGGGGGGTTCGGAAATGTTGGCAGTCCTCAGATAGGGGGTGCTTTCAAAAAGAGGGAACAAGCATAATTATGCGTACCCTAAATAACACTGAGTGGGGGGGGGGGGGGGACGGGCGAGTCAACCACGAAGCACGGATCCAGTTTTTAAGGAGGGGAGCACTACCTTGTGTCCTGCTTTGTAGAGGTGTCGTGGTCGAGTGGATATGTCACCGGACTGTGGATCACAATTAAGGTCCGCTGTTCGAGTCCCGCCGCGGCACTAATTGATTGATTGATTGATGCAAAACATAATACAAAAATAATTATATCACAACAAATATGTAATGAAACGATAAATATAGTGGAAATAGCACGAGAAAAGAGGAACTAACTTGAAGCAGGGCTTGTTGAAGTGTTAGTTCCTCAGATGCAAATTTTACAATAAAACATGAATAAAGTATGCTTATAGATGTAGCTAGGAAGAAGGAAAAAAAGAAGAAAAAAATGAGGAAGAAAAAGAAAAGAAAAGAAAAAAAATGAATGAAGGAAAATAGTAGAAGACAAAAAGCAAAAGCTCTAGAAAAGGGAGATTGAGAAAGAGATTGAGTTGAGAGTCAAACAAACCGAGATTCTATCATGTACATCTATATTTGTCTAAAAGTTTAGTCTTTAACTTTTTTTAAAAAATGCATAGACTAATACTTTGTTTAAGAGATGGATCTATGTTATTCCAATATACTGGACCGGTGTAAATAATTGTCTTTTGTGCGAAAGCTGTTCTCATTCGAGGAGTGTGGAAGTGATTCGACTGTCTTGTGGGGTATGAATGTATCTCGTTATTTTAATGTCCTTTAATTGGGAAGACATCAATCTACATTTGTCACACTCGACCCAGGTGATGTAAATGGGTACATGGTAGGATTATCCTTAGTTAGTGAGAGTTCCTTTTGTTAAACATGATTGTAGGTGGGGTTTATCAGAACAAGTTGAATACGGACCAGTGAGGTTATAAAAGCAAGGTTTCACTAGCATAGTGACATTTTTTCGATTTAGGGGTATGAATCTCAAGAATCACAGGTGTTGGAATAATTATTTACTTCCAAGAAAAGTAGAGCAATACGCGAATTCACACACTCACCATTACAATTATCATTACCAGGGGGGGGGGGGGGGGGGTTCACAAAGATCGTAAGTTGAACTTATCTCTAAGTTGGACTTAATAATTATGGAAACCCGTTGGCATCTATGAAAATATTTTGTAAAAGTTATTTTAAAAGGCATAAAATGTTGATTCAACTCATTCATATTTTCTATTATCAAGGAGATTTCATGTTCTAGACGTAGAATTTATAAAAAACTCTAAAATATTTGAATTTTTGTTTTTGAATATATTTTATTTTAAGGCTACAAATGGCTCTCCATAATGTTTAAGTCTAACTTAGAGTTAAGTTCGACTTAGGATCTTTGTGAAACACCCCCAGGTCCATGAACATCTTTTGGTTCAAGGCAGTTTTGTTCAATGAATTACATATGAGAAGAGATCATATTGGTCTTTGGATGAATCCAAGCTATCTAAGACTTTGGTTTATTTGATAATTGTATTGAATTAACTCTCATTTGCTATAAAAAAAAAAAAATCTTCCGCTGCCACATGATATATCTTATCCAAAGGCTTCAAGATTATTTAAGTGTTTCCGTTACAAGATTAATCTATACTATTGTTAAAAGGCTCTCATGGAGCTTTTAGGCCAAATAACAAAAATTAAGTCTTTCTCGTCCCCGCCCGCCTCCTCTTTGGCCGCCGTTTCCTTTTATGTTAGGCCTACTATTTACTATTCAGAAGAAGAAAAGCCCCCCCCCCCCCACAAAAAAAAAATAGCCTGTGATATACATTTTTTTTTAAATAGCTTCTTAAGTGATATACAAATCATTTGTGTTGTCATACATAATTCCTTTGCGGTCGAACGACGGTGTTCCCAGACCGCTTTCACATTCCATTGGGGATAAAGGCAATTGCTTGTGTCAAGGAAACGGATTGATACCTGACGAGTACCTGGATGTTCTTGTGTTGGAGGTGGAGTTCATAGATCAGGTTGTTCTTGACAATGGATCTTTTACCAACTCTTCTTTCAGTGACTTGTACTTTTTGACCATCTCTGGAGTCGAGTATATCAAACCAGGTGGATTCAGAGCTGTGGCCGGGATCAGACAACTTATCTTCAGTGGCATGTTGGTTGCCGTCCTGGAAAAGAGTGTGTTTATGTACTTGAATCGACTGGAGGGAATAAATGCAGATAACAATAACATTAACGTTCTCAAGGATGGATGTTTTGGAGGCCTCGACACTGAGCTCCATAACCTAAGCTTGGCAAATAATTCTATCTGGGGTGTTTCGCGGGATAACTTCATAGGCTTGTCAATGTTACAAAAGCTGGTTCTGTCAAAGAACAACATCGCTCAACTCGGGCCACAAACCTTTGAACTGATGCCGGAGCTTTTAATTCTTAATCTTGCTTCAAATGCAATCGTACGAATCGAGCAAGGCGCTTTTCTTAATCTGAACAACCTAGAAATGCTGTACCTTGACGGAAACCAAATTCAAGTACTACCCGAGCCTCAGATCGGCATAGCCATAGGGTTTCGTGAAGTGACAGTGATCCTGCACAGCAATCCTCTACAATGCGATTGTCGTATGGACTGGATAAGCACTTGGCAGGATATCGTGGGTAAACATTGCTCGGGTACATGTCAATTACCCGAGAAGTTCAAAGGACACACCTTGGTAACCGCGTACAGAGACCCATTGCCACAATGCAGAGATAATAACTCCGAGATCCATGTTGCAACAGGAAGCATGGCTACTCTTACCTGTCCAATTGCATATGCCTCCTGGGTTGTTCCGGGTAATGTAACTCTCCAGAAGACCGGTCAGAGCGACGATCATTATTTCCTCACCAACCGTGACTCTCTAGTGGTATGGAACACCCAACTGCAGCAAGAGGGTGTCTACGAGTGTATGACGGAGGATGGAGACCAATTAATGGTCTACAATCTCAGCGTCCATATGTCCGCAGCACGTATTACAATAATAACCGTCTTCGTAATCCTTGTCATCCTCACTTTTGTTTCTGCTGTGTTTGCTGTTCGTTATTGTTGTCGTCGATGTCACCGCAGTCAGAATCTAGAATATGAGAATTTAGAAGACCAGCAACCGAGAGGGGAAGAACCACAACACATTGGAAATATACAAGAAGGAAGTGTTGCCAATCCAAGAAGGGATCATCTCCAGGACGATTTATACTATAAACCAAACGGCGATCACATCAAACCTGACGAGCAGACTAATTACAAAATTAAAAAAGGATGGTTCAAAACGTTTGGACGCAAGAATATTTGGGAAAGTAGGCCCAAAAAAATGAAAAGGTTATATTCCAACGGCATTTGAGAGATAATACTAACTTAGAACTTCCCTTTAAAAAAATGGCTTGCAAATGTCTTTTCGTGGGAAATTAAGAATTTGTTCTTGTAATAATTTTATTATGCGTATAAAAGTGTTTTTGTATACTAAAAAACATGAATTATGAAGATACATTTTTTTAAATACTTTCTGTAATGATATCTGTGATACCTTTGTTTACCTTTCCGTTGAAAATGAAATGAATACGAGTTGATTTGAATAGAATTGAACCGAATTTAGCGATCGCAGTTGTTCAATTAAATAGTCTGATTGTCGACCCTTGTACCGAATGGTCGTACGTTTTGTGCTGCGCAAAGATTCAATCAGTTTCATTTGGGCCATTATTAAAAGTGGGTTATTGGTGTAGACAAATGCTCATGTACCCTTTACAGATCGTTTTATGTTATTACCCCAAAACAAGTCAGTCAGTCACTCAATAGTGTCTGAAGCTAGAAAGTAGGGTTTCCTTGCATAATTTGAATAATAGGACATTACTGCTTACGTTTAAATGTCACAGATAGGACATACGTGACATATTCACAATTCCTTCAAAGTTCTACATAATTTGATGTTGGCTGCAAAAGGGATACACTACCTTTAAGTTATCGCAAAATAACGGTTTTGTTTCGTTACATAATTGTTTAACATTTTGAAACATGATGGCAATTCTTTTTATTGAAAAAACACGATTACCAATGCAATTCTTGATATCGTTGACCTATTTGGGATTTCTAAACAGAAGAGATCTATCATAAGCACACAGAAAATCTATAATAATAATACGCTAAGGCTCCGCGGGGGGCGCGACGTCTCCGCCAGCCTTTGTATTCTATTGTTTTTTAATGAGATCGCCGACCGAAGTTGGTGCAGCTATCTCCTCCTGAACCCTCCCCTCGGGGTACCCGTGCCCTGTGCCATCGTCCGCGGGAGAGTCTACTCTGTGGAATTGGCTATACTCCGCCCGAGGTCCTCCTCCGTGTCGACGTCCAGGGCGAAAACAGACGCGACATGCATAATGCAGGATATGCGTGACGACAGAGATACCTCATGGATATTCAACATGACATCCGTAGACACACGACCGATGACTATCCACTCACATTAAGTTGCGTATTAAATGCACGACGCACAGGGTCGGGCTTACCCGAGTAAAGCATCTTTCTATAGGATATCCTTTGTATAGTAGCTGCACAAGCCACAGAGATACACACGAAACTTCCCGTCCACGTCCAAACTTAGGGACCTATTTCCATCATTATTGCCGCGATTTTTATATAGTTTTCATGAATGGAGGTATGAAATGAAAGCTTATTTTGTGATTATTACGGCCATGCTACTAAATTTTGATTATCATTTTCTAAAGGAAAGTTTTCACAAGAAAACCATTGGACTGACAATTCAGTCGCAAGCTGCCTTCAGTCAGTGCAGTGTGTGTGAGCTGCAGTTAACTCCAGCAAGCTCCAACACCGGCTCCGCGCACCGCAGGCGTCCGAGGCCGGCGGCGTCGGTGTTCGAGCTGTCTGGAGTTACGCTGGAGTGTGTGTGAGTTGAGCTGAGCTCGAGTCGAAGAGATTTGACACTTTGAAATTGTTATCTGTTGGTTTGCATCATTATTGCCGCGATTTCAATATAGTTTCGTGAATAGATTTACGAAACCTGAGCTTAGAATTAGTAAAAGTATTACTAATGTCTACGTTTTTAAACGACTGTCTGATTTTCTTGTGAAAATTTTACTTTGAAAAATGATTATCGAAATTCATGGTCAGAAATAATCACAATCTAGGGTCTATTAATTATGTTACAGTTCTTGCATCAATCAATGCATGAAAACTTAGTTATTGAACTAGAAAAATGTTTTTTTTTTTTAAATAGGCAATTAGACCTAGGTCTATGAAGTATTAAGCCTGAAACCTTCGCCTACTAAACAAATCTCAACAAAGTGTAGGCCTATCCTTTTATGAATTAATGAAAAAGTAGCCCCAGAAAAAAGAGCCCCCGAAAGTTGAAAAAGTAGCCCTCGAAAATTTCCCAAAAATTTGAAATTGAGCCCCCGAAATGAAAAAACTTAATTTTTTGCCTGCGCCCCCCCCCCCTGTGTAGGCCTATCCTTTTATGAATTAATGAAAAAGTAGCCCCAGAAAAAAGAGCCCCCGAAAGTTGGAAAAAGTAGTCCCTGAAAATTTCCCAAAAATTTGAAATGGAGCCCCCGAAATGAAAAACTTAATTTTTTGCCTGCGCCCCCCTCTAGAATCCCTCGGATTTCCGCGGGTCCTGAGTTGAGTGTATATATAATATAGGCGTGGGGTCCACGGGTTTCAAGGGGGCTATAAAAACCCCAAAAGCTCGGGGGTTACGTTCTTCAAAGTTGGGGGGGGGGGTGTGGGAGATCGAGATCAGATCGCAGCGAGTTGAGTGTATATATAATATAGGCGTGGGGTCCACGGGTTTCAAGGGTCCATAAACCCCCGAAAAGCTCGAGGGGTTTAGGTGTTTAATTAGGGTCAGATGAGCATATTTTTAATACTTTATTTGTGACACTTGCGGGTCACTAATTGGCGTGGGGTCAATACGTAGAGTTGCGTAGTGTTGCGTACAAACTACGCTGGCCTACGTTACTATATGCTGAGGAACGAAAAGGGGTACGCAAGATGAAAGAAAACAATTCAACATGTTTAATTTTTTTTGCGTACTTTCGGCGTAGAAACTTGACGCAGAAAGCAGCCTTTTTACGCAACACTACGCTACATGCCTACGCAACAGTACGCTACCCTACGCCAGATCGACAAAGCAGTAAAAGCTTTCCACACAGTAAGCAACCATAAGCAAACCTGTACGCCAGCCTACGCATAACCTACGCAGGGACTATTTTCCCATTAATACGCAGCCTAATTTCTGCGTAGTCGGTACGCCACACTACGGAACTCTACGCAGTTCCAGTGGCTTAAAGAATAATTACCGGTACAGTTGGATCGTTTTTTTAATTTTTATATAAGGCCAAATTTAAAAAAAAACATTTTTAGCATCCTGTTTTTTCGAAAAATGGGAAGGAGGAGGCCCTTTTTTTTTTCTTTCAAAATGGCCGCTCCGTACATTTTCCCTGACATTCGGGCTATTTTTCAAGATGGCGACCGACAATTTTTTTTTTTCTTATTTAAAATCAGAAATACATTTAAGCAGTGCTTTTCATGTTTTTTTTCTTTCAAAAAATAAATAAATAAAATAAAAAAAATAAAAAAAATAAAAAAAAAATAGGAGGCGGCCCCCCAAAAAGGAAGCAGGCGGGGACGCTGTTTTTTTTTCTTTCAAAAAAAAAAAAAATAGGAGGCGGCCCCCAAAAAGGAAGCGGGCGGGGACGCTAAACATGTATATTTTTTTAATGGCCTGAATGGCAAATAAAGTTCTTGGTGGTTTTAATTTAGACAGTCTCTATATATCTATTTACACCCCCCCCCCCCCGCCCACCTCTAGAATCGGGGAAATTCAACCTGTTTAATTTTTTTCGCCAGCCTACGCATAACCTACGCAGGGACTATTTCCCCATTAATACGCAGCCTAATTTCTGCGTAGTCGGTACGCCACACTACGGAACTCTACGCAGTTCCAGTGGCTTAAAGAATAACTACCGGTACAGTTGGATCTTTTTTTTAATTTTTATATAAGGCCAAATTAAAAAAAAAACATGTTTAGCTTCCTGTTTTTTTTAAAAATGGGAAGGAGGAGGCCCTTTTTTTTTCTTTTTATTTTCTTTCAAAATGGCCGCTCCGTACATTTTTCCTGACATTCAGGCTATTTTTCAAGATGGCGGCCGACAATTTTTTTTTTTCTTTTTTAAAATCAGAAATACATTTTAGCAGTGCTTTTCATGTTTTTTTTTCTTTCAAAAAAAAAAAAATAAATAAAAAAAAAAAAAAAAAAAAAAATAGGAGGCGGCCCCCAAAAAGGAAGCAGGCGGGGACGCTGTTTTTTTTCTTTCAAAAAAAAAAAAAAAAAAAAAAAAACTTTTCAAAAAATTTCAACAAAAAAAATAGGAGGCGGCCCCCAAAAAGGAAGCGGACGGGGACGCTTAACATGTATATTTCTTAATGGCCTGAATGGCAAATAAAGTTCTTGGTGGTTTTAATTTAGACAGTCTCTATATATCTATTTACACCCCCGCCCCCCTCTAGGATCCCGCGGATTTCCGCGGGTCCTGCTAGTCTATAATAATAATACGCTAAGGCTCCGCGGGGGGCGCGACGTCTCGGCGAGCCTTTGTATTCTATTGTTTTTTAATGAGATCGCCGACCCAAGTTGGTGCGGCTATCTCCTCCTGAACCCTGCCCTCGGGGTACCCGTGCCCGGTGCCATCGTCCGCGGGAGAGTCTACTCTGTGGAATTGGCTATACTCCGCCCGAGGTCCTCCTCCGTGTCGACGTCCAGGGCGAAAACAGACGCGACATGCATAATGCAGGATATGCGTGACGACAGAGATACCTCATGGATATTCAACATTACATCCGTAGACACACGACCGATGACTATCCACTCACATTAAGTTGCGTATTAAATGCACGACGCACAGGGTCGGGCTTACCCGAGTAAAGCATCTTTCTATAGGATATCCTTTGTATAGTAGCTGCACAAGCCACAGAATTACACACGAAGCTTCCCGTCCACGTCCAAACTTAGGGACCTATTTCCATCATTATTGCCGCGATTTTTATATAGTTTTCATGAATGGAGGTATGAAATGAAAGCTTATTTTGTGATTATTACGGCCATGCTACTAAATTTTGATTATCATTTTCTAAAGGAAAGTTTTCACAAGAAAACCATTGGACTGACAATTCAGTCGCAAGCTGCCTTCAGTCAACACACAATGCTGCTGTGTGCGGTGTGTGAGTTGAAATGAGCTTGCAGGAAGCTCCATGCAACACCGGCACCGCGCACCGTAGGCGTCCGACGCCTGCGGCGCCGGTGTTCGAGCTTCCTAGCTGGAGTTACGCTGT